GGCAGCAATGTTTCCGCAGATCTCGAGTTTCCCTTCTACTTTTCTTGCAAGATACGTGGACAATAGACTGGTGATTGCACCCACCGAAGTGCATAAAACTGTGCCTTTTCAAGTCTTCAGCCAAGAAACCTTTTATGGTTCTCCGATTGTTCTTGAAGCTGTCGGTGATGGTCACTTTTTGGGATTCGATATTGATGTCCGAAACCGAACCATTTACTATCTCCAGCCCAAGTTCCTTTGGCAAGTTCGACATCCCATGAGTGCAGGCAGTGAACGATTGCTGGTGTCAGGTGCGAAGTCGAGAATCTCTCTCATCCGTAAGTACACTTGGCCAACGTGCCAAGCCGAAGTCGCTGTTCATACTTTTGTACGGTGGTTAGCGAACCTTGGTTATCCATTTCGCTTGTGTGAAGCTTTGACGAAACGGTAAAAGCGGTTTGTTATCAGTTGACAGTTGACAGCGGACGTGCATGCAACATGTCTTGATCTGACTTCGCCATGTGTGAGAGACTTGCAAATGTTAGCATCGCAGTGCTTTTGGCTAAGAGACGAGATCATCTGTGCAAGCAAGCATGCCGACGGTGCCACCTTCGGATCCTAGCATCGATGAGTTCTTGAGAACGCTCACTCATTCAGCGCGTGTGAGATTGCTCAACTTTGTATCACGACCTCAACTTCGTCAAGCCCTTGTACTTCAATTGACAGCTTTTGTGCGTGACGGGACAGAAAGAATGCTGCAGCAAGAGTTGCGTCGTTTGGATGAGAGGGATAGAGCAAACCTACGTGAAGAACGTCCTAGCAGTAGCGGAGCTTCAGGATCACGTTCGTCCAGATCCCACCCCTATGCATCTCCACCCTCTCTGCCAGCAAGGAGGAGTACGCCGAGTGCAGGGAGCGACAACCCTTCGTCCAGTTCCGCACCTCCCCCCCTACCTCCCCCTGGCCCTCCTCCTCTCCCCCCTCCTCCCCTCCCTCCCCCTCTTCCCCCTCCCTTTTTCCCCCCGCCCAGTGCCAGTGCTCCCGTCTTTCCACTCCCGGCATCACCGGCAAGCTTGGGGCATCGTGTGTCTGAACCTCCTTTGGTGTCCAGTACCGCTTCGTCGTCGGCTGCACCTACATCTTCAGCTACGTCAGGTACTCCGATTAGATCCAAACCTATGCCTACCAGAAGACGTGAATCACGCCGATTTCGACGCAGTCAATCGTCTGATCTTAGCTGAGTATGCCCGATGTGACAGGATTTCACTTGTATCTGTGACGCATGCGAGTGCTGAAGTGAGGAAAGGATGTGCAGTGGACGCCAGTGCTGTGAGTACTCTTTCATTCATGTTGTAGTGCATACCAGAACAGTGTTGCAGCACCCTGCTCAAGTCTCGTTCCATTGCACTAATGTCGAGCAACTCAGCGTGCGATCCGTTGGCACCTCTTCAACGCTGGATTTCCTACACACAACAGGAGCTGATCACAATCAGAGGTGAATTCCGTCATTTTCGCGAAGAAGCCTTATCCGTCCAGAAGATCCAACAAGCCCAACTCGACGTGCTCACCACACAAATCAGGGACACGGAGACTCAGGTGGCGGAAGTCATGTCCGCCACCACAGAACTGTTTCAGAAACTTCAGAAGACCAACGAAGTGGTGGGCAACTTGCTGACGGATTTGCATTCTCTTCAATCTGTGACTACTCATTGTGTTAATTCTCTTCAACTACAAGAAACAACAGAGTTGCCCCCAACGCTTCCAGCAGAAATTGAAGTCTCAGAGTGAAACGTGAGCAGTTGCAAACAAGCGTCTGTGTGCCAGTGTCACTGCAAGGGTGTTGCAAGGGATGTGCAAGGGACGTGCAAGTGACGTGCAAGGGATGTGCAAGGGATGTGCAAGTGACGTGCAAGTGATGTGCAAGGTCCTGCCTCATGCTCTCAAGGTTCCCTGTAGTGCAAGACAGATTTAGACCATACAAGTAGCTTTTCATCATGTCGGTGTCCAGTTTCGAGAGCGATGCTGCCTCTGTATCGGACGTGCATTCTTCCGACTTTTCGTCAGACCTTGCAGCATCAGACCAAGAACGTGATCGACGTGTAGATGTGGCGTCAGGTGTTCCTTTGGCCAGTGATCCGGATTCGGCTGATTTTGATCTTGATCATGAGAGCATTAATGCGTCTTCATCCATCGACAGACAGTCTGCGTCTTCGTCCTCTGGTCGATTAGTTCATGCCCCAAAGCCGAAGCAGTCAGTTGCAGAGCAGACCAACATGTTGCAGACTGACCCACCGCGGAAACGCAAACTTCGTATGATCGATGAAGGACCTGACGGTGTGCGCATCAAGATTCGTCCTGCACCCAGTACCCAATTTCGCCGCAGAATGGAAGGCACGAGAGTGCTTGGTGACGATTTTTACATTCACAACAGAGCTCAGTTCATTCTCGATTTCTTGAGACAGCATGGCCAACGCATTGCCAAAGAAAAGCAAGGCCCTAGGAAGCGTTTTTCGTCCACTTTGAAACTTGTGCAGTACGTTCTTGACCGAAAGTGAGAGATTGCACAAAGAAAGTGAAAGAAACTAAAGAGTGCGCGTGTGCAGTGCTGTGCATCTTCAGCTTTCTGCATGAACCGTCTTGAGTTGCAGCATTTGACATCCAGTGAAATTGTGTAGGTTGCCCAACATGAAGCGCAAGGCCCGCGAAGCCAATTTGCCTTGGAGCACGAGCCGCGACTACATTTTTCGGATGTGGGTTCGTGTATGCAGTCGGGCAACCGGACACGAGACTATTACTCTCCACATCCAGTTGTCAATCAACGATTCCATCAACGTTGCCAAATACCTTGTCGCGATGCAGCTCTGGGAGAAGTTCGGCTGGTGGCCTAGGTTGCACACCTTCCAGCTTGTACAAAACTTTCGCCATCTTCGGTTTACAGAACCTGTAACGACTGCTCAAACCCTTGAACCAGTCGATTTCGTTGTGACGGTATAAAAAGAGACCACCTCTGTGTCAAGTCAAGAGCAGTGACGAGCAAGGGACGTGCAAGCGGATTGCAAGTGATATGCAAGGGATGTGCGAGGTTCGTGCAAGTGCAGTGCAAGAAATGTGCAGAGTAACATGTCAGAGACGTGCAAGTGCTGAGCTGTTGTGAGCTGCTTTCATCAGACATGCAACAGAGTTTTGTTTCAAGCACTCTGAAAATTGTGTAGACCCTGAACATCATGGATTGGGCTGCTTCTGACGTGCTCGAGAACATCTTGATGTACGTGTTGCCGATCAGAACCAGAATCACATTCATTACCCGCCTCGATCCAAATGATGACCCAGAAGAGGCACAACCCATAACCGACACCATGGTGGCGTACACTTTCCTGCGACGTGGGATACAGGAGTTTCGGCTGTCCTCTTCGGTTGAGTTGACCATGGGCTTTCAGTCTTTGCATGCCACCATCCGTTTTGCACAAATCAATGCCGTGGCTTGCACCATGTTGAGCAGCCCGTCAAAAAGGTGGATGAGAGCTGTCGTAGACCTAGTACAGGAGCGTTTGCGAGTGAGTATTGTGTCACTGGCCAACGTTGCGTACCAAACTGCAACTCAGTGTTGCATGTACTTCGATGCTGATGCGGAAGAAGCAGAAGTTGAATTGCACTTAGTGCACAGACTGCGCTTCCTGAAGTTTCGTAGCCCACTTTCCTAGGTCTCTTGAGCATAAGACTTTCTCATGAAATTCAGTGAAAAAGCAGCGCGCAAACACTGTCTACATTGCAAGGTGAGTGCGCACTGTCCTGCAAGTGCTGTGCAAGCGATTGATCAGATGCAATGAGCCCGGCCGGGCCTGTGTGTGTCCATCCCTGTTTCGAAGGGTAGGTAAACATGACTCGATTGAGCAGGGGGACAAGGGCTCCAGTGATCAGCCTTGCCCAACGAAGCCAAATCACTGGAGTGGATGCAGTGGCTGATCACCACTGTGTACCTGCTTTCGGATTAGCCAGTGGGCCCCCTGAGGCACTGGAGTAACCAACACTAGAGGGACAGCTTCACCTTTGCCACTGTCGAGTTTCCTGCATAGTTGCTAGGGCTTGCTTCGAGTTGCTGACTTTTCCTGACAGTTTGCATCGACAAATCAGACCTGCGACACGATGTGTCAAGTGTGTGTGGGTGCGTGCGTGCGTGCGTGCGTGCGTGCGTGCGTGCGTGCGTGCGTGCGTGCGTGCGTGCCTGTGCGTGTCTGCCTGCTCAGCCACGTTCGTGTGTGCACATGTCGTCTATGGATGAGAAGTGTTTACATGCGTACATGCATACACACATGCACACAGATATCCATACACAGAGAAACACCTCCAATCATAAACAGAAAACAAACATGCATACATACATACATAAAGAGAGAGAGAGAGAGAGAGAGAGGTCTAACCAACCCCTCATGCCCGGCGGAAGAAGAGAGAGAGAGAGAGAGAGAGAGAGAGACAGAGAGAGAGAGAGAGAGAGAGAGAGAGAGGGAGAGAGAGAGGGAGAGAGGGAGAGAGAGAGGGAGAGAACGAACCGGGGTCGAGGATTGGGAGGCAGGCAAACGGGTCCAGGCAGTGAGTGCATGTTAGGAGGCTTCGGTTTTGTTCCGTGGAAGGCGGGGGTGTTAGGGAACTGTAGCCGACACGGGGAGCCCAAAACCAGAAGGGACATAAATCATGTCGGCCTGTTACATGGAAGCCAACATGTTCTTCAGTTGATGATTGGGTTGCACTGCTTCCTCGCTGTCTGGGGGGAACCTCGGACGAGCTAGGATGGGGCCGGCAATGACCCGATCCAATGCTGCACAAGGAACACGGCTTGCGCGTGCGGGGTTTCGCGGGACTCTCTTAGGTCGGGAGCAAGCAAGCGTCCAAGAGACAGAGAAAGAGAGACAGGGGAGGACGTGCGGTGAAGAATCGGGAGAGCAGCGCATCCACGGTCTGAACTCAGGGACGACCATTGGAAGTCCGGCCAATGGTTCCCACAAACTGTGGACCTTCCCGCAGACATGCCCTCGGGCCCGGTAACTCTGCGATGGCTTTGGGAGCCTTGGCATTACGATTAATCACTTCTTCTGACTTGTCAGCATGGCTATTGACGAATTGGTGGCAGTGGTAGCGACATCAGAGCACGAGCATTGCCAGTGCCACTGCTATGGCCGGCTGCTGCCATTGCCTGTGTGCTGTTCCTATTTCAGAATTGCCACTCGGGTCAGTTGCAGCAGTAGGAACAGTAGGAGCAGTAGTAGTAGGGGCAGTAGCACCAGCAGTAGTAGCAGTAGTAGCAGTAGCAGTAGTAGCAGTAGCAGTAGCAGTAGCAGTAGCAGTAGTAGCAGTAGGAGTAGTAGTAGTAGTAGTAGTAGTAGTAGTAGTAGTAGTAGTAGTAGTAGTAGTAGTAGTAGTAGTAGTAGTGGTTGTAGCAGTAGCAGTAGTAGCAGTAGTTGCAGTTGTAGTAGTAGTAGTTGTAGTAGTACCAGGACAAGTACTAGTACTAGTACTGGTACCAGTAGAGGGTGGAGTGGTGTTCGGTGACAATGGGCTAGGGATCTGTTGACGTAGGCTTCAGGGTCTCTTTTTCAGCGTGGCCCAGATCTGCAAGTATACCGACGAGATCTTCGTGTCTTGCGCGGACGTGAACATTGTCGGTGGAGTGGCAACTACGACGCGGCTTGCAGGCACGACTACCACTACCACCGCGTCACGAGGCTGCATGTGGTGGCGGGTCTCTGGGGCTCGCAGATCGTGTGGAGTAGCTTGCATGCCCATACCCTGCATCCCAGGTGGCGCCTTATCCCGAATAACTCTAAGCCCTCAACTTGAAAGCCCACTTCAGAGCTCCTCAGAAGCCCTGAGACATCCCGAGGAGCAGCGAATGCATCTGGACCGAGCCTGCTGGGCGGACGGTGGAGCGTGTTTCCCGGGAGGACGCCCCCAAAGGGGCTTCGAGGCTTTGGGGAGATTTGTAGGTTTAGGGGGGTTCCTATAGCTCTCCATGCTTTGGAGTTTCAGGGTTTCAGGCTTTACCAGCACCCTGGGCCGAAAAGCAGCTCGGCTCCGACTCGTCTTCTTCCCTGCACCCATGCACCCATGCACCCGAAAGCCAGTACCGCACGGAAAGGCTCAAGTCTAGCTCCAAAACCGATGACATCCCAAAGAATGCCTCGGGCCCTGAAGCCCTTTAACGAAAGGAGAAGGACGGCCGAATCTGCTGGGACGTTACCGTGCCTAGCGGGACCAAGGCCCTTTCTTTGGGTGCCAGGTTTTGGAGTCTACAGGGCTCCACAGCGATTCATGATGAAGTGCTTGGTCCTTTCTTTTGGATGAAGTTGGCATTTCAAGTTGGGCTTTCTGGACTTTGGGGCGTTTGTCCTCGGGTCTCAGGATCGTGGGAGGCAGGTGACGAAGGGCGCCTTTCGGACAGCCGAGTTCGTGTGTTCGCCGGCTTTGAAAGTCTTGCTATGCACAGCCTGTAGCACTGTAGTTGGGCTTGTCTGTTTGGATTGTTGCTACAGGTTTCGAGTGTTCCACGGGCGTCAACGGCTTTTGCCGATGTTTGCAGAATGTCCATGGGGTTGCAGCACTCAAGGGCTTCCATGTTTGCAGAACTAGCTGCCTTGCAGGTGTACTACCAGTCCAAGACGGACATCTACCATTCGTGGAATTCGAACGCTTGCTGCTTAAGTGCCGCAGAAAGTTTCGGGTCTGACGTGACGGGGAACCCCAACCTTGTCGTGTTCACTCCGACGGCGAACGTTGGTACCTTTGGTTTCTGCGAGTGCACTGCATGGGATCCCAACAATCCCGGCACGTGTGCTGGTGCAGCTACAGCCGACAACATGATCTGCCCTGTTCTTGGGGCCTCGAAAGAAATGTGTTCAGAGGCCGCATCATGGGATGGCCTGCCTGTTGGTTGCACACCGGTCTTTTCAACCACGCCCTCCGCGACAGCGACCACAACCATGGCCGTATCCACCACCTCGCCTACAGACGGCTGCTGCTATTGGGATGCCAACAAGGGCTGTGAGGGGAGTGGATACTGCTGGGAGTCCAAGGCCAATTGCGAAGGCACCTGCAACGGAAAGTGGCTGGCAAACGCGCCTTCGACCATGGCTCCGACAACAGTGCCCCCGACCACAACAGTCGCAACAACGACTGCACCAGTGTACACCACCACAACTACCGTCACCACTACGACAACTCCCATGCCGACCACCACGACCACCACCACTACCATGCCCTCAACAACGCGTGCCTCTTCGGATAGCTTTGAGCCTGTGGATGGAGGCGAGGGCCGTGCGTGCCGTGGAGCTCACGCCGGAGACAACGATGCTTCCCACTTCACAACTGTGAGTACCTCGGCATCTTCAGCCGGCTCTCCCGAAACTATTCTCATATCCAGTAAAAGGTGGCCCTGTGCCGAGGACTTTTGGTAAAGCTTGAGGCTTTTGAGACCCCTTCTTGAGCTACTGGTATGACTTAGTTTGTGGTTCGTGCTCCTCAGTCTGCGAACTTGCCAACTATGCATTGTGAGTGACAGAGTCTGGTCTAAGCCGATGCTCCGTCGTAGGGATCTTCATGAGGTATGGGCATTTGTGGCTTGTGTGATTGATTTTTGCGAGTACCGACTGGAGCCGGCTCTTTTGAGTGATTGACACCTCCGAATGTAGGATTTGGGTGAGGTTACTAGGGTTGCCAGTACGAGTTGTGGTGTGGGTGGACTTTATCCCCGGGGGTGGTGGCTATGTGCCAAGCCTCGGCCCAATAGGCGTTCCCATCAACAGAAGTAGTCGAGAGGAAAAGGGGCTGCAAAAAAGCAATGAGACCCCTTCGTGAGGTGGAGGTGTGGGCTCTCTGGATGAGTGCAAGGCACACTGCCTTGCGACCGCCGGCTGTCACGGAATTGAGAACATCGGAAGGAGGTGCGAGATCTGGACGCACCCCGTCGGCGCCTTGCCTCAAGCTAAGTATCAAAGGACTTGGTACCAGGGCCATTAATCTCTGCAGTGAGTAATCATTCTGTGATTTTGGCCACGGCTCTACCGCTTCATTTATCTTGCAGACTGGTTTGGGCGAATCCTGGCGGGCTATCGGCTATCGGCAAGCCCACAGCCAGGAGCGAGCATCAGCTTGGACGGCTACGTCTGCCTGCGCGTCGTGGGAGGCGCCGTCTCTTGGAAGGTGAAGCTTCTTGATGTATGTGCAAGACTCTCTCAACTTCAGCGGCCGGGTGAGTCTGTTGGTTTCTGCCGCTGCCACTCCTGGGTTTTTCTGTGTTCGTAATCCGCCCTGCAGCCACTGGCACCTCTGAGAGCGACGAGGACGACGCTGGCGGCGACGACGACGACGAGTACTACAATATGTAGTAGTATAGTATGTAGTAGTGCTCCTGCTGCTGCCTGCTGCTGCTGTATTACCAGCAGAGACGACGACGACTGCGACTACTACTATGACCACGGCGGCGGCTGCGACTGCGACTTTGACTGCGACAATGACTGCGACTGCGGCTGCGACTGCGATGACGACGACGCCGGCGAGGGCGATGACGACGACTACTACAAGTACTAGCATTACTACACTAGCGCCTGGCTGCCCTGCCACTGCCACCACCACGACCACTATCTTTACCCTTGTTGCTGTGACCGCCACCACCATCAACATCATGTTCACAGCACCATGAGGAAGTCTCATTACCATCTCAAGTGCCGGTTTAGTATCGTTGTTACTGCAGTACTTTCTCTTCTCATCCTTGTTGTTCCGTCATGACCCGAAATCAAAAAACCATGAAACCCTGCACCCTGAACCCAAAGCCCTACTCTCCCTGTTGAGCTTGGAGTGTCAGGGCCGGTCACGACGACGGCTTCTCCGACTCATCCGGTGCACTCCTCCTGTGGTCAGCTTCACGACCAGCCGGGGCCTCGCAGGAATTGGGCACCTACAATTATAGCAACCTGTTTATGAAAGCCTATCCACCGCCCACCTACCACCTACCCACCCACCTACCCACCTACCTACCCAGCTACCCAGCTGCCTGCTTACCTACGTACCTGCCGACCTGTCTACCTATCTCTTGTTTATCTATCTACCTAGCTTCTTTCCTGCTTTCTATCTATCTGTCTATCTGTCATATTGTAATGTATCATGTCGTGCGGTGTTGTATCGTGTCTGTGTAGGTATGTAGGTCTGTATGTAGGCCTGTCCGTCTGCCTGTTCAGTCAGTCAGCCAGCCAGTCAGTCAGTCTGTCAGTAAGTTGTATGCATGCATGTCTGTCTATGTGACTGCCTGCCTGTCTGTATGTATGTATGTATGCATGCATGTATGCATGTGTATACCTATGTGTGTAGGTACGTGTGCATGCGTGCGTGCGTGCATGTCTGTATATATGTATGTCTGTATGTCTGTATGTATGTATGCGTCATGTCATGCAGTTTAGTGTAACTTACTGTAGTTGTACGGTAATGTGCAATGTTTGAAAGTGCCGTATGAGTTTCTCGCACGATCTGGCAAATTGGGCTAGCCATGAGCACGCGTGCAAGTGCTGTATGCCTAGGTCCCGATTACCCTTTCCATATCTATGTTTGTGTCTGTACTTCTGTCTGTTTGTCTGTCAGTCTGTCTGTCTGTCTGTCTGTCTCGCTCTCTCTCTCTCTCTGTGTCTGTCTGTCTGTCTCTCTCTCTCTCTCTCTCTCTCTCTCAGTGCCAAAAAAATACTTGCTATACATATACCTACATACCGACATACATACATACCTACATACACGCGTGCCTTTGTACAGAAACGCATACAGACACACGTACCTACACAGTTACATGCAGTTACATGCACACATACAACCTACATACATACATACATACATACATACACAGAGTTCAGATTCACAGCCTGCAGCTTGCGCAATTACTGCGAGGCTTGGCCAGGACGTTGGGCCATTATATCATTATGCATTGCAGCAAGATGTCCCCTTCTTTTTCTTACGAGCCAGGTGTGGAGGAGATATGTACACAGGCAGCAGCTGCTGCGTGTCCGGCCTTCGATGCGAGTACAAGGCTGTCGCGGACGAAGAATTGCAATGTTATCCTGGGCGGGTGCTGGCAGCATCTTTCTTTGCTAAGCAGCTGTGTCTTGTCGACGGAGCTGTGGAGGACTCTAAGTACTCGCAGTGCGTCATGGACGAGTCCAGCACGCAAACCTGCGCACAGATCTGGCAACAGTGCCTCTGCTGCATCATATCGTCTGCCACTTCGAAACTGGTTTCAAAGGAGTTTTTCGGCTACGTCCATTGCCAAGTGAGAAGCTGCGGCACAGGCTTCGCAAATCCCTGCTGATAGAAAGGTCTGGCGGCAGTTAGCCTGTCCAGGATCATAGTTGCCTCTAAGGTGTGGCGGTGCTGGCTGGACTGGCAGCTTGTATGCATGCAGAAATCTTTGGAGTTGCAGCAAGGCCTGCTGTGAAAGGCAAAATCTTGCTTGATTCTATTCAGAGCGGAGGTTGTTTCTCAAATTCGTGTCAAGTTTTTCCTAGCATCCTCTCGAACGAGAAGTTTCCTTTCCCTGCAAAGACTGGCCCCCATTGCCCCAAGCCCCCAACCCTCCCTTTGTGCAGCCCCGTCTCAGGCTCCGAATGCTGCGTTGAGGGCCTGACCTGCGTCTGGGGCAACGAGCACTACTCCCAGTGCCTGCACCTTGCCTTCACTTGATTTCGAGTTGAGAGCGTGGGGGTTCCAGGGTGGAAGCAAGGAATCGGTAGCCCAAGCCAGCTGAGTTCCTGTGCTTAAGTCCGGAACTTCGTGAGACGTCGGTTTCGGGAGCTTGTAGCCCGGTTGAGTTCAGATCTACAGTCGTTTTGTGCTGAGGTTTGCAGCTGAGAGGGTTCAAGTTGCATGAGAAGTGCGCTTTCCCTGTATCCGTGTACTCTACTACAGAAGCATCACTTGCTTTCCGTCGGAGGTGTGCTTACATCACCCCGCCGGAGCTTGTTAAGGGCTTCTCGGGTGTTGGTGTTGGAGCCGTTGATTTTCTCCGGTAGCTGGAAGTTCCAAAGCAGAAAATGAGAGCCCCGAGGAGTCAAAGCCTATCTTGACGAAGGCTCTGCGCTCCGAAACCTCCCGGACTTCAAAGCGAGAATCCCTGAACTCCAAATAGTACTCTAGTACTGCTACAGCTTGTCGCCATGTGCCGGAACTTGTTCACAGGCGTCTTCCCGGATCCCTTATCGAAGGAACTGTTCAGGACCAGCATGTGAGGGTTCGAGTGCTAAAGATGCGCAGGGTTTCCTTGGAGGCTTGGGGAACTCCGGGGTTAAATTCAGGAGTCCAGTCTTCAAGAGACCGCGTGCGACAACACTCCAACACCCCGAACGCTGCAACTTTAATTGTACAGAATCAGCCAAGATGTGTGTGTGCGCGTGTTTTCTTTGTTGTCGTTTGTCTTTTCCGTGGCAGTACGTATTTTGGGCCTCAGGGCTGATGGTCTAGCAAATCCCGCAGGAGTTTGCAACCAACTTGCAGCTAGAATCGAGAAGTTGAAGTTCGGTGACTGCTTTCTGCACCTGACAGAGACGACCTCCCAACGCAACTTTCTTCCCTCCCATCCAGACTTGCAGGAGGTGTCGGTCGAAAAGCGAACGCGCCTCCGCAAGTCAAGGTCGGGGGTCCTTCGTGCCATGTACTTGGTTCTAAACCACCCTTTCATGTTCAGGGTTTAGGGTTTAGGACGCTTTCATGTCTTTTGACGTGTAGTATACTGAATAGCTATTGTCTGCATACATCCATGCACACTGACTAACTTATCCGCGAATGTATGTCCCGGTATCCTTTTCTCTCGATCCTTGCCTCTGTCACTCGTGCGTCTGTCTGAGCGTGTTGTTTTCATGGTTCGCTGTTTCTTCACGTATCGATACGCGTTATTTGTATCGGACTGCCGATCAGAATGTAGTCATATACATGAAGCATTGCTAGCTGTATCCTACCACGTCTGCGGCATAGGAGGCTCGACATCATCATGTCTTTGGCATTCGCCCTGCTCTGACCTCATCTGGTCATATCAAGGTAACATCACAATCCTCTATGCTTTCGCTCTCGTCGGACCTCATCTGGTCCTTCAAGTGCAAACTAAGCCAGTCGCAACTCGAGCTTCAAGCAGCAGCTGAACAGAGGCTTCGACCCGAAACCCGTGTCTCTTCAACCTGAGCAGGCGTGCTGCTGCTCTGGAGTCACGGCCGTGGCTGGTGCAACGCCGCGCCGTCACTGCCAAAGTCAAAGAAAGTGAGCTGTAGGTGTGCTTTGCACAGCAAACTTCCTTTGCCGCCATTGGAACCAAAGGCCTAGCCGCTCTATACAGGGGACTTTCTAGCTGGCTCTTGTCATTTCAGCTATTTTTGTTTGATTGAATGATGGCAAGGGAGCTGCTTGATTTCGGTTTTGAACACTTGCAGCAGAAGGCTACACCTTTTCTGGCCCTCTTGCTGCACCAATTCAGTCTGCATAAGGGTTCGGTTGTCACTTCAGACAGCACGAAGAAAGCTTCTGCAACTCTGTGAACTGAACTCTTTGGCTGGGCTTCTCGAGGGTCGCTGGGCAAATACAGGGAGGGGGGTAGGTCCCTCCCGATCGCCAGGCGCCTGACATGCATAGATGCATATGCATAGGGTACCAGCTACAGACATGCTGGTTCATGTTTCGATTTCCAAAATCCTTCGGGTGCAAAGAATCTGGACCCCACCGTGGTCACAAGTTGCTGCCGTGTGGGGCATCCAGGTTGTCGCCTGCTGGTGAGATATCTCGGTAGCTCGAGCATCGAAACCAACGTGGGCATGCAAGGTTGTTTTGTGAGCGCGTTTGCTTCGAAGGTAGCGTCCTGCGGAGGCAACAGTTGATCAGCAAGCGAGCTAACAATGCTTCCGGCTTAGGTCAGATGCTGCTCTGAGCGTGGAAGGCCTTGGCCGACACCACTTCTATGAAGAGACCTGGTTCCACCTTGAGCCTTGAGTGGGCTTGATATTGACGAATGTTTGCCACTTATCATCTTCGCAGGTGATTAGGGCAAGCATTTCTGGAATCCGTCCCACATCACGTCGCCACAGGAGATATGCCATAAGCCCCGCCACGACAGATTCGTGGATACATACAGTTGTGATCCTGCTTGGGGCCAGACTAAGAGCTTGTCACCTGATAAAAAAATTCAGGCAATCAGCTCGGATGTCATTCCGATGGAAATTCGCTGCGGCGGACATTGTTTTAGTGGTCTGGACAGACATGTTGAGGCTTCAGCAAGCCAGGACAAATGAATCCGTTGCTGAGCTAAGTTTCAGCAAGCCGGGCCCAATGTGTCTCAGGGCTGCAAGGTTCAGGGTGTGCAGGCTTCAGCACGCAGGGGTGTGGCCTTCTTTGGTGTCGCGGCTCTTGCGGGTTTCTGGTTCTTCGGCCTGTGGCGACTGTCCTGTTGCATGAAGAGAAGGCTGCTCTTCCAGTCATGAGATTAGAGGCCTCTTCATGAAAGCAAGGCCATCTGGTGCCGACGCCCGCACAGAAGGCAGAGAAGCTAAAGCCGATCCGAGCCTCTCCCAACCTTACTCTCAAACCGAAGCCGTAACCCCAAAACCCAAAGCCCAAAGCCAAAGCCCGCGATTCCCCCGACTGTGGGCCATGGCCGTGCTGGAGCGAGAAGTGCTTGTAGAAGCGCTGCGGGAGGCACTGCTAGGTGCCCTCAGGGCTTCCTCGGTGGAACTCACTTTTGGGCTCAGAGCTGAGGCTTCTGTGTCACGGCACCGTTCATTGTCCTGTGATTTGGGAGATATGGCGTGTAGCAGGAGAAGCAACGTCGAAGTTGATCCCATGCTGGATGAATGCGTTCTCCTCGCTTCTCTCCTTCTATTCTATGTGTTTCAATCTTTCCATGGTGTTCTACGACTTTGCGTCATGCTCTCTACCAGGGTCTCGCAGGAGGGGGATCGGAAGTCTGAGCCCTGCTTATTGCGGGGTTCGCAGCTGGAGGTGCCAGAAGACAAAATGGTGCTACGGGATTACTGTGCGAGTTTTACAAGGCATGATAAGGATTGATGTAAGAGGAGATCTTTGGGAATCATGCGGCGAGTTGCCCCCTGCGAACTGACAAGTCAGGTGCGATAGAGCAGAAGTTGGAGCAGCACAAGGCCAGAAGCGGCAGGGAAGTCTTGAATTGGGAATCTCGTACCCCGAGAGTCCAGCAATGGGGTAGTCAGCTGAACAATTAGTACTGGTATTCCTCAGGTTTGATGATAACAGTATACTATGCTTCAACACCCTATCTTAATGATTGAGGCACCCAGTCTTTGGGTTTCAGCGCCTGACACCCGAAATCTTCAGTTTCTATCCTCGCAGAATGTCCAGCAGCCACAGCCTCTTATCGTCTTTGTCCTCGAGTGAAGGTGTCACATGTGCCTTTAGATGTTGCGGGGCGGCTGCCGCAATGTGTGAAGCTAGTTGCCGAGAAAGTCCTTGACACAAGAGTCCAAGACAGACTACCAACTTTAGATTCTAAGCCACGGTGCAGGGATCCTTGGACCCGCGAAGCCAGAACCTCGAGCTCTCAGTGTATCGACTTGGCTTTTCAATGCCTCTTCGAACAAGTGCTTTGTTACATGAATGCATGGTTCCGGACTACGAAGGTTACGTATCCCAACAACCATCCAACATGCCGCCCCAGGGTCGGCGGATCCCAATGATTTGCCCAGGGTCAGCTGTATCAGAAGCAACTTGACACTAAATCCTACACTGCTCCACCTGACGCTTTCGGGTTTAGGCTCTTACACCGTAAGCCCTGAGCACGACATGGCCAGGCGGAGCTGTTGCTGGCCTTGCAGGGCAAGGCGCTGTCGCGCGGCAATCTTCAGTTGGAGGAGATGCAGTTTGGGATTCAGGAGTTTAGGATTTGCGTTGGCGTCGGTTTCGATCAAGTTTCGGTTTTGAAGAAAGGGGCACTGATCAAGCCTAAGCGTGAGCCTGCACCCGAGAACGGGATCATGATTTCGAAGGTTTGACAACCAATCCGTGTCAAAACAATGCTGTCAATGGTGTTGAACTTAAAGTTTTGAAAGGCCTTCTAAAATGTTTGGGAAAAGGTTTGGATCACTGTCTCGCGTTTTTCTGCTTTCTGTTGCAAAGCAGGTGTTTGCTCAAGTTCACGGCTTTCAAGCTTCTGGTTTGTGGGCCGTGGCACTGCCCCTTCGAGTTTGGCAGCCCAAGATCCCAATTTATGGCGAGATTTAAGACCCCCTTTGCACGCTGTTGGCCATGGCCAGCAGCCATGTCTGGAGTTTCGCGTGGCTGACACAAGATTAGCGTGAGCTTCTGTTGCAGCATGTGCCTCGCCGCCAGGGTTTAAGTCCCGTAAACACGAAGCCTCCCAGTCTAACACCCTCACGGTGCACAGCCGCGGGGCTCCAGGAGAACATCTTCGCGGGGGAGATCGGCCAGGCAAAACCAATGGGGTACGTGGTAAGGCAGTTGTGCTGTGCTTCGGTTTGACAGTGGAGTTTGCCCATGCTGGCGATTGCTGTGCCTCATGCTGGCATGCAAATGTGTTGTCGTCGGTCATGGGCAACCCCAATCTTTACCCGCATGATGACGGTGATAATGAAGGTGATATGGATTACGCGGTTATGTAGATCTTCATCCTCTTGCCGCGACTCTGCTGCCACCGCTGCCCATGCTGCTTCTGATGATTCTATGAATGTTCCCGTGGTTGGCCTTTCTCCCCCTGTTGTTGTCGTTGTTGTTGCTGCTCCTGCTGCTGCTGTTGATATGAATCTGTGAAGCGGAAGCCTACCGGAGTGGATTACATGTGAGCTTTGCGGATGTCGCTTCGCAGCGCCGCAGGTGTCAGCCAGTTTGGGCCGGTCGACTGCTTCGTGGTTTGACCAGAGCCACTCTTCTGAAGATTTAGCTTCTAGATGTTCATGCCCAGGAATGTGAGCTGAAGAGTCCAGGGCAGATCAGCGTAGCACGGCTTGCAATGCTTGTCAATCAACTTTCTCCTCTCACTGCTACGGTCTCTTGTCATCCCGTCGTTTTTGCCCCGCCGAGAATCAGTGTCAGCTCCGCTCAGGCCGCACGCCTGCCGCGGAGAAGATCGGCAAGAGGGTTTGGGATGAACCCCATAGGGAGGACGCGCATTCCGAAGAGCTGCTTGGCAGGGCAGTGGTTCAGCTGTTCAGCTGATGCACCCAAAAACCTCCAACCTCGAGCCGCAGCGATTCGACGGATCTCAGGCATCTGGCTATCCTGCCTCTGCCGCAGAGCATTTCCGTGCAGCCGCCAGATGAAGATGTGCCGGGTTTGATTCCCAAGGCCAGGTGCCCACAAGATATTTACGGGATGTCATGAGTTCGACGATGCAGCGGTGGGTGTTCAATGATCCTCTCTTCAGCTGTTGTCTCAAGACAGATTGCTTGGACACCAAGCTCTTTCTCTGTCATGACCTACATAACACGACTGTTGCATTGCTGATAAGCATATCAACAGACATAATATACAGTAAAATATCAGTACCTATCCTTCTTCTCTTCGTCCTTTACATACGGTCTTGGCAGGCTATCTCGAAGTCGGCCTGCTCCGAAATTCCCGCAGGGGCATCGCCCACGGTTCACAGTGTGCAGGTGCGCCACATAGGGTCTGAAGGTTTGTAAATCTTGCGGATCCCGAAGCCTCTCTGAGCCTCAACTCTGAACCCTGAAGCTGCTGTAGGTTCTACTCTGACCGTTGCAGCTCCGTAGTTGTGAGGTCCTATGGACCTCGAGTTTGAAGCCCCCGAATGCCGGAGCCTTCAACCGCAGAGCCCCAGCCACAACACGAGAAGCTTCCTCTAAACCCTGCCAGCAAATCTCGAACATCTGTTGCAAATTTCCGGATCCTAAAAGCCACCTGGGTCAAGTTAAGGAGTCTAATCTAAGTTACCATAACAGGGATGGGATCTATAGTAAATAATAGGGTTTCCTTGTTATGGCAGCGTAGATTACATTCCTTATAACAAAAGCCAGCTACAGGTGGTCTCCCAAACTCAGATTCTGGGGACGGACGTGCGAGAGAACTGCACCGGAACAGACTGTTCCTCATCGGCCTTCAAGGAGTGGGGGGGGTGATGCTTTGGTGTGTCTACTAATACAGGGGCCTTCATGAATACCTATCTGGAATAGTTGGAATATAGGGTTCCTTTACAGGGGCCTATTGGGGCTACTGTAAGGGCGATTATAAGGATTTAGCATAGGGGCCTTTGTAGCAATTACGGCCCTTATATTCCTGGGGTCGGAAAAAGGAGTAGTGATATCACCTGACCGTGGAGGGAAGATCTGACGGAGGCGGGTTCTGTGTTTCTTTTCCGAGAGTAGCTTCACCCGAAACCTCGCAAGCATTGAAAACAAAGACTAGACGCCTCCAAAAAATCTTACAGCTCAAGGCCCGAAAGTTCATCTAGGAAGCCAGCATTATACGAAACCCTGAGAGCCCACTTAGATGTCCCAGACTCAGGAAGCTAATTCCCAGGAGGAAGGCGCCTCCGGCATCCTTCTGCGCTGGGCCTTCCTACTGAAGACCCTGATCCTTTCGCTCTTCCTCTCAGAGTTGGTCCTGGCCCTTCGGACAGAATGATGACAGTCTAGCCATGAATCAACATGGTAGCAAGAACCGACATTCGGCAAGAGTTAAAGAGGGGATCGTCCTTCGTGGCTCAATCGGGGCTTGCCTTGCTTTTCTTGCTCATCCAATGTTCAGGCCTGCCGAATCCCAAAGCGTTCAATCCCACTGCTTCAATCTTGAGCCCTCCAGGCGATTCTGGTCCATCAGTATGGCCACGTGCATGGGGTGGCCTGGGACTTTACTGCGGTTTCGTTGAACCTTTGAGCCCATCAGCACAAACTTTTTCGACTGTTGGGCACCACAGTTCGCAGTTGGCTATGGGGTTGCTGCAATCATTTGTGGCTCGTCAGTTTACACGACAGATCAAGATACTTCAAGATTCATGGTCCGAGTTACGTTTTCGCCACAAAGAACAACGCATATCTCCTTGATCCCTCACTAGGCGCCCACTGCCCGAGGACTGTCTACTTCATGGTGGGCTATGGTGGCGTGGAGCTTCTTGCTCGGGCTTTGGCATCAGAGGCCCGCACTTCTAGGACGACTGCTGCTACCAGTGCTGCTGCTGCTACTACTACTGCTACTACACTGCAGCTGCTACTGCTACTGCTACTGCTACGACGCCTCCGATTGCCACTGCCACCACCTCTGCCACCACTACCATTCTCACCACCAGCAGCACCCACCAAGACGACGACGACTACCGCGAAGAGCTCGTATGCTTACGACTGCTACGAGTCTATGAGTAGTACAGCTATGTACAGCTTCTGGGACGACTACTGCGGCTACGACGGCACAGGCCACGACGACTACGCCAACTACTACTACTACTACTACTACTACTACTACTACTACTACTACTACTACTACTACTACTACTACTACTACCACGACTACTACTACTACTACTACTACTACTACTACTACTACTACTACTACTACTACTACTACTACCACTGCGACTACGACTGCGCGTACGACTACGACTACGACGACGACCACAACTACTACAGCCACGACTACGACTACGGCGACCACGACGACTATGGCGAACACCACTATGTCCATGTTAGAGCTTGCCCGATCAGCAGCAAGAAATGGACCCTCAACCCTGAACCCTATCCTCTAAACCGCCAAGCATGCAGGAGTTGAATCTCGTGGCCCTAAAGCTGCAGCTACACTACAGCGACGAACGAAGGACAGACATGCTTGAGTAGATGCAGAAACTCACGTTCGCCATCAACGCTGCGCATGCGCAACGTCAGGTCCACGCCTTGAGTTGCAAGGCTTTTGAAAGGGTTCGGGGCGAATTGCACAGCATGTTCCGTGTTCGGAGGACTGAGCTGCTCCGGCGGGAGCGGTGGAAGTATGCATTCGCATCTTGGCTTCATATCCAGGGGTCTTGTGGCCGTGCATGTTCGGGACCCCAAACCCGGAACAGCCGAGATGAGTAGCACAGTCTCTCAACCTTGTCATGCACACACGTCCACACTGCAGCATGATCTATGCAAACCCCAATAACCTAGAGTCTGTGGTTTCATCCCGTTCAGCTCAGAACGCTGAAAACATCCTCATTGTCATCATCATAGCCATCATCAGCAGCGTTGCCCTCGATCGCGTCCTCCTCCTCCTCCTCCTTCTCATCTTCCTCCTCTGCCTCATCCTCATCGTGTCATCGTGTTCATCACAACACGACGGCCATCGCTAGGCTAGAGCTGATGACAAATAGTAGCAGTCAGACGCTTTTAATGCAGCGCAGGCCTGGTTCGCCTTCATGGCATCTGTGGTAGTCCATCAAGGCTTCGAGGCACGGGGGTTCGAAATCGGCTCACGCATGGGGGGGTTTGGGTTGAGGGTTGGTGGTGGGTCTCAGATTCTGGACCTCTCTTTTCGTGAGGTCTCCTGAAGGGCTGGTGACGATGTACCTGGGGTTGCTGTAGGCTGCATCTGAGAATTCGAGGTTACAGGTGGGCAGCTCGGATTTGAGACTTGAGAAGGCGTGTGTGGTTTCTCAGGGAGTTGGGCATCGGGAGTGACAAGTGTTAAGTTCAGGGTCTTGCTTGCTTAGATTCTTTTCGGGTAGTGGCCCAGATTGATGCACTTGCACGTAAGATTGACGTGGGGCCCGGGATGCCGGGTTTAGGCTTCAGGATTCAGTGAGCCAGGGAGCTCTCAAACCAAAGCCTCAGGTGTGGAACATCCAGCGTGGGGTACTGGACGACACCATTGTGCGGATAGAGGACCTTCCCTTTGCCAAGGCCTAAAGCCGCCTAAAGCCTGCAGTTCTCTGTAAAGCAGGGTAGGCGGTTGCCGTGCGGTCTCCGGATTTGTTTCAGGCATCCGAAACAGATGCAACATTCGGGAATTTGAGGCTGAAAGTCTCGCTCACGTGATTCCCCTTAGAGTCTCGCACAATGTCGCCATGCACCTGGTGATTGTGGAAGGTCTGCGCCCAGGTGAACGAGGCCATCACGATAATCTCCTTTGCTTTTGTGAGCGCGGTGATTCTCCTCACTTGCTACATCCAGTCTGTTTTGCTCTTGGCCGTGGATGGCGCTCTGGATGACTGGTGCCTGGAGGCTGAGCAAGTAGCAAGCAGGTTGATTGTGCTTGTGTGTTTATGCAGGCACTGCCAGGTAGGGTCATGCAAGCATTTACATCTTATGTTTAGAGAGCGGTAGACTGTGGGGCCTGGGTTTGGTTTCAGTGCTTTTTATTGGGTTTCAACGTTAATGGCTCCAAAGCAGGAGCTTGTGTTTTGTGTCGCGTAAAGCACATACCACAAAGCATCACAAGTGTTTTTCGGAACAGCTTATTCGAGCTGTGAAAAATCGCTCTCCAACAGGCTCCACACCAGTGTGTAGGTCGAGCCTCTTAATCTGGGTTCTTGTGTAGCAGATCTTACAAGCAGAAAACGCTGTAAATATCGATGAATTCAAGACTCTCTAAAGAACGTCTTAAGGTAGGCTACATAAGCTCGACAGTTTCTCTATGCAGCGCTGATAATCGGGCCTTTAAGACTCTGGACTGTCTACCCAAAGCAAGCTTAGCCAACACCGCTGTTGGTAACAGTGTTTGAAACACCAATGTAGAGATTCAGCCTAATTAGCTGTCGAATTGCATTGGCATAGGGTTAACGAAATGTGGATGCACATAAGGGCCCTTGTTTTTGCGCGGTGAAGCAAAGTAAAGATGTGAGCGGGTTCAGCCTATGTACCTGTATAAAAGACTACCAAAGACAAACTGTAGTCGATGAAGATCTGGCTGCTGTCCTAGACTGGAATCCTACTTGTGTTGATGCTTATCTGATTCTGGCTTCTTCCGATACCCTTGTTCATAAGGTACCCCGCACCCCTTCGAAATAGCCAGTATTTGGATCAAAATCATTTGGATTAGTGAAAAATGCTGCGCTGGATACCGGGTCGGTTCCAAGCCATAACGGATCGTCCTCCTATAGTTCCTCAAACCGGTTTGGTCCAGGCCGTAGCACGCTCTCCATCCCTACACATAGCCTTATAAGAGATTTTGTATAGTTGAAATACTGAACAAAAATATCTTGTGGTTTCACTCGATGAGCCTGGACGTATCAGCGCACGCTGCTGCAGTGCGTTTATCTCTGTATACACAAAAGAGAAACACACGGGCCCGATTTCTGTTGCGCTTAAGCGACCCACATGTTTACAAACAACCCGCAAGTTTATAAGCAAGGCCCGGTATTTATAAACAACCCGCGAAAGTGTTCATAGAAGGACAAGCAGAAATCACCGCAAATACCAGTGTTTATGGATTTCAATTTATCCAACCAGGTCTTGGGGTATCTCACATTAACTCCACACTTTCCTCCATTAAGAAAAAGTTTTGTGACCAGCACTTAAGACTTGAGGGTTGGCGTCAATTGGGAATGGCTGCGCGCGTCTCGGGCGGATGGTGGATTGGTCGGCGGTTGTACCTTGTGGTGAACGTGCTGGTGGTGAGGGGGGGGGAGGGGGGGGGGTGGCAGGTGTTGGATGTTGCCCGCACCATACCAAGACCTCTGGCGCCCCCGCCCCCCACCCTACCTCGAGCGAAGCGTTTGTTTATAAGCAGCGCCTGTGTTTATAAACAGCCGTCGTGTTTATAAACACAGTAAAGGAAAACTAAAACAAATTTAACAAACCAACAAACCAACACACCACGACAAGAATCCATGACAAGAATCCTTGACAAGGCGATACAGACATCAATCAATTCAACAAAAGATGCGTGAACAGAAGGTTAAGAGCAGCAAGTAAGCATCACGAGCCCGATCCAAAGGCCTACGTAACTTCAAAAACTCCTTATACACAAACGCAGGCCCCAGGATCGACCCTTCTGTATGTTTAAGCATCAATACATGCATCACCGGGTTCGTGTTCTCCTCGCTCTACACACAGTTAGGAAGTATTCTGTACTCCACATATGATGGTAGAAACCAGCCCTTTCCGGTCTCAGTGTCCGCCGTCTCTTGGCACTCTGGAAAAGCAGCTGAAGGGGGATGTGGTTGAAATCCAAACCTGGACTGTACATCAGGTCTACGACTCCCAAGACTACGAGGTTGGAGTGAAGACCTGGAACAGGATGCAAGCGCTTCTGAAATGCTTGGGCAGAGAGCTGGAAACCTCCACGACTCTGAGTGTGCAAACTGGCATCCTTTTGAAGGCTTCGGGAGCCGTAGTACTTGGAATTCGGTTAGCAACGAAAACGGCATTGGCGGTGATGATGATGATGATGATCACGGCGATGATGATGACGATGAATATGATGATGGTGGTGATGATGATGTCGATGATGGCGGCATCATGGTGACGAAGAAGGAGCTGATGATGTCGATGCCGACAAGCTGCTACTAGCTCTTAGCAAGAACTAGCTACGGCAAGACAGCAACAGCGCGAGTAGCAGGGATCTTGATCCCAACCTGCCATCGCAGCATTGATGACCATGGCACTCGAAGCGCGGATTACCCCCTCCCCCCGCACCGCCTCAAACTCTGCTCAGGATTCTTCTGCAAGCCTTTGGCGGGATAGGCTTCGTCGCCTATTCTGCAAGCGCAGTGAGCGTGGTCATCCAGGCACCCCGCCATTCATGAGGAGCTTCTCCAATGTTTGGCTTAGGCAGGACTTTTCGGGAAGCTGTGGCCAAAGCCGAAGCCCCACTAGAATTATCCCCCTGAGGCCCGAGGCCTTATCTCTCCTATAACACTGCGCATGAGCCAACAAAACGCTGACCTGGAGGGGCTGCCGATTGTCTCTGGAAGCTTCGTGCCCTTTTTTGATGCGCTAAGAGCGTGCAAACTTGAGTTAATCGAGCAGGTCCCCTGCTGTTGTCTCATTCCGAGCAACACAATGTCGGCATATCTCAGCTAAAACGTCATCAACTTCATCATCGTCGGTCATCATCATCACCATTATCAGTCGTTCTTGTCATCATCGTCATCGTCGTCATCATCGTCATCATCGTCATCACCATCATCACCATCATCACCATCATGAGCGTCCTCATCCTCAGACTCGTCCTTGTCATTATCGTCATGCTCCTCCGCCTCATCATCATCATCATCATCATCAACAACAACATCACCCCCACCACTACACCACCACTACCACCTCCACCACCACCACAGCAGCAGCAGGGCCGCAAACCGAAGTCGCCAGGCCTCCTTTGAGTCTCTCTCGCTCTCCATGATCGCTGGTGCCGGTGCACCTGCCATCTTTCTGCTGATGCAGCCTGGCTTCGACAGGCTTTCGCCTTGGGGTTCTTGGATTACTGATGGCTTCAAAGCATTCTGGAACTTCTTGGAAAGTTCAAAGCTGAGGCGGCTCCTGTCCCAAATATCGTGAGGCCCACATCCCCTCACTTTCACGGGGACGGCAAACTTCGGTCCGCAGCTTCGCGCTGGCAGAAGTGAGAGAAGCCAAGGATCGCGATCCGACTCGGAGCGCAGGCCGCGGCCCTCACCGAGAAATGCCGGGTTCTTCCCGCATTTGTGCGCCACAGCAGCGGTCCTTTTCAGGGTTGTAGGCTTCAGCGCTTCGAGCCAGCTACTTCGGACAATAACGTCTATGGACCTTCAGATTCCAGCACAAACAGGCATAGTAATCCGAGGAACACCATTCCGGGAGCCTGCATCGACCTCCATCGGCAGTACCTGGTTAAGTTCATCGTGGATACCTCCACCGGATTCATTGTGTGTCCTGGCTTCAGGCTTTTGATATTCACCTGCACTTGCTCTGCAGGTTGAGCCGCTGCTGTGCAGTTCACTTACTGTAGCTAGTGAAATGTTCCTTTCAATGAGTTTGGTATGTCGAGTAGCAGCCAAGACGAAATTCCCGAGAGCTCATCATGGCCTTACTTCCAATTGCTGCACCCCTGCCCTCAACGTCCCAATGAACCTGCTGTTGTCCTTGGAGGGCAGCCGGCCACGAGCCAAACGCCCTTTCTGCCAGGAAGGGGGTGACCCTCACCCAGGCCATGTTCCTCAGGCAGCTCTACCTTTTGGCCACTGTTCTGACAGGACCCCGGACCGCGTCCTTTCAAGAGTTGAGGGGTTGCACCTGGTACTCGCTTTGCTCCCAGGGCTTTAACGACGAGCCGCTCAGAAAGCCTAGGGCCCAGGGACTTTCAATTTAAACCCGGAGCCTCAACTCTGACTCGCGGAGCAAGAACTCCAACTCGAGGACCCCCAGCTCTCAAGTAAACCCTGCAACATCCGGAAGGTTTAAACCTTCGGAACTCATGGCTTTTAGTAGGGGCTTAGACTTGGTCTCGCCGTATCTCAACTCAGCACCAGCAGGAAACCTTCAACTTTACTTATCGTCGGACCGCGATTCTGAGAACCGGCTCCAGGCTTATTGGGCATCTTCATCCGCCTCTATCTTTGATTGCCGCCAGCACGGTGTGCAGTGAGAGCAGACGTTTCCGGCGGCCCCGGAAATCCCCAGTGCCCTTTCCGATCTGATAGTTAGTACCTAGAAAAAAGAGTAAGTGGCAAAAAGTTAGCATAGATAAAATATGTGTACATTATGCATGATGTGCATATACCTGCAGACCTTTCTCGGCCCCTTTCTTGGCGGTTCCTTCTCTGCCCCGGATGTGAGCGCCCTTGAAGGGAAGCCGGCATGCGGGCTTGCTCCCTGGGAGCAGAGTACCCTTTACAGATTCTGGAGCTCAGGCCTCTTGGAGGTGTTCGGATTGAGAGTTCTAGGATTTAGGTTTTAGGGGTTTTGTGGTTTAGGGCTAGAGGCTGCAAGGGTTGAGGAGATTCGACATCGGGCCTTCAGGGGTTGAGAGCTTAGAGTTAAGTTCCTCGGCCTTTGCTCCTCTCCCTTCTACCAATGGACTTCCAAGTCGCCCCCGATGTGGGCACTTGTCGAATCAGGGCAGTTTGAAAGCGGTACTATAGGGGCCTACAATAACTCATATTTTATTGTGGGGGTTCCTGATTATAGTTAGAGTACAATGGGCCCCAAAGCCCTATTCTAATTGTTACGGCCCCTATATTACTTGTCGGCAAAGCCGCAAGGTTTGTTTGCTATCATCCGGCGATGGAGAAGTGGAAAAGGACCATGCTACTCAGAGCCCTGTAAGTAGATAAGCAACTTAGGCCGTCTTGCTTTCCCCGATAGTCTCGGTATGACCCTGAGCAGTTTTGCGCGCCCTTGAGTTTCCCGCAAAGCCGAACGCCCAAGACGACACTTCGAGCCGCCGAAGCGCTCGGATCGGGCTTCTTTGCTGTAGTTTCTGTGGTTGTGGGCTCTTTTTGGGAGGTTCAGGATGCCTGTGGCTGCAACTATTCTTGCTTCCGTGTTGCAGCGGTTTAACCTGTGCGCTTCCGGTGTCTGCAGCGAGGCTGAGAACCTCGGACGGAGCTTCATTATTGTTTCTAATGCTATTACTACAAATAGCTACTACTACTACTGCTACTACCACTACTACTACTACCACTACTACTACTACTACTACTACTACTACTACTACTCCTACTCCTACTACTACTACTACTACTACTACTACTACTACTACTACTATCTCTATTACCACTACTATCTCTATTACCATTACTATTACTACTACCGTTGCCATTACTATTACCTTACTGTCACTATTACTATGACTGTTGCACGTATTATTGCTATTGCTAGTAATTTTGCTATTACCATTACGATTACCCTTGCTATTGCCGTTGCCATTGAAATTACCATTATCATTTCCACGACTATCGCTTGTTGCTGTTGCTATTACTGGTACTGCTACTGTTGCTATTACTGTTACCATTACTAGTACTATAAGTATACTTGGTGAAATTCCGTTACTTCTTAGTATTCGTGTGATATTCTGATTATTACTAGTATATTACTAATTACAAGTGTTTTTGCACAGGTATTGTTATCAAAAATTATTAATGCGAGTGGTATTGTTGTTCTCCTTTGACAGCACCATGACTTTTTCACGATGCCGCTTCCCGTCAGTAGCAGAAATTTAGTTTTTTTGGGGGGCCTGGGATCGTTTAGCCATGGCTCACTCCGACTCTGATGGAATCTCGGAGCCTGCCGATTGGACTCAATGTATGGCTGTTTGGGACCTTTCGCCTTCAGGCTTCAGGCTTGGAGTTCCGCCTGATTTCGATAATCAGGGCCTAGGCTTCAGCTGAAAGCAGAGCCGCCAACCCCCCCACACCGTGCACACGCGGATGTATGCAGAGAAAGTAATGCAGATAGAGGTGCCGAGTACAAGTGACTGCCAAAACATGCACACGTGCACTCGCGTCAGCGCACACACACAAACACACATACATGTATCGTGATATCTACATACATACACCTGTTCAGTTCAGCTTTATGTCATGTTGTTATGAGTCTTCTTTTATGATTATTATCATGCGCGCTACTTTTACGATGATTGTTCAATCTTTATGGGCGTGAGAATTACAGTAGCATCTTCATATAGCGGCGGGCCCATTTTTGCAGGTTTTCTGCAGCGTACCGCGTGCGTCCCCCCCTCCGCTTCTTTATTGTTGTCAGTACTATTTTTGTCATACTCATGTATCAAAACAAATAAATAAGCAAACATAAATATTAGTTATACGTATATATACATACGCACACGCAGACAAAAAGACAGAGTCGCGTGGGTGTCTACAGACCAAGGCGACGGGGAACTGAAATCATAGTGCGAACTCGGGAGATGGATCCGATCGGTGGATAGCAGTGCGACAGTTTGGAAAATGGCCCGATGAGCCGATGGCGATGAGAACCGCACTTTCTGTTCAGGGTCAGCGTGTGCGGGTTTTGGCGGTTTTGGGGCTGGGGCTAAGGTTTCAGGTTCGTTGGGTGTTCTCATGTTTAGTGCTAGATAGATGCGATGACACAGATGCACTCACAAACAGGCATGCAAGATGTATGGAGACACTTGTAGACAAGTTCTGTTACACGTCTGTAGAGATACGTCGATGCATGCCCGCGCGACACCATGCTGACTTCTGCTTCCTGCTCTGTTTACTTAAAAGTCTAGGAGAGTATGTGCACAATCACGGACAAAAGAGACATTGCAGAGGTATGTAAATAAATCAACAAGTACATGGACAACAAAATACATGCATGTTCGTTCTCGTGTATTTCTGCGATATATGTACATATATATATATATATACACATAACTGTATGTATGTGTGTACATATGTACCTGTGTACATATGTATGTATGCATGCATGCATGTATGTACACACACATGCATATACATATGCACATATGTACAAATGTCCTAGAAGGAACTTTGATAAATCAGTTATCCTACATATCTATACGCAGGCATTCACACGTTTGTACACACATATGCTTGCATGCATCCGTGCGCACACACAACACACAGTTAGGAACATCGATACACTCCTCTATGCGGACATGCAGCTACGCATGCTAGTGGGTGGGCGCATGTATATTTCAACACCGTACTAGCCAAGCAATCCGCATATTCTTTTCTTTCTTACTGGCCTTGTGCATACAGTGGCATGCAAATATCAGATAGACAGGCTGACGAATCGATGGACCGACACAGAGATATGCAGCGACAGGCACACACAAAAACGGAGAAACGAGCACAAAGAGACAGAGGGCCAGGGAGGGAGACAAGCATTGTGAGCTGAGATCTCCCGCTGAGGGGTTGAAGGCTGGCATCTAAAGGTGTTGGGGCGCTTGGGCCTTGATTTAGGCAAGCATCCTACTGGACCCTTCCGAAATACACAAGAGCACAGCGATCGTTTTGATGAGAATAAAGATGCTCTACCCTATGCCGCCGATGAGCCTCAGACGTCTGCTTAAGGTGCCCAAGACCCCCAAGAAGAAGGGTGTGGAGCCGCCGAGCGCTACACCTCCGAAAGTGAAGAAAAGTCGCAAGCGCCCCCTGGATGGCTTGGTTTTGGTGGTTCGGTTCGGGTTTCGGCGATGTGGGCTTGTTGTTTCGGAGTTCTGCTGCAAATCGTGCAGCCTTTTGCCGTCATCCTCCGGCTTCAAGCCTAAGCGAATCTGAACTCTGAAGCCTGTTCTAGGCCAGTGAAAGCATCTTGGTCGTTAACTTCTTTAGCATTTGACACTGCGGGCGTGGCTTCTTTGCCCCTTTCAGAGACTGGTCATCGGAGACTTGGTTGCAAACCCGAGGTAGCCCGTCCTCGGAAGCCGAGACGCCAGCGAAGCGCAAGAGAGGCTCGCGGGCTGGCGCTGAGCAGATGAGATGCGAGATCTGAGGCTGCGGGCTACTGATTCGGTTACTTCAACTCATAAAAGAAGCCGTGGGACCCCTCCCCCCCGGGCCAGAACAGCAACTGTGATGGTGGTGATGCTACGGGTGGTGGTGAGCTCGAGCATGGTACTCCGACCAAGACAGTGCCCTGCTCTGAGCTGCTTGCATAACTCAACCGCAACGGTCAAGACCGAATGTGCAGGGCGTACCTCTTCACCCACAGTCTCGCGATCGACACCTGCAGGCTCTGCTGGAGTTGCCATGCAGGTAGCTTCGAGAAGCGGGCAAGCTAGAAGATTCCAAAAGACAACACCAGCTGTCGCTTGTGTGGATCTTTTCATCCAACTTACAGCCGCCATCATTCTGACAGTAAAGGACGAGGGATGCTCAATGCAGGTCACTCTTAAATCGAAGTGCAGCATGCAGCATGCCGCAATTTTCAGGTGCTGCGCCGTCAACGCCGCGAGGTGCCACGGGCCTTGTGCTGTCTCTGGGTTTTGGTCACCAGAGATGCCGCATGCAAGTCGCTCGCGCACCGAAGTGCAGCATGCAGCATGCCGCAATTTTCAGGTGCTGCTCCTTCAACGCCACGAGGTGCCACGGGCCTTGTGCTGTCTCTGGGTTTTGGTCACCGGAGATGCCGCATGCAAGTCACTCGCGCACCTAAGTGCAGAGTGCAGCATGCGCAATTTTCAGGTGCTGCGCCGTCAACGCCGCGAGGTGCGACGGGCCTTGTGCTGTCTCTGGGTTTTGGTCACCAGAGATGCCGCATGCAAGTCGCTCGCGCACCGAAGTGCAGCATGCAGCATGCCGCAATTTTCAGGTGCTGCTCCTTCAACGCCACGAGGTGCCACGGGCCTTGTGCTGTCTCTGGGTTTTGGTCACCGGAGATGCCGCATGCAAGTCACTCGCGCACCTAAGTGCAGAGTGCAGCATGCGCAATTTTCAGGTGCTGCGCCGTCAACGCCGCGAGGTGCGACGGGCCTTGTGCTGTCTCTGGGTTTTGGTCACCAGAGATGCCGCATGCAAGTCACTCGCGCACCGAAGTGCAGCGTGCAGCATGCCGCAATTTTCAGGTGCTGCGCCGTCAACGCCGCGAGGTGCCACGGGCCTTGTGCTGTCTCTGGGTTTTGGTCACCAGAGATGCCGCATGCAAGTCACTCGCGCACCGAAGTGCAGCATGCAGCATGCCGCAATTTTCAGGTGCTGCGCCGTCAACGCCACGAGGTGCCACGGGCCTTGTGCTGTCTCTGGGTTTTGGTCACCGGAGATGCCGCATGCAAGTCGCTCGCGCACCGAAGTGCAGAGTGCAGCATGCCGCAATTTTCAGGTGCTGCGCCGTCAACGCCGCGAGGTGCGACGGGCCTTGTGCTGTCTCTGGGTTTTGGTCACCAGAGATGCCGCATGCAAGTCACTCGCACACCGAAGTGCAGCGTGCAGCATGCCGCAATTTTCAGGTGCTGCGCCGTCAACGCCGCGAGGTGCCACGGGCCTTGTGCTGTCTCTGGGTTTTGGTCACCAGAGATGCCGCATGCAAGTCACTCGCGCACCGAAGTGCAGCGTGCAGCATGCCCCAATTTTCAGGTGCTGCGCCGTCAACGCCGCGAGGTGCCACGGGCCTTGTGCTGTCTCTGGGTTTTGGTCACCAGAGATGCCGCATGCAAGTCACTCGCGCACCGAAGTGCAGCGTGCAGCATGCCGCAATTTTCAGGTGCTGCTCCTTCAACTCCCCGAGGCAAAATCGGTTTTGTTCAGTGTGCTGGTCTTGGTCCAAAACTTTGTATTAGCACTGGCTTTTGCGAGGACAGGGGTTTTTGGTTTCCAATACTGCTGAAGCTCGTGTTTTCTGAGCCAGGGTCGCCTGAGGTTCTTGTTCAGGTTTTTAGCCAACATGCCGCGGTGCCGCAAGGGGGTTGCCTCCCAGGACCTCCCCACACCCTCCGGCGCTTCACCCTAAAGTAACGCCGGACCTGGACCCTGAAAGGTAGGGGTACAGTAAAGTTCGCATTCATGAGGCAACCTCAATTTGTGGCTTCGGGTTGGGGCGGGCTCAAGGTTCTTACACAGTGGGTTCTCACCCTCGCACAGAAGAGCTCCCAGCTTTTCAGGGGCAATGCCGTCGACGCCACGAGGCACTGCAGGCCTCGACCTTGGTGGGTCTGCTTTATCGCGGTGGAACTACGGTCAGACTCTTCACAGGTTGATCTGCGACAGAAGCAGCATGCCGCATGCCTTAGTGCATCAGGTGCAGTGCCATCCACGCCACGAGGTGCGCCGACAGTTAACTTTGTTTAGAAGCTGCTCTTTTGGACAGTAGATGCAGTGCTGCAGTCTGGATGTTATTCCAAAAAAAGCATGCTGACTGTCCCATCGTTTCAGGTGCAGTGCCCTCGACTCCAAGAGGTGCTGCATTCATGTTTGTGGCTGTAGGTGCTGAATTGGACGGGTCGTTTCATGGAGACATGCCCTCGGAGCATGCTACATGTCCCAGGCTTTCAGACACTGTATGTGTTTTTTGCTAGGCAAGTACCATCGAGCTATCGTTTTGTCGTCCCCATAGCCAGTGCCATTGTCACTCCGCTTCCTCCTCTTCTTCCTCCTCTTGCTTCCTTCCTCTTCCCCTCCCTCCTCCTCTTCCTCCCCTTCCTCCTCTTCCTCCTCTTCCTCTTGCTCTTCCTCCCCCGTTCCTCTTCCTCTGCCTGTGCCTCTGCCCCGGCCTCTGCCTCTGCTTCATCCTCATCATCATCGTCGTCATCAACATCATCATCATCTTTTCCCTTCTGCCCATCTGTAGCATCACCATCACCATCATCATCGTCAGCAGTATCATCAGCATCTTCATCTTCATGGCTCCTTTGTTTCTGCCTCCTCCTCCGCACCTTCTGCTAGTTACTGTCCGCCTCATCATCACCACCAGTTCTGGAGTCCGATTACAGAAGCTGTGGCAGGCCGGACAGCTCCATCAGGTTCATCCAGAGGCGGTGCCATGGATGAATTTCGTGCGGATCTGCGGGCGTTGTCGCCCCGGGAATATCTAGTTAGGAAAGTGCATGTTGAAGCCCGGAACACAACTCAGATTTTTCTATTCGAGCCTCCCCCGGTAATGTGGGCAAACAAGTTTGGAAAGGAAAGACTTTCCCGGATGGTTGCGTCACCTCTCGAACCATCCCGCCGGACAGCATGAATGCTTACAGAAGGGTTGCCCCTAGAAAGGCGACTGCAGCCTGAACATGGTCAGGGTCCCATACCGCGAAGCCACGTCCTAAGAAGGACAAAATGAGTGAACACTGAAGCTCCCAGGTCCTAAACCGTCACCCTTGCAGCCTTGGAGTCATGCACTCAACCACAAGCCACAAACGTGTTAGGCATGGATTAGGTCATTACGTGTCACTCCTGATCCAGACGAAAGCGCTTAGAATCCCTTTTAAATCTTCAGAGCTGCTCCTCAGGTAATGCTGCCCTCGCAGCGCGCCGGGGCTGCACTGTCACTGCCAGTCCAGTGCTTGCCAAAACAGCAACAATAGCAAGAAGCAGGCAAACCCTGACAATGAGAAATCACAACGACGGCACCAGCAATGGCAAGGTGGTAGTAGTCAGAATGACTGCAGTGCCTCCGACCACTAGCACGGAAAAGACGGCAATGCCGAACCCTGAGCATGAAAAATACTGCTCCCAGACCAAAAGCGGCAGCAGTGATGACTTCTACAATGTTGGCGAAACAATACGGACAACATGGCTCATACCAAGACCTATATTACCTATACCACGCATGACGGCAAAGAACCATTAAACATCATCAGAAGTCGTAGGATCAGCAGCGAGAGCATTAAAAATACCAGCACTGCGAACACTCCTGTAATGGTAGCTCCAGGGAAACCCTGGTACCAACAATAGTGCCAGAACAACACTGTCGCATCCAACCCAACGAAGACAAACAGCAACAGCAAACGCTCAAGATTACTCAAGGCAGGGCCACACTTGGAATAGGAGTATGAACGACGAACATCGCAATGTGTCTTTCGTTGTGCGAGCAGCACCAAACGGGCCACCAACACTAGGAGCACCAATATCGCTTCTCGAGATCACGGACTCAATGATGTTGTTGACACCTCGCAGAGAGAGGGCAGAAGCAACCACGGCGACAACATTGACAGCAACAGCAACCCCAACCATACTGAATGACAGTTCTTCGTCATGGCTACACTACACGTATATTGGCATACGAGAATCAGCTTGTGACAATGCAAGCGACAATGGCATGAACTTACCTAATATTCCCATTCTGAGCAGACCAGCAGTGGCACAAATCATAATGCTAGTACCACGAGCAACAGTCACGCTCAGCGCCACAACTAAGTCGTTAGAAACAGCATTACGGCATTCGCACTACAAGAACTCTGACTGATGATAGCGAGGATCACAAGTAACAAGACTGGTAACCGCAGGCACCACCAAATTCACGGCCAGTGAATGGGACTCCGTAGCCGAGGCTCCCTGCGCCTGGGCCCATGACCCGAAAGACCTTTGCTCCCGCAGTGCCAGGACAGGCGGTACCTTGTTTTGGGGTCCTTATGATAAGGATCCTACTATTTAGGGTACTACATTGGGGTCATTTGCTCATTGTCCTCTGGATCCTGTTCGCTACGTTGCGGTGGTGCTCAAAGTGGCTGCAGGACTCACGAGCCCGGAGGTTCAGCCACCGGTGAGGTGTGGCTGCAAGACCTGTGCCCTAAGTGCATCAAGATACACACAATGACTTCTGTTGACGGGTAATGGTACTCGGGGCACAAGACAAATGATTGGTGGGTTTGTCGTGGTCCTCAGCGATGTACAGGTGTGCAGGTGACAGCACTTCGCGCTTTCATGATTCAGACAGCCTCTGCGACCACAGCTTCATCGTGAGTGTAGACCACGTCCGCGTAACACTACAGCGTTGCTCATCTTTGAGTGGTATCGGGACGACGGGTTTTAGCTGATTCGGTGATGCTTTTTTCGGAGCAAGGATCAGGGCCCACGAGCTTCGGAGTCAGCAAGTTGAAGTACATCTTCAGCCTCAGCTGCGATGTTTTACCCAAGGCGACAAGTTCGTGCAGCGCTGGTATATCCACAACAAGTTCGGCTGCTTCGTTGCTCGCTGTGATCCTTGGCCCCGGGGATGTACAAGCGCGTCATGAAGTGTCGTAAACGCGCTGATGGTGGTCGTGGCAGTTCGCTGCATGGGGACTACGCTGGCATATTGCTCGTACTACTGCTATTAGAAGTACTGTAATACTAGAGTTCCTGGTGCTACTGACTGCTGATACTGTGCGCAACTGCCGGTACTACTAAAGCTGCTGGTAGTACTCGTACTACTACACAATAGTACGAGTTGTACTAGACGTGTTAGTGGTACTACTCGTACCCTGGCCCCAGCCCTTCTCCTACTCCTACTCTCTACTGCTACTCGTCTTCTTCTTCTTACTACTACTACTACTGCTGCTGCTGCTACTACTACTAGTACTACTACTACTACTACTACTGCTACTACTACTACTGCTACTACTAGTGCCACCACTACTACCCCAACTACTACTACTGCTACTACTCCTGCTGCTACTACTACGACTACTGCTAGGATAATCGTCGAATCGTAGTCGTAGTCGTAGTCGTCGCCGTATTAGTAGTGATAGTAGTGATAGTAGTAGTAGTAGTAGTAGTAGTAGTAGTAGTAGTAGTAGTAGTAGTAGTAGTAGTAGTAATCGTAGTAATCGTAGTACTAGTAGGAGTAGTAGGAGTAGTAGTAGTAGTAGTGGTTGTAGTTGCAGTAGTAGTAGTAGTAGTAGTAGTAGTAGTAGTAGTAGTAGGAGTAGCAGTAGCAGTAGCCGTAGCAGCAGCAGTAGCAGTAGCAGTAGCAGTAGCAGTAGCAGTAGCAGTAGCAGTAGCAGTAGCAGTAGCAGTAGCAGCAGCAGTACCAGCACTAGTAGTAGTGGCAGTAGCAGTGGCAGTGGCAGTGGCAGTGGCAGTGGCAGTGGCAGTGGCAGTGGCAGTAGCAGTAGCAGTAGCAGTAGCAGCAGTAGCAGTAGCAGTAGCAGTAGCAGTAGGGGGTAGTAGTTAGTAGTAGTAGTAGTAGTAGTAGTATTATTATTATTAGTAGTAGTAGTAGTAGTAGCAGTGTTAGTAGTAGCAGTGTTAGTAGTAGTAGTAGTAGTCGTAGTAGTAGCAGTAGCAGGAGTAGTAGTAGTAGTAGTCGTAGTAGTAGTAGTAGTAGTAGTAGTAGTAGTAGTAGTAGTAGTAGTAGTAGTAGTAGTAGTAGTAGTAGTAGTAGTAGTAGTAGTAGTAGTAGTAGTAGTAGTAGTAGTAGTAGTAGTAGTAGTAGTAGTAGTAGTAGTAGTAGTAGTAGTAGTAGTAGTAGTAGTAGTAGTAGTAGTAGTAGTAGTAGTAGTAGTAGTAGTAGTAGTAGTAGTAGTAGTAGTAGTAGTAGTAGTAGTAGTAGTAGTAGTAGTAGTAGTAGTAGTAGTAGTAGTAGTGTTATTATTGGTAGTAGAGTAATAGTAATCGTCGTCGTAGTAGTTGTAATCGTTGTAGTTGTAACAGTCGTCGTCGTCTGCGACTGTGACGACGACGCCGACGGCACCTGCGTCGACTGCGACTGCGATCGTGACTACGACAACAGCAACTAACTACTACCAACACCACGAGCATGTAGCTTTATGCTTCTCCTTGCTGCATTGTGCAAGCATTCAAAGACACTTCAGGAGCCCAGCAACCCCCCCAGCTCTAAGTCCTCGCCCATCACGTTCTGAGGATCGCATTTTCCCCCACGGCGCCAAGACAAGGGCCAGCTACCACTTCTGGCAGCTGTGCGGAGGGTAGACTGGAGTTTTGTGACACTGGTGGAACAAACTTTTCCCCCTTCATGCGGCACATGCTTTCCAGCTCAATTGAGTCTACCTGGGCCATCGTGCGGTAGTCTTGGCCACAGTTAAGGCAAAGGTTTTCCCGCATGTAAGAGCAAGCGCACGAAAGACCGTGGCTTCCGAACTTTGAGTTGCCGGGATTAAGGGTGCATGAAACCTTCTCACGGTGCACAGAATCCAATGTATTTCCTTTTCGGATCGAGTAACAATCCGAAAGATTACATGCCTTGTCACACGCCGGCGGCCAAGGTATTCTCTGTTGCTCGGCAGCAGTCGGGTCGCTTGCGTATGACGCCGGGGTTCCCGAAGCGTCAGAGGCTTATGACCCTTCGCCATTGCGTACAGCCTATAGGGGCCTGGCAGCTAGCAACGTTGGGACTGGTCATTTTGTCCTTGGTTGCCGTAGAACCTCGTCAAATCTGGAAGACTATTGCCTGCGTGTTCTTTTCGTACTCCAGTGGCTGCAGTATGCCAAGGAATGGCAAAGACTGGAGAGCGACGACCAGCTTAACCTTTGAGATGCGGAAGCTGATGAGGAAAGAGCCTGTCAAGCAGAATCCCCGGCAGGCCCGTTGGACGAACGGGCACCTCGAGATTGTGTCTCCTAGTGCAGTGGTAGAAGTCCGCACATCCACCTGGGGGCTCCTTGGGCATATGATCTAGACTCTCGTATCCTAGGCGGTTCCGAAAACTTCAACTCATGGCTGTGGGGCTCGATTGCTAAAGTTCAGTTGAAACTCGCCTGCCGGCTTGCTTTACAGCATGGTGCATACAAATGCGTTTTCTTATCAACGAAGGGGGTGCAGAAAGTCTAACCAACATAGCACGTACGCACGATGACTGTGCAGAGTATGAGCCTTGGATTAAGTTCAGAATTGACAGCGCTTGCTATGACGGAAGAAGATCTTTCGGCCTCGGCGGCTTCAGCCTTGCAAGCTTCTCACAATCACGGGCTGGCTGTCGCAATTTTGCAAGAAGCTCTGGTGAGTTTGCTTGCATTGCTGAACCTGCCCCAGTAAGGATACATACTTCTCCCAATCAAGATCTACTTGCCCGCGAAATAATTGAAATCACCCGTTTGCTCTGATCCTGGGGACCGTGCCTTTTGCAGTGAGCATGTGTACTTCACGTATTTGCAAGCCCCTACAGTGAACCTCTCAAGAACAAGCAAGAAGACCTGCCTTACTTGTCCTAGCCCTATGACCAGAATTATCTCTGTCATTAGGCATGTCAGATTGAATCACTTGGCCAACAGTTTGGCCAGTATCCGCTGATTGCCAAATTGTGAGCGACTGCCAGCAATGATCAGAAGTGCAGACCCGATCCAGATTGCCGATATCTATTGTTTGTATTTGCGAGTGTAAGCTCTCTTGACTTCGACTTGCCCAGATGCTATGTACGTGCGTTCTGAACTATCAACATCGATTAGCGGGAGTCCTGGTAGATAAAACTGTCCCTAGTTGAAAAAAGCTTCACTTCCCGCGACTTGTTTTCGGATGAACTTCCAACTATATCTTCCCTGGTTTTTTGTCTGCAGCACAGATCGGCACTACGTTGATGAGAAGGCCAAATCATAAAGAACTTCTGATGTATATAGTGCAAGCAGTGCCGGTGCCGGTGGGTCTAGATAAGAAGCGGCAGCAGCAGTGTTGATGAGCTCCCCGGTTCAGCTCGACAGGCGAGGAAGTTTGGCCTTGCGCGAACTCGAACCCGAACCCTCAAAGTGCTCGACGTTCCGCTCGCAGAGATCGCGGAGGACAGACTTCGGGAACGGCGCGTCTTCTGGCGCCGAGGGAGCTTCAGGTCCGAAGTCCCAGCCCCAGTTCAAGCCCGTCACCGTAATCTGGACTTAGTTGCTGCACGGGTGCATCAGCGAAGTGTAGATGGTATCAGAGTCGTTAGAGAGAGTCGCAAGCAGCTCAGGTGTCACAGAAAGTGCCGTACGCATATATCGTAATTGTCATCGTCATCGTCATCATCATCATCATCTTCACAGTCAGCAGCCTTCGACTTCATCGCTGCATCCTCCGGCGACGAGTGTTGCTAAATTGCTGGTACTGTCGTTGATGGCCTAACAAGGATGTGGACAGAAATGCTGAAACCGAGGATGATGATCATGAGGATGATGATGATGATGATGATGGTGCTGAACAGGATGGTGCCAGCGATCACGGGAGTTGTCTGCTTGGAAGTATCTGTACTGGCGCCAGTATGAGAGTCGTAGAGCGTTAATAATATCAAGCATAAAGCCCGAAGCTGCACTGCAAACACCACAAGTGCTTGACTAGCGCCGAGCTGCCATACTCCAAGCAGGAGCATTGGTGTCATCTCGGGTGATGTCTTTGAATTCAAGAGCACCAGAAATCCTTGCTGCCTAGACTTCCTGCGGAGGACATAAAGATCACAAAGCGAGATCGCCTGGAGCTAGCAACGATGCTTGACACGAGGGAAGGGGCCGATAGCGTCGAGGGAGGATCCAAGCAAGCAATGTAAACACAAAAGTATCCAGTAACACTGCTAAAAACCATTGCTAAATTTTGGCGAAACCATAGTAGACGACCATTTAAAGTTTTGTGCAAGCTCTATAGAGGTTAGTGATGCTCTAAAACCCTTTAAAACAGCTCCTAGGATTCACAATTACGCATGATAGTAACAACTTCTTGGAGCACTTCCCACTCCTCATCATCATCACCCTCACTTTGTTTACGTTCGCAGCTTGCCTTGGGATTTTTCCCTCCGTACAGCAACGGCTGCCCAAAGAGCACGTGCTGCAGGAGCATGCTGAGCATGTTGCCTTTGTTGCTTTCGTTGCGCCAGTGGTTGTTGGTGCTGTTATGATTATTTGTTGACCCCCAAGCTTCGCAGATGCCACATCAAATAGCGACCTGTAGCTCTCAAAGCTCCGAATGCAAGGAATTTGATGAAAGACTTCTGGGAGGCTGCAGGATCCACGAACCTTGGCAGAGGTCTAAAGGGCAACCCAAAGGCCGGAGCTTGCCATGTAGGTACCCGGTCAACACGGTAGGATACACGGCATGAAACAAGTACATGCCTGTATATCTCTCTAGATATTGTAAGTTCGTACAATCTCTGTCCATGTCCATGTCTACTTGTCTGTCTTTTTCTGTACCGACATATGTATTGATAAATGTACTTGTAGCATCGCATTACTCATGTACTGTTCTGTTCTGGCATCCGGGGATTGCAACTCGTAGTCCGTCCAGGGTTCTCGCAAGCGTTTCCGCAGAATAGCGTGCGGGAACCTGGCCGCCCCGCCATGTGCCGTTGCAACAGTGCTCGAGCACTACCAGAAGATCCCGAAACCGGCCTTGAGCAAGAGCCTTGGGAGCCTCAACTCGGGGATTGCAGGGTCTGTTCTTGGTTCAGGAGACAGGGCAGGGGACCCTGCAACACAACAAACTTCTGTGGTGACCCTGCCGTTTTCCTAGGACCGCAAGCGTAAACCCTAAATCGAGGATCGAGAAGTATCTCTCGGAGCATGGAAGGAAGCCGAAAAAGTGGAAGAAAAACGTTGCCCGCAACTGGCCTGCAAGTGCAAGGATTCTAGACAGGGTTTTTGAGGCGTATCTGGCCGAATAACTTTTATTCCGGCCAGTAATCAACGTCCACTACTTTCTGAATCTCCGCAGACGGGTTGGGGCAACTGTTGATTTTGGAGACAGCGTCGCATTAAAGCCCAGTTTTGACAACAGCCAATGTGCTACCCCCGCTCTCTGATCCAGAGTATGGCTAGGGTAGTCGAAGTTGCAGGTTTTGCCAGGCCTCAGGGTCATGGTGACGTCGGCCTGGCCATATGTGCATGAATGTCTGCAGACGGTATGCTGGTGCCCGGTTTGTCCGAGGCCTCCGGACGGAGATGAAGAGTCGCCTGCAAGAGCAGGTCGCTTTGGGTGAGCCGATCCCGATAGCAGTGTTGGAAATACCTTTGAGCCAGGTCGTCCCAACAGGGCAGCACATGAATGCGTGCATGCGTGCATACGGTACTGTTCCATGACATTGCCTGACATGATGAAACATGACAATCTGTGTGTGTCTGTGTGTGTGGACGTGAAGTTTTACACGGCCGGACATCTGACTTGGCCCTGCTGTTCAGTATTAGACGCTCTGCTTGACACAGGTCAAGAAGAAGGGGCTCCTCTATCCCAAGCTGCTGAAGCATGAGGCAACGGGGCCGGGTATCTGGCAGTCAAGAGTGTTCTTGGCAGCTTTGCTTCGCACCAGCGACTTTACCCTGAGTCTTGCCCAAGCCAGCTTTTCGGTGTTTCAACGTGGCACAGCCCCGTTACAAAGCTTGGGTTGTGAGCTCTTGTTTAGTCTTGGCATCTTGGACAGTATTCCGCAGCTAAGTCAGATTTCCTTAGCACGGACTTTGAGGAGAATGCATGATCCAAAACCAACTTACCAAGAAAGCCTGATATCCCTTGGCCAGATTCTCCTGTCCAGCTGTCATTCCCTCAGGAATCGGCGTGACAACACCGGAAGCAGCTTGGATGCGCTTGACTAGTCAAGTCCTGGGAACCCCGGCGGTTGGCTCAGGTCCAACCGAAGAATCGAAGCTCGCGTGATCGCGAGCTTCTGGAGTTTTGAGCAACGGTGCGTGCAGGTGGCCAGGGAAGCTGGGCTGGACAGGAAACTGAAAGCTTTCGTTCCAGCTTCTAAGAAGTGCAACTGGAGTCTTCAGGGAATTAAGTCTTCCTGGCGAGTCGCTCCCAGAGGCTCAATCTTCCTTGCGCGCCCGTGGCGACCATCAGATTTAAGGGCGCAGCGGCACTGTGTGAGCTGCTGTGCCTCCATTTAACTTGACTCAGAAGTTCACGGGTAGTCTTCATGGCTGCAGTCATATATCTAGCTCATCTAGGGCTACAAGATCATCAAATATCTGCGACGTCTGAGAACTTCCCTGCCTCGGGTGTGCCCCGTTGGCGGATATCGAGCAGAGCCCGCTAAGCTGCAAAAGGCGCCGTGCCAAGGACGGCTTGGGCCGAGGCTTTAGGGGTCTTCCAGTTTAGGCGGGTGGGGGCTGAAGCTTGAGGAGGTTGGTCTGAAGTTTTGGTGTTCTCGAATCTTCCGGGCAACATGAAGTGAGTGGGTGCAGGGAATTTACTGGCCGAGCTTTGGCTTGTCGTGGATCGGACTTTGTTGCGGTAGGACTCCCGGTAGTTCTTTCCCAACAAATGTGGTGGACATTCAGTGGTCCAGCTTTTCCGTGGTCTCGTTTTTTTTGCAGCCTCCTCTTCAGTTGCAGCCTGTCTTGGCTCAGCAAACTCCGGAGTCAGCCTCATTGGGCTTGGGGCCAGACACGATCCTGAAGCTTCCACGCCATGAACGTGCAGGCTTCCCTTGCTTCAAGGCGCGATCGTGAGTGCGATCTGTTGTTCCGCCACCTTCTGCTTCTGTTGCCCGTATCCCCTCTTCCGGTCTCATTTCATTTGTCATGCCTTCCCGTGGTGGTGCCAAGTAGCACCTGCCGAAGGCTGCCAACTCTGTGCTCGCGGTGTTTGCGGTAACCGGGCCACTGTCCAGGCTTGTTCTGTGCAACAGCAACCAGATCAGTCCAATGCAATCTCGGAGCCCATCGCGCCATCATTCGTCAAAGGCTTCTCGCCACCACGGGCGAATCGCGTCATGACATGAACACATCTCTGTGGCAATTGATTTTGCTTGTCGTTCTTGTGACGTGTTGTTTCCTTCGACATGCTTGTTCGGTGAGCCTGTATAACTGTAATCGCCAGCCAGTTCTTGCCGTTTATGCTGGTGATCGTAGTGATGTTGCCGCTTGTGTTGTTTTGTGTTTTGTTCAGTTCAGTCCTGTTCTGCTCTGTCTTGTGGTGCTGTGCTGTACTGCGTGCACGGCACTGCGCTGGGTTGTGTTGTGTTGGTGCTGTTGCTGGTGCTGTTGGTACTGTTGGTATCATACCGGAACCTGAGCAATTCCTCATGTCGTCCCTACACGGTGCGACATTACTCAGGCAGCTGACTTCTGTGTTGTTGACTGTTCGGGCTCGAGCCCGGCTCCAGAGTGGCAAGCTGAGCTCCATGGCAGATCCTTGGGTTACGGGCCCGGATCCATGGCACAGGCTCTGCAGCAGCGCGCTCCAGGTTCCTCAAAACCAAGAATGTATTTGTGCGGGTTTTGTATTGAAGAAGTCTGGAGAAATTTATTTTCCCCCACACTGGCTCAGCTCCAAGCAGGTGCTCCACCAGGGCGGTCGGTCTTATCATGGGAGCTTCCACATCCAGGCATGACGATTCGGGTGCTACTGCGCAACCGGGAAAGCGGCTGGGCCGATGTGATCCAACGCCAAGAGAGCGGGAACAGCAGAGGCCTCTTCTGCCAGATGGTGGAGACGCGGCACACGTTCTGGTTCGTGCCAGCGCTCGTGGCTGAAGGCCGTGACCGAGCGGTCACGTGGGTTTGAAACGCAGCAATTGGTGGTGCGTTCTTGCTGGCGCGTGGGCTTATTCCTAAGAAGCAACCAGAAGCATAGATGACATAAATCTTTGCAACTGATTCCAAGAGCAGTTGAGGTTGAATCATGGGCGTCAGCAGATGAGAATGAGAACGTCGTTTCTTTCCGGCGATCCGAAGTAGAACGCTTGCATCGAGCACTGCAGGCTGATGGCCGGACTGTAGCAGTGCTTGGCAACTGGGTTCTTGAGTGATGGCGTCTCCTTTCCGTTGATGTTGCTACTGTAAGTCTCTTACACAATATCGCAGACAGCGCTTTTCGTACTGAATCCTCTTGTGAACTGTAGCAATTCATCGCGTGGAAAGCATTGATTGGTGAGCTAGACACTGCTGTCACGTTGCCACGGCTCAGGCAGCGATGTCCAACGCGTACCTGGCTTCCGAACACAACCATCTCAGATTCGTGCGACCCGCCGATACTTACTTGTGGTTGGAGAAGGTGACATAGACTTCGAACTGTTTCCGAATGCCGAAGCAACAAATATGTTCTGCTTCTCAATATTTCCATTGACCGCCTTACGATCATGCCCCCAATTTTGCCCGTATGGAGCCCCTTGCAGTGCTCATAGCTTCAGCATCTTTGGAGAAGGCAGCCGCGCCTACAGCCTCAGTGCAACGACTAGATTGCTAGATGTTTGTAAAAGTTGGTACGTGGATGTTCAGCTGCTATAGTCTTGATAACCGTTAAGTGTCTGATGGCAAGGTGAAGGCCGTGCTGATGGCAGAAGACGCACCCCAGAATGATCGCGATCGTATCGAGAGATTTGTCGAGAACTTGATGGGGACTGGTGTGACCGATCCCAGCATTTGGCGATTTACGAGGTGGAAGCTTGTGAAACGTACGGGTACTCTTTTCGCTGGGTTCGTAACCGGGCAGCCATGCCCACCCCTCCAGTTATCTAAGTAGTAGGATACCCAGTCAGCCAGGCGGAGGAGCGTTTTCACTGCAGCTGCAGACTTATGCCATTACATGAATTCTCGGAACGGTATGGACAGAGAGACGCTGGTTGCGGCTCTTCACACAGAAGATCGTTCGGCAGGCTCCCTGCAAGATTTCCATGAGTACAAGCTCTTCGCGGAGTTCTGCTGCGTCGATTGCCACCGAACTTGGAAGTCAGGCTTGGCATGGGGTGTGTTCGACTCAACGCGACAACCGATGTGCAACTGCTTGACGCAGCCACTGCCTGGTAGAGAGGACCGCACCACACCTGAGCACATTCGCAGAAACGGATGTGTGCATGTCTTCAGAGACCCCGAGCAGTGCGATCAAGTTGATGTAGATCTCGGAACTCATCGAGATGTGCCTAGACCGTTTTTCCATACCTTTGCGTTTGAGAAACCCATTGCACGCAAAATCTGAGGGTGTTTCCAGAGCAAGTGAGGTGCATGAGAATGAAAATGGTTTGCGTTTGCAGCGCCTGGTGACACGCACTTGCCGCTCGGGCTTGCGCCCGAGACCTGATGCAGGGCCCCCGAAGCAAGGATGTCAGGAATGTCAGCGCATGTGTGATGCTATCTACTGCCAAGTTGCAGAGAAGTTCTTGGAGAAGCCCCATCGCCCAGAGCTGTGCCCTAAGTGTTTGAGAACCGGCCGTTGGTGCCATGGGGCCATACACCAAGCCGACATAGTGATGCGCTACTCTTTGGTGGCTTCGCTGCTAGACACCAGCATCTTGTTCCGGCCCAGCGAGGCTGGATTGGAAGCTGAGATACAATACGAAGGACACAGAGTGCTGTTACTCTTGCGCCCGTGGCTCTACATTGTCCCCGAGCACCGTCTCACCTTCACCACCACGGGGCAAGAAGAGGCAGTGCTGCGACCTGACAGACAGCCAGCTGGTGCTGATGAGCGGGTCATGTTCCGTCGGGCTTTGCAGATGGTCATGTCTGAAAGGGCTGAGATAATGCAGTGGCCAGCGCAGCTGTCTCTTGCCGACACGGTTGCAGCGTTGCGTGCCTTCGCAGCTCAGAGTGCAACCATCTCACCTCCCAGTGATGATACAGCACGGGCTGTGCAGGCTGCTGTGGAAGGAAGGGATGTTGCAGAACTCCAGCGCACGTTGGAGCTGCTGCAGGTTCCGCAGAGCACGAATGTCAATGAGTCGATGCCATGTCTAGCCGACCGCTTCAGGGGCTTCCTGCGACTGCAGCACATAGGTCCATCAGCAGCCCCCGCGAGCGCGAGCTCGTCTTCGAGTGACCAGGCACCGGCAGCATCTTCGACAGGACCCGCGTTGACTGGGGCCACCACTGACCAATCCTCCGCTGTCCAAGCATTTAAGTTGGCTTCGAGTTGTATGGGGGGCAAGCTTGTTGGACCTTGGCGCTGCTTTCGTGTCGACGACCGGCAGCATTATGGCCAGCGCCACGGCTACACCTACTGGAAGCCCCATGGCTGGGTGAAGCGGCGATTGCAAGTTGACAATTACAACATGTGTAGGACGTGGCCGATCACCTACCACGGAACCAGTGTGGAGAACGCACCCAAGATTTTGCTGACAAAGCTTCGTCGGCCTGGCCACGGTGGGGCGACAACAGCGCACGGAGCAGCTGGCGCCAGTCAACAGGGCACCGTTTATGTCACGCCTTCCATCTACTATGCCGCACATCCCGTCTATGCCCCGTTGAACCGGATCGAGAACAGCTCAAGCAGATGGTTCCAAGTGGTTCTTCAGTGCAAGGTTCGGCCCGAAGCCTTCAGGGTGCAACGCGGGACTTTGGGCAACAAGCACTGGCCAGAAGATCTTCGCATGGACCCGAATTTCGAGGATCACTCTCAAATGGAATGGCTTGTGGATGATGAAAGCAACGCAGTGGTCATCGGTTTGATGTACCGAGAGCTGGGCGCCGAAGCAGACGGTGGCATCTACGGCAGCCTTGCGACCCAGTTGACGCATCATGATGCGTTCACTCATAGGGGCATAGAGTACGTGTGGACGGAGCTTTTAGCTAGAGAACACCGAAGGCGTGGCTTCCTGATCCGTTGAAGCAAGGCCGAAGGCCGTTTAGCTGTTGCTTTCCTCCTGGCTGCCGGCTGAGCAGTATGCTTGTGAATTAGTTGCTTCTCGTTGTGAATGTCGCAGCCAGCGCCATTTGCTACAGAAGCCGATTTTAAGCTGCCTACAGTTGACGGCAATGTATGTAGAGGCCGGGCACAGCTTCCTGGCAAGACATGAGCTATCGACCTCGTCACGGTACCTGCTGGGCCAGATGCTCTGCTAATCAGCGAGTGCATGTATTCCTGCCAAACCCCCCCCGGTATGTGAGGTTGGGACCGGACCGGAGTTATTATGCCGCAGGTCATCGATAGCTCACATTACAACAGAGTTGGGGTGTTGCCACGCAGAAGCACAGATCAACAGAGAGTGGACTTATGTTTGCGTCGGCAAAAAAGCGATGGCCTGGTACGAGCTTCCAAATTGAAGCTAGCGCAGCTGTCCTGACGTGTACCCCTGACGAAGTGTGACAGGCGTGCCGTTATGTTAGCTTTGCTGCTTTTTCTCGGCAAGTCCTTCGGTTTAAATCTGGGGTCTGCGGGTACGTCAGACTAGTGATTGTTCTGACGCAGACATTCGAACATGTCTTTCATCATCCATGCAGACTTGGCACATACTGATCAGGACTGGCATGGCGACAGCGCTGGCAAAGCGACATTCTTCGGAGAGGAGGTCCGCGGCTGAACGAAACGGTTCCGAGATTCGGAAGGACCCGAGCAGCAGAAGATAGGGATCGCTTCCCTGAAGCTCAGGCTCTGCAAACCTTCGGCCAAGCACCGTTGCAGCTTGACCCTGGCGTCCCTGGCTGCGCTGCCATGCATGACCAGCTTGTGTTTCTTTAGGGGAGTGGGTAGCGACGAAACGGTTCCGAATCAAAATGGACTAGTTCAACCTTCTCGCGCCCTGCGACTGGGCCGCGAAAGTACCCACAAGCCCAAACGAAGTGATTGTGGGTGACAGGGTGTGAAGCCAGCCGCACGCAGCCTCCCAGCTTTCTTCCATCGGGGCTCATTTCAACTACGTTGACTGGAAAAGCTTTTGGTCAGACAAGACAATGTCGAGTGCATTTGCAAGGACACGCCGCGCGAGGCGGTGGAGCGCTCAGCGGCAGGCACGGCTTGTGTCGCAGCTTGGAAAGGGCAACAGCATGTCCTGTCGAGTGCGCAACCTGCACAGGTCTCTGACCGTTGTTAGTTTGGGGCCTGAATAATAACCAATACTAATTTTGGGGGGTTCCTTATTATCGTTATAGCAACATATACCCCAAAAGCCTGTTAAAATTATTAAGGCCCCTTGTCTTTGGCCGCAGCCTAAGCTTCGCACCAGTTCGCGAGGCTTTTGGCCTGAGGACCTCGCCTTCCTCCGTCTTGAACCTGTGCTCAATAAGGAGGTTTTGGGGCCCATTACACTGTACTTGTAATACAGGGGCCTTAGTGATTAGAATAGGCTGTTGGGTATATTTTATTACAGTTATAATGAGGAACCCACCAAAATAGTATTGGTAATTAGTAAAGCCCCTAAATTTCAGGGTTCTTACAGTTTACTTGCTTTGAGGAAGGTTTGGTCCGAGCTTGGTCAGAAAGGGCGCCTGGCCAGATTATATATATATATATATAGGGCTTAAGATTAGGATTTAGAGTTTAGCAGTTTTCTACAGGCCATTCGGATTCTTTTTAGGGTTCTGTTCGGGTTATGATTGGCGTTGACAGTTGAACAAGGATCAGGCCCATGTGTGATTCGTTCCCTGATGCTACCGAAGCAGGACCTACAGATTGCAGCTAAGGATTGAGAAAGGTTTGGCAGGTTTTATTGTTGAGTCCTGCAGCGGCAATGTCAGGATTGCTGAAAGTCCGCGGAGTAAGACTAGTAGAGAGATCTCTGATGTCAACATGAGAGGGAAGCTTGGCCAGAAGTCAGAACATAGGCTGCGAGTACAAATGGCGACAATTGCGATAGCATCACGAAGCACAATATCACAAAGGCCGGATGTGCTCATAGCCGAAGTACTATTCGCAGCAGAAACATGCAAGTAATAGGCACCTTGGCATGGACAGCAATGGCAGCCTGGGGTCCCAACAAGGCAAGAAAGCAGCAATCACATCTTTCGCACTCAGTCGCAATGATAGCAATAGTCCTGCCAGTCGCTACGGCACAAGATAATGGCATTCACTGCAGATCTACAATCTCTGGATCCTATTGAAATGGCCATCACATTAAAGGTAGTCAATGCAGTAGTGCACGCGGGAATGACAGCTGTCATAAACTTCAGTAAATCTGAGTGACTGTCGCAGTCATCCAACCCATACAGTTTCAAGGGTATTGGCCGGACGAAGCTATAGCAGTGCTGGCAATGATAGGAGCAACAAGATATGAGAAAAAGGGTAGGTTTCTGTCCAAGGAAGCTGTTCAACTCGTTAGGAGAACTGTGTCGCAGATGATACGGTTTATAATGAAATGTCATGAAGTAGACCTTCGGAGATCTGAGCTCTCACTACCCATTCCCCGAAGATCTAAGGAAAAATCTTCTGCAGCACTATCCGAGCAGCTTGGTTGAAAACACGCTTGCACCATTTCCTTTGCTTGGGCTCACCAGCAGATTCGTTGCACAGTGCTGTGTTTCACAGACAGGTGGAGGCCAGTTCATATACGAAGCACTGCAGAATGCCGAGGACAGCTTGTTTTATGCCGAAGCGGTTGATGCTGCATGAGCTGATGTGTGCAGGACACCGATAAAGCCACACGCTTCTGCGCCGTCTTGGATCTCACACATCATGCAGATGTTGAGATCCGAGGCGAAGGTTGTGAGTGGCGGAAGCGGCTGCAGGGTCCAGCCATCGTCTTCTACGACAATGGTGGCTTCAAGGAACAAGATTGGGAGAGCTTGCAGAACATCTACGACAGCGTAAAGAAGTCCTCACCTAGTCAGGTGGGCAAGTACGGCATGGGCTCCAGATCCTTCTTTCACATTGGAGATATCATGCAAATCGTTTCTGGATCCAAGTATGCCATCTTGGATCCAGATGAGCGTGTCTCAGCGCCCAAACAGTTTGGTGACCAAGTCGACTTTGTCAACGACCGCTTTGGTGACGAAGAGAGATGTTTCGGGGATGCTTACCCAGATGAGTGTGCTCCATTCCTGGGTCTGTTTGGGTGCACGATGAGAGAGCCTCTAAAGGGCACAATCATTCGAGTGGCCCAGCTGCACGTTCGACCATGTGTCCCGACCTGATAACGAACTGCCCTGGTTCTATACTGAAATTCCTCATGAGAGGCGGGGTTTTGTTTTATCAGGTTCCTACACCTTGCAGCGCAGCGCTTTTTTGATGAAAACCGCCACAGCAGCTCCTGCTCTACAGGTGCCTCTCAGATTGGCGGAGTGGGCAGATGAGTCCAGCTTCATGCCGGAGGCTTTCGACGAGTCAAGAGCCTCCGCAATCTTTGAGGACCGTACCATCAGGCTTCAAGCAAACCTAGGCTTATAAGCACGATCCGTGCAGGCCGCGAGGGGGTCGTAGGCCTCGCGTTTAGTGTCTCCTCTAAAGACACGGCAGTTCCTGAGCCTGTCAGGAGTTCGAAGCGGCCGTTTCCACAGGAGAGTTAGCACTTTACTTGAGCCGTCTCTCCGACATAGAAATCTTCCGGCGAGAGACAGACACGGGCCTGAGGCGCACTGCTTATCAGTCAACCAGGGTTGTACCCGTCACCGGTCTGAAGAACCAGAGCCTGTCGGAGATCAAGCAGTTTCTGAAGCGCTTCAGCTCTCAGAGAGAGCTTGCAGATGAACTTGTCTGCAAGTTCGCTTCAGCCCCAAGCGTTTGCGAATTGGTGGAGGTGAAGGGTAGCACGGACGAAAAGCGTTGGCTCAGGTTCGGGGGATTTTTCCGTCCTATCGATGAGAAATTACAGGAGGTGCCCTTCGCCTGCCTGGCCGCACCGATTGGCGGAAGATGCGAGGGGCGGGTGTTCGTGCACTTACCTTTGCCGGTGAAGACCGGTTTGCCTCTGCACGTTCATGCCGGCTTGGTCCTGAGTGACAACCGTCGAAGCTTCTGGCGTCTCGAGGGCGACCTGGAGGGACAGCACACAGCCTGGGCCGAATGGAACGAGCACGTTCTCAAGCAAGTGCTGCCCGACCTCTACGCAAAGCTTTTGGAATCCTTGGCGAGGGAGGACGTGATGAAGTTCACCGAAGAGGAACTTTACCAGCTGTGGCCTGGGGCCGCGAACAAGCAGAACTTCGAGGCCAGACCACTCGCCCCCTGCTCATGAAAGCCCCTGGTCCTTCACGAAATGGACAGGTGTTGTACGAGCACTTTGTCATGAAGATAAAGGAGAAGAAGGTTCTCTTTGCCGATGGCAGGCTTGTTTCTCCGACGGAGGCCGTTCTCCTCTCCACTCCGACAAAGGCCTGGAGGTGTCTTAGAGCCTTGTGGGATTTGCTGATGCCTGAATCGTCGGAAGCATGTCGAGCTTTCAAAGCGCAGGGAAGGCATGCCTCTGAGTCTCTACGGCCTTCCCTTCTGCACAGGCCTTGCAGGGATGCCGCAAGATGCTGGAACGGTTCTGCTGGGATGCCGGCCACAATTTGGTCGAAATGCCCGAGCACGTGGCAGATCTGCTGAAGGCATCCTCTGTCAGCGTGACTTGAAACATTCAGCCTCCATGTTTTCTGGTAGGCGGAGGGCGTTATAAAAGGGTTTCCGCTGGGGTTTAAAATAGTTGCATCGATTGAGCAAGTTCTGTCAGGCAGAGTAGCAGGTACTACCAGTCCCCCTCAATGCCGCTTTCTGCACCACACTCGAAGCAAAAGCATTGCTAAATTGCACGGCTTGCTGTCTCTCAGATCATGTATGCACATTTGGCCTTATGGCTTGAGACTGTGCTTCTGAGTTTACTCAAAGAGTTGGTTTTGGACTCCAGGAAAAGCCCACATTTACATCCCCTGCAGCCTGACTCATTGGAGCATGTATCAGTATCACTGTTGAAAAACTACGCTTGTGGGTTGATCTCGATTCGATGTAAAGCCTAGCCACTGTAGCCGGCACTGGGGCCAAAGCTTCGAGGAATGCTCATCCCTCCTCACAAATAGAACATCGAAGCACTGTCCCAGCTGTGAGTTTCCCAAGAGTTGACAACGGGCCAGTCCCTTGAAGCGCTGGATAAGTGATGCGGGACTGCACCGAAACATGTTTCGCCAGTTTGCCCATCCAGCCGAAGAAGAAAGATGAAGTGATCTGGTTAACGCGTGCTAGGGTGATTTCACTGGTTGCACGAGGAGACGAACTGAACCCGGATTCGTGGCATCGTGCCTTTGGGTCGTGGTCGTAGTGACCGCTCGTCGTGCGGCTGTGCCATTGCAGCTGTAATGATTGGTCGTCAAGACTAAACGGGCGAAGACACGATGCTAGACAGAGATGCTCTCGGCGCATGTAGGCGGTCGTAGCGCTTTGCCTTGAAAAGACGACGGGACTGTCGGGAACTATGGGACTCGCGACGTGGACCGCAACTGACATTCTACTAGTACGTCGGCAGCAGCACTCAGGGACAGTCACGTGTCTTCAGGGACATGGTGTTCCCACCCGACCTCCCGAGCTTATTCGACACACTACAATCAATGAGTGAGTTCGGACAGTAGGCTGCGCATGGAGGCTGAGTTGCTTTCTGTCGCAGGAGTATGATGCGATTGACTGCCGGGATTGCCTGTGGGCATTCGAGGAGGTACCTCAGCCTCTGCAAGTGGCTCAACACTTTCAGCGGTGACTTCTTTGTTAGGAACATGCCTGGAACTTTGAGAGATGCTCAAAGAGTGTCCAACTGAACTTGGATAGAGGGCGGAGAGATGCCGGGTCAGATCCGATGTCGTCTCAGGTACTTCTCCCAAGCATCCATCAGATTTCAAAAGACGACCTGATTCCTTTCGTCTTGGCGTTGCTGCACTGGGGCAAGGCACGCCTGGCCTTCCACGTTGCCCTTTGCATTGGAAGCCGATCTCTGTGCTTGCCTGCAGATGGACTTCAACTCCGAGAAAATGTCGAAGCTGTCTGACTTGCTGCAGCGGGCAAAATGGATTCCAACATCCTGCGGAAGGCCCCTCGCCAGCTGAGCTTCGAGGCTGGGTTTCAAGGCTTCCACCAGCTTTCGGGTCCTGCATTGCTGTGTTCTGGCACATCCTTGCGCAACTGAGGCTTGTCTCCGTTCGGGATGCCTTTGACCCCTTTGCGAGTTTGCCAGATCTTGCGGCGGCTCGGCTATTTCCCAAGTTTATTGCTCATGTTTGGTCAAGCAAAAGGGTGGTAGCAGTCCAGGTGTGCTGCGATCATTCGGTCAAGTTGCATGCCCGCAACTATCAGTTTCCAAGGGTCACGCTTCGTTCCTCCTCCTCCTCCTCCTCCTCCTCATCATCATCATCGTCATCATATTATCATCATCATCATCATCATACCTTCATCATCCTCGCCCTCACCCTCACCCTCAGCCTCACCCTCATCTCGTCCTGATCCTCATCCTGATCCTCACCGTCGTCTTCATCAGCATCATCCTCTTCTTCATCATCTTTTGATGGTGACGCCGTGGGAAATGCCGAGCAGGAAGATGAACAACAAGATCCCCAGCTGCTGCTGCTGTTAACGTTCATACGGGCGGTGACGATGATGCTGGTGGCGATCAGAATGATGTCTGCACTTGCATGTATGCATCGCGACTGCTTGTGTGCGACGACTGCACACAACGACGGCCAACATATTCTGCTTTGCACTTGAGCCGGAAATGTTGGGATTGCAGAAAGGATAGGTCTGCATGTGCAGAATCCAGATGCTAACAGCCAAACATCTCAAACGGCGTCTCACCACAACCACATTCCATCCCCGACCTCACCTGCCATAATCACTCTACGTAGTCCATCATGCACCCTCTTGGGGCAATATCCTACGCTGTGAAGGACATACAGGCGACCGAACCCCACCTGTCTACACAGTTCAAGACCACTGCGAAATCTCGAACAGGTGGTTTGCGACCATCAGCCAGTGCTGCAGCAGTGGTTGACGCCGTTTGGAGAAGAAGATGCATCTTGCATCAGTTCAGCCAGACCCAACAACCTGAAAGCCCTGGCCTCCAGGCCGTCTTCAACAGTTTCTCAAGACTGGGCTTGTTTCCTTCTTTTGCAACCTTTGGGGTGGGAATTTCACACATCATGCAGTCCCAGATCCAAATGTGATGTGCATTGGGCTTCGATCAGCAGCTCTTGTCCCGCTCTTGGGGTAGCCGAACTGGTACCGACGATAGAGCATGTGCAACTGCATATGGCGCAAGTCTCCGCTGATCAGGTAAAAAGGATCTGGGATGTACTCCGCTACTGTGGTTTGAAGCGCCAGCTGACATGGTGCCTTGCCATCATCTTGAGCGGGCTTTGTCTGACTCTGCTAAGTTTTCAGCCTGCCCGCAGTTCAGCGGACTGCGTCTCTCAGAGCAGGCTTCGGGTCACTTGGTAAACTCTGCATGCCTGACTGGAGCCCAGCAACAGCCGTAGTGTGGAAGCGTCGTCGCTGTGCTCACTTCGTAGTGCTTTGGAGCTTTGTGTGATTGTTGTTCGCCCTGTTGCATAACTGGTCAAGTTTGTGAGGAGTACATGATAATTCTCATGAACCCCTGACCTGTTCGTCCGCTCCCTGCTGCAAGTCGTATCCAGGAAAGATGCTGCAGTGGAGGCTGAGGATGCGGCAAAAAGCCGCAACCACAGCCGTGCGAAACTTCTCTTCGCATACTTGGAGGAGCCTCTGCTTGAGCCATTGCATTCGTCACGAGGGTGTAATGAGAGCTCTCGATGGTTTGTGCTGAGTATTTGCCCTCTATCAGACTCAGATCCTTGTGCCCCTGAGCCCTCTTGCAGGACAGCCACCAAAAAATGGATAAAGAAGAGAACCAGGACGCACCCGCACGCGGTGAAGTGGTACTTGTGTGCAGCGTCAGTGCGTGCGTGCGTGCACCCGTGAAGTAGCAGTTGTTTCGAAAACTTGGAGCCACGCAATAAAACGCAGTTGAAGCTCAAGCTGCGGCATTTTTCCTTGATGTGGACCAACAGAGAAAATCGGAGGAGAGCTTGAAGGTGCTGCAGACTGCAGCCTGGGTCCCGGCATCCGCACCCCAGCAGCCCGGGGACAGGCTTCTGGGGCGTGATCCCGCCGCTGGGCATGAGAGCTTGCAGGGCGCAGGCCGCAGGCCAGGCAGGTGAGACCAGGCATGACCAGGCGATGGGCAACGGAGTCTAGAGTCTAGGACTGACTTCTCAAAGCTGGTCTTGACTTTACATTTGGCACGACCGTAGTGTGCGCTCCCGAAGCCGTCTGCTGCAAGGACATGCAGCTGAGCTCTCTTTCTGATCTGTTTCCGCAAGCTGACTTGGGAGTGGTTTGGGCAGTAGCTGGGCTGCATCAAGCCTCCTCTGGTGCTCGCATAGTGTCAGAAGAAAGATGGCGATTTCGTCCTGGGCAGATGTGAGTGCTAACTACGACTCACGAGGCTCATTGCCATGGCGATTGCTAGGAAGAGTGTGCTGCAGATCATGAAACCTACTTAGAGGATCATGGGACTTAGTAACTAGGGTTACAATTAGGGTAACTCTACTTGTAACTACTTATAACCCCGATTAGGGTACTTGTAACCTTATTTGCTAAGTCCCATGATCCTCCAAGTAATGAAGTGCTCCCTGAGGTGGCGCCGACGCTGCATGCCGATCCTCAGCTGCACAAGCGCACGCACTTGCCGCTCCTAAGGCCGAACCCAGAGAGCCCAATACCCCTTAATTAAGAAATATGTAGCTTAGATCATAATATGAAGCCCTATATGATTTAAGCCATATTCCTGAATTAAGGGGTATTGGGCTCTCTGCCCCCTCAGTCCGTTGCGATCCCATGCTTTTCTTAGGGTCGCATGCTGCAGCAGTTTCACCTCCAAGTCTCTACGCAGCAATCGCCCTTATCCACAAGCACCACAAAGCCCTTCACACCCGGAAAGGCCTGAAGCTTTGCGTCTATCTGTGGGATGCCGAGGAATTACCTGACCCCAGTCTACTTCGACCCAAGCGACTGGCAACCAGGCATGAAGAGAAGGTAAACTTGATGATGGGTTTGGCGGTCTGGTGTGAAAACGTTGGGGCTTCAGGGTTTCAAGACGGCAAATGGATGTGGCAAGCCGCAGAAGTGGTGTATTCCATTTCGCAAGTTTTTGGCAGCTTCTTGCTCTCGCTGTTGGCCGGCTGTGCTTTCGGATCCTGTAATGTGAAGTTTCAGATGCAGGAACTCGAAAGACAGAAATCCCCATCTCCGACCGTGGCATGATGGTCATTCATGCGATGGGGACAGTGCAAGCTTGACAGCTCGGGTTGTGCACCGCATCAGTGACGGTTGGCCTAGGTAAAGGACGAGCCCAGCATCTTGATTGAGCAGCTGAAGGCTTGCTCCAGGCAGGGATCCTTTGACCTGTTCGGTCTTTCATTTTTCTCGACAGACCCCAGACACCAAATCCCCCTGGCATCAGGGCATGCCCGGAAATGGAGATCGCAAGAGCGGCGCCGGAGCAGTCGCTCGCATCTTCTATGGTTGGGTTTTTGGCGCTTCGATTCTCTCTAGGTGGTCTGAGTTCAGGGTTGCCCACCTTGCCGTGCCTCTCTCGAGGGAAGGAGCCGGATGGGGGTGATCACTCTTTCGCGAATTTGCACAGAAGCCGTGTGAGGTATCCGTGTCCGCGTCGAGTGCCCAAATCACTCTGGCGTCCACTGCGAGAGCTCTTCAAAGCCATGGTTCTCCACAAGAACAGTATTGCGGAGGAGCTGAAGGAGGTGGGTCTCCAGGAAGCTTGCGTTCCGTGCCTGGCAGCGGACTCGGAGTCTTCGGCCTCGTTGTACGCCTTGCCCTGCGTGGCCTTCAAGGCCAAGAGCAGCCCGGAAGTCTTGGCCCCGGCGGTTGGTCTGGTGCATCCGGACGAGGATGTGAAGCAGCTCGCAAAGGTTTGGGATGTTGGCTCGGAACCTCCTGCACCCGTCTTGGCTAATTTTTCGCTGCATCTGGGACTTGAGAAGGCGGCTGCGTTTTGCACGGAGCTCGCAAGCTGGCTGCGACGGAGGACCTTCTTCGAGAACCTCGCGGTCCCCACCAGCAGCGGCAAGCTGCTCCCGCCATCGGAGGTTTTCATAGATGATGCCAAGTGGACGAGAAGCCGAAACCTTGAGACCGTGAGCTCAGCAATATCACCCGAACATGCCCGGCGCTTGGGATGCACCTCCATCAGGGACAAGCTCGCTGAAGAGTGTGAAGATGCTACCGACGAGGATGGCTTTGGACAAGAAGCTGATTTGGTCGATCAAGTGAAGCTCGGGCAACCAGTGCGAAGTAAGTGCTTTTGTCCACTTGTATAAGGTGTGAGATTTGTGCGTTCGTTGAACACTGAACAGCCTTAAGGAAGCTACTCTTGGACGACTACAGTTCGCAGAGTGATGTGGTTGCTGAATTCTTCCAGAATGCGGATGACCATGGTGCAGCGTCCCTCACTTTCATCCTTTGCGATCAGCAGCATGGAGATGAGAAGATCGTGGACAGGCGCTGCAAGGCCTTGCAGGGGCCGGCACTCTACATTTGCTCCGACAAGGTGTTGACGGACGAGGACATCAGGCTGATGCAGCGGGTAGGTCGATCTTCCAAGCGCTGGGACTTCCGCTCCACAGGTCGTTTTGGCATCGGACTCAATGTCATGTACAAGTACTCTGACTGCCCGCAGCTGCTGGCGAATGGCTACTTGCATTTTTTCGATCTCAGTAGATGCTTCGTAGCCAGAGACGGACAACGCCGTGGCAAGAGGTACAAGGTCGAGAGCCTGAAGGATCGCTTCCCGGACACGCTCGCCCCCTTCGAAGGGCAGTTTCAGGAGCATGCGGTGGTGTTTCGACTGCCCCTGCGAGTAGAAAGATCCGAACTGGCCGAGAAGTGCTCCTACGGAGACGTGGAGAGAGACCTGAGGCCGGTCGCAGAAGCTGCTGACTCCATGCTCTTTTTTGCACAGTCGATCAAGAGCCTGTCTTTCCTTGCCAAGGGGCATACGATTGCAAAGCACTCGGTGACGTTTCCAGAAGAATCGGGCGAACAGCGGCTGCAGAACTTCCTGGCAACTCTTCCGGATTCGAAGGAAGAAGCCACCGGTGAAGGAGAAGATCGTCAGCTGACCGTCGTGAAGCGCTTGCAGAGCCGCTTGTCTGTCCTACACTTTAGCCCGACGCGAGCCCAACATCTGCAGCAGAGAATTGAAAGCATCTATAAGCCGTAGCACAGTGATATACTCTTGCCGCGATTGTTGAACTCCGCGCCGGGGTTTGTTTCTGGGCCTCGGACATGAGAAGGCATCGCCGACATGGCTAGTGGACGCACAGTTTAGGGATACGATTGGATACGGGAGACTTGTTCACCACAAGGTGACACAGGCACACCAGCGACAACACGGGAGCGAGACTGGGTCGTCGCCTACACACTGAAGTGCCTTGGCTCCTCAGGATGTCCCGCGAAGACTCCCAGAACCTTTCCAATAAGCAGAAAGCCAGAATCGAATCTTGAGGCATGGCTCCTACTTCGCCTATCGATGAGCCAAGTGCAGCCCAAGAGTGATAGCGAAATTGGGACATAGGAGAACTGAGAACGTCACCTAGTTATATTTCTGCGGCCCTGTTGTCACCTAGTCATATTTCTGCGGCCCTGTTGCAACTCGGGTTCCATATCCCAAGTGTGCGTGAATCGAGGCTGTCTTCGCAGAGGCTGCGTGCGCTGAGCCGCGACATTTTCGACGAGGTGGGGAGTTGGAACTGCAGTAAGTGTAGGCCGCAGGGCTCTGAGCTCCGAGCTGTTGCGTGGTTTGGAGTTGGGGTTCTTGCGGCTAGACCTTCGTATTCGTAGGGCGGTTTCAAGTCGTAGGTCGTACAGGCCTTTAGACTTTGGGCAAAGGGGCGTTTCCGCATGGCCCGAGGTGCACGGCTCCGCGCTGCTTCCCATGGGTGCCTTTGCGCTTCCAGCAAAGCTTTGCAACGAAGCCTTTGAATCTACGCCTGCGAAAGACTGCAAGCCAGAGGCCTTCACCCAAAGCCAAGGTGCGGCAGCGGCGCCCCTGCTTGCCACCGAAGAGAGCTCTGGGCGTCTCTGCTGCGGGCTGCCAACTCCTCTAGCGCACCTCTGCGACGATCAGACCAGACCTTCAAAAACTCCCAGCCCCAAACCATGGGTTCTGTGCAGCGATTAGGGCATTTTGTGTTTATGGTCTTGAGCCTGTGGTATACAGTTCAGGTTCAACGCGTAATACCAGAGTCTAACCCTTCGAAAGGCAGCTGTCAGGCCCGCAGGCCTATTCTGAGGTTTCAGGAATCGGAGCTCAAGAAACAGGTCCTCAAAGCATATCCTTTCGAAGCCAGCTTAGGACTGGTTGCCGCTCCTGGATCCACGGCAGTTTCGTCCTGGGCTCCAGCAGTCCCTCAGAGGCAGCTCTCAGTCTCCCTAGAAAATGGCCAAGCGGTTCTTGGTCATGGTGGGCAGTGGGCTTAAAAAAGGGATTCAGTGTGGAGCGGGGCTTTCAAGACATGTTGGACTGAGATTTTTTGGGACCTTAAAACTGCTTTGTGTTAGGCAGGCATTGGGTGAGCAGTCTTCATTGCACATCAAGCGAAACCATAATGTTGCTGCCATTGTGGTTCAAGCTTGATCCAAAACGGCTTAGAGAGTTCTCTTTGTGCGGTCACAGGAGGTACCTGTGAGCATGGAATATGCCATTGCCAGGTTGGCCGTCCATACGGACGATCAGGTGCTCCATCCGGCGGCCATGCTGGACTGGCATGCCCGGATCCGGGCCCTGGTGGAGGAAGGGTCCTCCTGGGAAGCCGCCATGCTTTGGGGGGCTGTGCTTGAAGTCTCGCACATTCCGCCCCCTCCTGTCGATGTCCTCGATGTATTGCCACTAGGTGTGCCACCTGTGCGGCTGGTGCCATGCGTGGACCTCAATTGCGAGCGCTGCCGCACAGAGCGTGGGGGATATCAGTTCCCTTTCGTGGGGACTTTCAGCCGTCAGACGGTGTTGGTTCCTCCGGGCACGTCGCCCGCGGAGGCTTGGGATCGATACCATCGGGAGATCCGCACCTTGTCAGGAATGCAGGTGCTGCGGCTGGCCAGCGGCCGCTGGCCCACCGACATCCTTCCGGACCACGCCGGGCGCCTCATCGAGTATGTGCGGCGTCATGAGCATCCAAGGGGCGTTACCCCTGTGCAGCTTTGGCGGTTGTGGCGGTCTGGGCTGACCCCTGGCACCCCAGCCAGTCTTTTTCAACCAGGTCGGTTCACTTCCCACGTGTTGTGTGGGACCTGCCACCGCTTACGTTGGCACAATTCCTCTAATGCTTTGGGACCTAATGCCTTGGGTGTGTTGCTCGGAAACGGGCATCGGAAAGGACAGTGAGGAACACTTGTCCAAGGGTTGCGTTCTACTGGGTGGAACCCGGTAGATTCCCAAAGCAAATCCTCGTGGCGAGGTTGTGCAAAGCAGTCGCGAGTGACCGGTGGCAGGAGCGAAAAAGAACCGAGCCGCACACTCTAAGCATGCATTGCAATGTAAAACTGCTTTGTGTTAGGCAGGCATTGGGTGAGCAGTCTTCATTGCACATCAAGCGAAACCATAATGTTGCTGCCATTGTGGTTCAAGCTTGATCCAAAACGGCTTAGAGAGTTCTCTTTGCCCTCCCAACCCACCCTGAAGTACGGTCTCCCGTGGAGTCGCCTTACTTCTTGAAGGCCCCGAAGGGGCTGGGGTTTGCGCATGTTATGCGATCGTAACCCTCTTCCTAAGTTAGGAAGGGTGTGTTGCCCGGAAACGGGCATCGGAAAGGACAGTGAGGAACACTTGTCCAAGGGTTGCGTTCTACCAAATAAAACCCGGTCGATTCCCAAAGCAAATCCTCGTGGCGAGGTTGTGCAAAGCAGTCTCGAGTGACCGGTGGCAGGAGCGAAAAAGAACCGAGCCGCACACTCTAAGCATGCATTGCAATGTAAAATCCAAGGAAAGGTCCTGCCTTTGCCAGAGGGAAACGATTCGGGCAAAGATCGGCAGTGGAACCGGGAGCTCCTGCGACTTGATGCCCGATCATTTTCTGGGTCAGGCTGTCATGGAACTGACCTCTCGTGTCTGCCAAGTACGGAAACTGAACCCACAACCCTCTGAGTCAACGTGATCTTGGAAGATCTAAGGCAAGTTCCAGTGGCAGACAGCATCCGGCTAGTGCTACTCGAATGCCGCGATCACGTGCAGACTTCTGACCACGTGCGAGAGCTTTTCAATCTCCTCCCGCACGAAGCAGGAGATTTTAAGCAGCTCATCGCCGAGGCGGTTATGCGGGCAGTGTTGGCAGATCCAATCTTCCCGGTGTTGTCGCAGCCGCAGCAAATTGCAAGGCAACGCGCTGCTGTTCGTGTCTGGGTGAGAGGCCCAAGCATTCTTCTCCAAACTCAGCGGCTTTCCGATTCGATCCAGTTTCGCCTGGCTTCTGATGGCCTTGACATTGTTTCTCTGCCGGAAGCAGCACGCAAGCTCTATGCAAAAGCTGCGGATAAGATCCAGGAGCTGAATGCATGCAGCCTGTGCAGCTTTTTGCGGGAAGCATGGGCTACTAAACACCCCGACTCTCGGCCGGTAGAGATGTCACAGGCGGGGTTTGCGGCGCTCTCGAACCGTGCGGATGCTTGTGCTCTGCTGTCCTTCGTCGTGAAAGACGCATGGAAGAATGAATTATATCAGGGATTTTCGGGCACGTCTTTCAGTTGTGCGAAGCTCAGCGGAGTTCCGTTGATGGTGACGAGCGGCGACGAGATTTGCACCTTCGATTCGAGGGCCCCGAAGTCGCTTGGTCTGCAGGAAGAGGCAAGGCAAGAAGAACTGAACAACCCTTTTTGCATCTCCTTCTTCACCACATAAGGTTCTCCTCTGGTCACGAACTGCTCCCAGACAACCCCGGCCTCTTCGTTCACAGGGAAATCCTGGACGTCTTGCGCACAGTGGATCTGACACAGCCCCCGGGTCCATCGGAGAGTGTCCATGAAGCCGGTGGGTGTGCAACCTTTTACTCTCAATGATCTACTGCAGCACAAAGTGGAGATAGAAAGCCAAATGCTGCCACTTGGGCCCAGCTACCGCAGTGAGCTGTGGGCATTCTTGCGGAGAGTTTCCCACTTTTCATCCGATTGGTTCCAGCAGCTAGGGGACTGGCACATTCTGCCGGTGGACGGCCCGAATGATAGCCTTGAGCTTGTACCCTTAAGTTCAGCTCGGCAATCGGTCAGGGCGGGAGAGTCCGAGCACCTGCAGGAGGTGCTCCAGAAGTGTAGCATCCACATTTTGCAGACAGGGTTTCCAGACGATATCGTGAGCGACTATTTGGTGTCGAAGGAGTCCGATTTGATTCGTTTGCTTGTTGCCATGCACAAGGAGCATCGTGTCATTGAACGCCTCTCAATCAAGCAGCGGCACAGCCTGCTCGTCCACTTCTCATGCCTGTCCCTAGGGGGATCGTTAGGGCTTCCGAAAGACACCGAGAAGGCGTTGCAGTCGGCTGCAGAGCTGCCGCTGTTCCTGAAAGCCGAGGGTGACGATGACGGCTCTTTCACGGGACTTGCCGGCGAAAGGGCGAAGTATTGCTGCTTGCACCCCGACGACCCCTATGCAAGTCAGCTGGAGAAACTTGTGCCGTCGACTGTCACCCTTCTGTCGTGGCCGACTCGCGAAGTGAAGCCTATCTACGAGTTCTACGATCTTCGGGTCTGCAATGGAGAAGAGTTCATGGTCGAGTTCGTACTACCTTGCATCCCAGAAGCCTGCAAGTCGCCTGAGACAGCTGAGCCATACTTGGAGCTGCTGTATGCCTATGTTGTGCAGGAGGAGTCGCAAAGAGTCACCAAGGCTGCCAAGAACTTGGCCTTTGTGCCCACTGATGAGGTGAAACTGCGTCGTTCGACAGAGCTGCTTGATCCGATGCTCGCAGTGGCAGGGCTCTTCAGCCATGTTCTGACAGCGAGCCTTCCGGCCAAGTGGCTGAGGAATGAGAGATCTCTGAGTCTCTTGAAAAAGCTTGGGCTGATGAGCACTCCGGCACTCGAAGCTCTCGTGTGCTGTGCCCGCCATTTGGATTCGTTGAAGCTTGAGCCGATGACGAAGGAAATAAGGAAGCTGTCCTTTCACCTGGTTGAGGCAGTGGCTCACTGGCTTGTATCTACTGCAGGCAAGCAGGCAGATGTTCTGTCCAAATTCCACATCGTGGTGACAAAGGACTTTCGGAGCAGCCTGCAGCAGGCAGCAGAGCGATGCCAGCGGGTAAGCGATCCCGATTTTTACGCCGCCTCTGAAGGTGGGGAAGGTGAGTGTATTTTGAAGCTGCAACCCTTCAGGGGAACAGCTTTTGGTGCTTCTCGACGGGTCCTTTGGAGCGTGTGCCCTGTGTCCGCCCACGAAGATCCAGAATCATGCTTGCCAGCTGCAGATCCTTGTCAGTCCAACTCGCAAATGGATTTTGCCGTTGAGCAACCTGTGTTTTCACAGGTGCTTCAAGACAAACTGGGGGCACATGTGTCTACCTCAAAAGTTGTGCCAGCGCTGGTGCTCGTGCACATGCAGAACCTTTGCCGCCACCCCCACCCAAGGGAAGACAAACTACGGTTTCCGAAAACGTCGGCTTTCAACGAGCACCTCATGGAATGCTGGAAGTTGCTGCAGGAGCCAAGTTCGGAGTTTCTCGAGCTTGTGCCCAATGATATTTGGGATCACTTGGGGGACATACTATGCGGAGCCTAGCTCGTGTTCCGAACCAGTGCTTCATGTTGATGCCCTGTCATCACCGCAATAGGCTCGCCGAGTGTCCGGCGCTCTGCCAAAGTACCGCTTGCATTTTGTCTATGTCTTAGATGATTTGTTGTTCATGTTTTGCTTTCCTGCTGGCATCTTGTCATTATGCCTTCTCCTTGTTGCCATGTTGTCGTTCCTTTCTGAGTCTTGTCTTTTGTCATCGGTCAGCTCTCTGGTATCGTTCCTCCTCGCTCATGCATGCATGCATGCATGCATGCATGCATCAGAATCATCCACTACGATCTTGACCTCTCTCTTCTCTAGCGTGCTTCACGGCGGTGACCTTCACACTTCTTTTGCAGGACTCAGAACCCGTCGCAGATTCTTCCGACAGTTTTGCCGATCTCCGCTTCGCTGCTCGGCTTTTTTATGCAGGAGCCTGGAGGTTCTTTTAAAACAAAGCCGAAAACCCTGATTGCTTTTAACCAATAATTGAGGGTTTTTCTGTGAAGAGGTGTTCTCAACCTCACTGCTGGGGAGATTGGGAACGTTGCAGTTCTAGCTGAGCGAATCATTGGAGCTTGCGGATGCCACAAGCATGGTCATGGGAGTTGCAGGTAGGGTCGGGTTGTTTGACTTCCCATTCTCTTGAGCACCGCTGAACATGCACGTTGAGGTCAAGCTTCAGGAGGGGGACGCAGCCGACCGCCCGAAGAATGACATGGTAACTCTGGCAAGACCCAGGAAATCTTGGCTTGCATGAGCATGTAGGTTAGACCACAGGAAATGTGGTTCAGTGGGCTGTGTGACGAGTTCTCGGGGCACAAGGTTTTGCTTTCAAGTCCCTGGCAAGCGAAGCTCTGACCAGGAGATGCTTCTTGTTCAACAGCGGTTCGTACAAAGCTCCCGACTTCCATGGGTACATTCTCCAGGCTGACAGAACCCAGGAGGACGCCTTTTTTCGTCATGGTTCAGAGATCGCAGGAAAAGCGGGCTGTGGCTAAGCCTTCAGCACGTAATCTGGGCCGGGTCGTGACCAGGTAGTCCAGCGATGTTTGGTAGGGTAGTCAACGAGTCTTGGTGTATGTCACGGCCGCCTGCGACAATTAGATAGTGCCATGGAGTGCTTTGTAGTCGTGCCGTCATGAACAGCAGATTCTGAAGGACCTCTGGTGTTCCCTGGGAGTGCGCGAAGACCCGGGCATTCAAGACTTTGCAATGGTGACCTGCGATGTGGCGGCCAACATGGAGGATAGGACTCCAATGGAGCAGGAGCTTCAGGTTCTGGAGACTTGCTTGAGTGGCGTGCATGATTGTGTTCCGCGGCCTGCAATAGGGACGGACATGCAGACACATGCTGCTGCAAGTGATTCAACATCATCAGAGTTTAGTCGGATTACTCATGACGGAGCGTCTCGCGCCAGCCGACTCATCAAGGTTCTGTCGACAGGGTAGGTAGCCGATTGAAGTGACATGTTCCGGGTTGTTATTTGGATCTTGCTGCTCTCGTCCTGGCAAAAAGGGAGGGCGAGGGGATTTTGAATCAGAGCTCTGTGTCGCGGATGGCTCCAGGAGCCTAACATCCGAGGTTTCAAAGCTGCCAGAGAACTGCACGGAGCTGCCCCTGTCGGAGGATTTTTTCTGGTTGGACCGGGACCGTCGGCATCTTCGCCTGTTAATCTATTATAAGCCCATTTTGCTTCGTGCTGTTGGCTGAGAGTTCAACGGGCCTTCGGAAGACTCCCAGGCTGGTGGAAGCCTCAAAGCTTCACTGGATGGACGTGCCATCCTGGAAATCACGAGTGCAGGACGGGGTTTCGTGCTGCTTTTCCAAGCAAGCTTAGCCAGTGGTGTTTCACCAAACCATTGAGCAGTCGGCTAATTCCGAAAGGAGTCCGACCTTCGTTTCTGCGAGGCGAAGCAGACAGGCCATGGTTAACAGCAGTCCTTATAGGCTGATAATGCAGGGAGGAATGTGCCAGTCCACATTAGCTCGCAGATCGCCCCAAGGCTCCAAGCTCCTAAAAACGGCCCTTGGCTCAGGCAGACAAGATCCTCTCTTCGAAGCCCTGGCGAGAGCCTTCGGCTTGCGGAAGCTTTCTACCACAGTGTCTCAGATCAACCTCAGACCCGGGGTCTTTTCGACAGAAGTCGCTGGATCGCTAAGCTGCCGGTGTTAGAGTTGAGCTCTTCGGGAAGCTTGAGACTTCGACTCTGTCCCGTTGCGACGTGGAATCACAGGGGGAGTGTTGTGAAACAGCACGAAAAGTTGCGCGAACCTCCCGTGGATTGGTTGACTCTTGACACTAGTATCTGGCATCGGCATCTGCAGCGAGAACTTAGGACTTAGGGCTGCTTGGGCCATGGGTTGCCCAACATGGCAGCCCGCCATTTTGCACGACTTCCAAGATACTGTATGGCAGGGTATGCCCATTTTGGTAGAGCTCTGTCCATCGAGATTGCCCTCCTGACAGTCGTTTCACAAGGCATGAAGGGCCCACACTTCGCGGAGGCACCCCGTACCAGAATAGAGCGATTATCCAAAAATCTAGAATCTAGATCGAGCGTCCACAGTTTCGAGACACTTTGCTTTCGCCAGTAGCCAAAGATCAGATCCTCCGTCAGATCACCAGCCCGACCAGGCATCTTTAGAGATCCAGATCTCTACGGCACACCGTCGAAACAACGAAGACGGATCTTCTGAAGGAAACCCTCAACCCCTTTGAGCCCGACTTTGAACGCCAAATCCTGCGCAAGCAATCCCTTGCCGCTTTTGATACAGCGAAAGCCCATGGATGTTCTCATGGCCCGTCTCGGAAGGTCGAGGAGCGACCAGCCAAAGTGCTGCCTGCCAGCTCGAAGGGTCCGGAGTCACAGCTGGCTGGAATCAAGGACGTTTAGGGTTTTGACAGGAAGGCTTCTTGGAAGCTTAGAGAGTGGGTGAGTGGGCTTGAGAAGGGGCCTATTCAAGGATGCTCGGGTTTCGATGTTTTAATCCAGCTGGAGCTCGCCAAACGTGGCTTTGCAGCTTGAAGGATGCCATTTGTGCCCTCGTCACCTCTCCCAGCTTTGCGGCAGCGTTGCAGGCGTCATCCGGTCGGTGCTGCTTGTGTGTGGTCGTTAAGTCACTTTGGAGTTTGCTTGTCTTGCGGTTGATGCACGCTCCCAGATTGGCAGGCGATTGCTGAAAACATTGAGAAAGGATTGCCTGAGCAGGTCAAGAGGCCTCTGCAAGAACGGTGCAGCCAGCTCACGTTTGCCGCCGTCCCAAAACACTTCGAAACCGCACTTTATCTCGATGACACGGAGCTGACTGGCAGCAGGCAAGAAGTTTGCGTTTGTTGGAGTGCTGCTTCGGACACCATCTTTGTGAGTGATGACGCTTTCGTAGAGAAGGAGAAGACCATAAAGGAGCTCGTGGGCATTTTCCAGCGCTTCATGCCACAGCTCGCTTCCCGCCTGAAGAAAGCCAGGTCTCCGTTGGAGTCAATCATGGAATGTGCCTTCGACAGCGGGCCGGATGGGATCGCTGCTGTCCTGGCCGAGCATGAGATCGACCCCACGCTGACGGATAGCAAGGTCGTTTCCTGTGGAGAGGAGATCGATGACCAGCTGTCACAGCGTCTGGTTCAGTCATTGAGCCAGACCTTTGAGGTTGAAGAGTATGTCGCCATTCGCGATGAAGATGGCCGTTACCTGCTTGGGCAAATCGTGGAATGGGAGGAGTCGGTAGCACCCGAAGAGGTCTATCGACCTAGCCTGATGCGACAATACCTTGTTCGTCTTGACGAGCCCCGCAGAGTGTATCACGTGGACATCTACAAGATACAAGGCGGTACGACCGGTGCATGCCATGAGCCCGCATCTTGCAAAGAGATCCAGGTCGGCGCAGACGTTTCGAATGGCGGTGACGAATTCATCCTTGCAGGTGCAGATGCGGAGCAAGAGCTTGAGAGGGTGAAACAGCAGCTGCGCGAGATGTCCGAGATGTCTGAGAAGGATTACAAAAAGTCAGTGCGGCGCCTGTACCACGCCTGGCATCCGGACATAGTTGGGGAGACACCATTCAACAGCATGATGTTCCGCATGATCCTGCGACACGCCACATGGTTCCGCGATGGACGTCCTGGCGGTCAGGACTGGCTTGACGACTATTCGGTCGGACAGGAGCCAGCGGAAGCCACAGCATCAGTAGCATTCAAGCGGAGGAAGAGCGAGGCCAGCAAGCCTCGTCACGATGATGCGGACGACCAGGCCGAGTAAAGCTGCAGAAACCCTTGTATCAATGACACTAAAAAGTCACACCCTTATGATTCTCACGATTACGCGTATTCTTTCCGAAATGACCGTGGTGCAGGTGACGCATGTCAGTCGAATATCGCAGCAGCTCTCGCCATAATGGCAGTTGTTGTCGTTGTTCTTTTCCTTCTTCTTCTCACTGCAGTTCTGCTCTTGTCATGACAGGAGCAGCCCGTCGGGTCGTCGTCCGATAGTGTGGTAGGTGCAGGGAGGAGGAGGCCTGGAGGCCCGAAGCAGAACTTGCGCCTGAAGACCTCATAGGCACGTGTAGCTTCAAGCACCGCAGCCCCAGCGAATGCCATAGCAGAGCTAAGCTTAGAGGATTCAGGGCCCGACACGCTGTAAGCTTCCTGAGCCTGGGCCTTGAACTAAACGGCCTCAAAACCCTTAAACTCCATGGACAGCCAGGCAGAGCGCCGGAAGACTTCCTCTGCCTATCGGCCACGTCGCGAGCCATCGCAGCAGGTACGTGGCGGGTGCTCGAAGCTAAGGGGCTCTGCGACAAGTTTTGAGCAGGTAAGCTAGGGATTTAGGGTCTAGGGTTTAGGGCTAAGTTATGTGCTCCACGGCTCTGTCGTGTTTTCATTGGTTCTTTTGCAGTTCTCATTGCGGCGATCAACTAGAGAAGGGCACGGACAATGATGCTGATGGTGTGTGTGTGTGTAGATCCTGACAGTAAGTTCAGTACTAAGCAGCTGGTGCAAAGGGTGTCCTGGGTGGGCGGTGCTGCAAGGTGCCATAAGGCGTTTGCTGTTGTCTTCGCCTGTGGATTTCAGCTCGCCCTACCAGTGCTGACATGACCTCTCCACTGCTTTTGTCATGAGTCATCAGACCGTAGTGGCTTCAGCTCGAGCTGTATACCGGTATGTCAAACGCAGATCCTTGAGGATTGCCGACAGACATCAGGGCTGAGTTGTGCAGGAGCCCGGTTGCACACTGTAGAAAGCAGAATTCGATTTCCGGACACTCATAGCTCGAGCCGGTTCTTCTCATCCGGTCTTGCCAGGTTTCCTGGTTTGAGGAGTTCGACAGAGAGGTGAGAAGGACTCTTCATACCGAAGCCACCCCAGCGAGGCTGGGAATCCGTGTCCTTGAGCAGATTTGAAACCCATGGGGCAGCCACGAGACATCACCTTTAGGAGTGCAGTTCGTATAGGTCGGTAGGCAGATGATGTAAATGGTAGATGACACGTGGTTCAGTTCGCTGGTGCAGACGCTCGGTGAGTGCCTTGACATTCGCTGCAGGAAAGTGGCAGCTCCGCCAATCTTCGCCCCAAGCCGTCCACCGGCATGGCAACCGCCCAGGCCGGTTGATATGAAAGAAGTGCGACTACTCGACCTGAACAGCACTCAAGGCCTCTGCTTTCCGCAGGAAAATACCTGGCCACTGGCCAAAAACAAAATTCAGAGCTGGAGCGCAGGTCACATGTGCGTTGCACAGATCTTCCGGAGCTTTTGAGTCGAGCCTTCAGCTTTTCATCGAACAGCGACAACGGGTAGCTGTTGCAGGATGATCGACGAGGAGGCAGCCTTGACGTGGCTTCGGCAAGCAGAGTACGATTACAAGGCCGACTTTTGAGTGTAGGGTCGAGGTAATCTCCCATATGGAGCAAAACCGCTCAAACTCCATTCCGAGCCGGGGCGAATCAAATCCTTGCAAGTCCGTCATGAAGCCATCATGCTGGTTCTGCTGTGGGACATGAGGGCCTTGGCTGTTTCAGCATGCAGACACAAAAACAACTTTGTTCATGGACTCACCGGTCGCCAACAGGCTAACTTCGTCCTATTTCATCGGTAGGTCTTCTGGCGCAGGCACCGAGTGAGATCTCGTAGGTATGTGTTGCGCCAGCCACGCCTGTCCAGCAAGATCGGCCCTGTGAGTCGTGCAGGGGGCCAGAACCACAAACATCCCTGCACCAGATCAGGAAACTAAGCTTCAAGAGAAGAAGGCCGAGAAGCCTCGGAACGGTCGAACGTTTTGTCAAACAGCATATCCTGCCAGACCATGCTGTTCCTGACACGGAAAGCATTGAAGAAGTTGTGTCGTGCTAGTCCATGCTGTTCATGACGGGGAAGGAGGCAGTGTCGTGCAGGCTGTCGCTTGATAACCATGCTGTGGTTTGTCGTGTTGTGACAGCGTAATTAGGGAGCCTGTGCAGGCCCTGGAGGAACTAGCATCGTCCAGCGAGCGAGTCCATGCCCATGTGGTTTGGCACGCGCACCAGGCGCGCGACTGTGGGTCGGAACCGAAGCACATTCGGATTCGTCATGCATAGTTAACAGTTGGCGATCCTATAGCGGCAGGTGGTGGAGAAGGCGTTGAAGTCAGCAATGCTCCGCACTTGTGGCCTGGCAGAAGAGGAATTCACCGGTCACGGCTGCCACGACTTGGCGATGCTCTACGGCCGGCTTGCTGATGCATCTCCAGAGTCGACTGCGCAGCGACGGGCGCAGGAGGACTTGCCGTCAGACCGTCAGGACATGCGATGGTTGACGAAGGCCTACTTGAGCGCGCGTTATCCGAACATGCACAAAGCCGGACAGGTTCCAGCATTGGCGTACGACAAGCACGACGCCAAACGAGCCGCCAGCACGGCAGACCACTTCATCAAGTGGGCCCAATTGCTTGATGATCTTCCCATTCCTGGGAGTGGCCAGGAGAGGATGCGGAAGCGACCAACTTCGATGACCGAACTTTCGGGGGAACCTGCGCCGGCACCACCGAGAGGCCCAAGAGCGCAAGCTTCCAAACCACAGCACGAAACCACGTCACCTGCAACACTTCCGGCTCAGAGACAAACTGCTTCGAAGCCTTTGCCAGAGTCGGCACCCGTCCTACTGCCACCTGAGAGCCTGCCGCCCCTCGCCACAGCCGAGCCAGGTGGTCTTCCGGAGGAAGGCGGCATGCAACAGCTGCCGAAGTAAACAAGGGCAGTTTTCATGATCGTTTGGTGATTCTTGAACCATCTTGACTTGAACATCGTTCTTGCTGCATGCAAAAGTCGTGCAGCCATGTGTAGATTTTCTTCTCTCTCCCTGCCGTCATTACCAAGCTTTACTGAATGCGACAGACCTTGGATGGGAGTGAGCTCCTTGATTCGGCCAGAGAGCACGGAATTCGCAGTGAAAGTCTTTGACGTTCGAAGCCACGGCTGATTACATGGCAAGAGGTATGGCTCTGTTTTCTTGGGTTGTGGAGGGCATGAGAGGAGTCGCATCGCCCTCAGAGGAGCCGGTGCGTTGTAGAAGGCCAAGTAGACGGTACAGGAGCTTGACGTGATTTGTGCTAATGTTTGCAGTGAGGGAGCCTGAACGCACCAGCTCGTTATAGGTCGTCTTGTTTCGCACTCTTACCCTTTGGCGCGCACCGCGCAGAGGGAAGAAGTTGCGCTCAAGGCTCAACCTAAACGAATGAACACGTATAAACTGGATTTCGACAGTTTGGAAAAGGTGTGCGAGCCACAACCCTCGTCGGTGACATGTAAGACTTGGAAGCCAACGATGATACATCCCAACACAGACGGCCGGCAGTCCATCTTTGAATGTTGCTTTGATGTGTGGTTCGCTCGCTTGCAGCATCGCGCTGGCAGCTTTCCTGATCATATTCTTAACTCTGGTCATAACATCCAACAAGCTCGTGGAGTTACAGCAGCGAATTGCAATCCGGCAGTGCTGGGATTGAAGCGTAAGGCCGTGGATGCTATGGTTGCCAAGTAGTCTTGGATAGATCGTTTTCATTCTGTTGAGTGTTGTAGTTGTATCCCACGACCTGACGTCAGGGCTTTCAAGCGACGCAAACCGCTGACTCGGCCCCTCAGCAGTAGACGTAGATGGTCTCACGACCTCGAGGGGGCCTGTTCTGGGTGACAGCGTGCGGCTGCGCCCCGAACAGCGTCGGAGGCAGGAGTTGGATAGTTGAGCGATCTAGCAATGTCTGGGGAACGCGTGCTCCGTGGTCTGGGATTCTTGAACTTGTGGTTCGTATAGCACCAACTTGTATCGTGGTAACGAGGATGGCCCCAACACAGGTTGTAGGAGTTTGCAACCTCAGAAACCAAACTTCGCCGTCGCTCACAGGGCCGGAGACTCCGCAGAGCCATGACAGCCGGGGCCACAGTTGATTGGAGCTGGAGCTTGCAGGTTTATAGAACCCTTTTCAGTGGGTTGGGTTTGTTGGGGTTATGTGGGATGGCTGTGCGGCGCGGGCGAGGGGACTTTTTGGCTTATCCGGTTTCGAGTGGCTGTGAGCCATGTCTTCCAAGGAGCTCGATGTGGGCGACTCGCTTCCTCCCTATGCGTCCGAGGTGCACACTGTTGCCAGTGGCTTCCAGTGAATAATCGCTTCATGCCCTGTGCAAGCTGCTGTGAATCTCTGTCCTTTTTGGTTGTTGGCATTTTGGATCATGTCCCTGGGCTGACTGGGATGTTACGGGATTTGCTTCTGTTCGCAATTTCAGGGTGTAGACTGCAAGTGACTTCATGCCACCTTGCCAAGCAGCGCTGTCAGGATGCAGGATTTCGGCGCATGCTATGGGATGAATAAAATAAGAACTTGAGAGGAGTGGCAGGAACGCGCTGCGCAGACCCACTTTTCTGGAGGGGGTCCCCAATGCAATGCAGCCGTGTCTGGAATCTTATCTAGACATGCCGCTGAACGCAGCGGCGATCGTTTGCAAAACATATTTGAAGGGAACACCTGCATTTATCCTCGTGACGGGTCCTGATCCTCTTCAAAGTCACACCACTTAGCCAAGAACTGAGTAATCTGAACGAAATCAATTCGACGAGAAGTTTCGAGGCTTCATACTGGAGTAAACGACACCTTGTTGAACCCTCCACAAAACCTGCGAAGCAACTTGACCTGCAAATCAACCACCCCTGCATGTGTCGCCGAGCCCTAAACGGCGCTAAACCCTTGACCGGCAAGTTTGACACTCTCAGGCCTCAAATTTGCAAGCCCCGAACTCCAACCCTGAAGCCCTATCCGCCGGATGTGAGGAGAATAAGAAGCTCGACGCCGAGGTTGGTCGGTGGAGCCACGAACTTCAACACCATGGATTCCCTTGACCTAGAATAAGGAGAGCGTTATGCAGACGAGTTTAGTCGAAGGTTCTGCTGATATCTGCTGATTCAAGATTCACTGTGTTCCAACAGGTTCCTTCACGAAGGATCCCTGATTGAGGGTTTAGGGTGCAGGAATCTTGAAGCCGAAATGGGGACTTGGTTTGCAACGAAGGTTTCCTTCACAGGCACCAAGCGCCTCGAGGTGTTACATCGGCTTAGTCTTTTCCTGTGGGCGAATCAGGTTTCCATTCCAGGTAAGTTGAGGTGTCAGGCTTTGGGATGCATCGTTCAGGGTTTCTTATCCGTGGATCTTCGATCTGTTTCATCTGACTCTGTCCTCCTTCATGTCTGGTCAGGGCATGGGTCATGGCATGGGCCCCAAGCGCAGGTCAAGCAGAAGCAGGCCCAGATCGAATCTATCGAGGCCCGTCTTTGGGGGTCTCCCCGGCAGAACTGGTAGCGGCCGTTAGGTGGTGATGCTGAGTTCGGTTTTCAACAACTTGCATTCTGCGCAGACGCTTCTGCATTCTAGTCGCCGGTGGGGGACTCTCGGGTCAACTCGTGTGAGGGGATTTCCTTAAAAGAAGCATCCATCGTCGCTCAGAGCATCCCAACCCGTGAGACTCAACCCTCGCCCTGCAAGATCCAGAGTCGAGCACTTGCAGATCTTTTGTACTGAGCTCCCTGGTCCTATACTGGTAGCTGTAAGCATCAGATCAAGACCTTCGGGCCGCCAAGCGTGACACGTGCACAGGAGCAGCTCGAGAGAGATGGCGCGCGGGTTAAGATCATGACGGACCACCTAGTCAACGTGCAGCAGGACGACAAAGAAATGCAAGTTTCGAGTCTGAAACCGCGCCTGTGAGACTTCGTCTTCAGTGAGTAGCTAGCAGCTAGCCGTGAAATGCAACTACGACGTCTCACATTTGGATTTAGCCCGGAGCTCCAAGCACACCGAAGTCACGCAGCATGTCGGCCCAGCAGCGCTGAAGTGCTTACGACCCCCGCGGGCCGGGCCCTGAGCCCCGGGTCTGGCATCAAGTGGCCATGACCGTTGCACTGGGGAGGCCCTACACGGAGGCTCGGGGCCGGGAGTGCTTCTGCTCATTTCAGCTCCTTGCGACTCCTTAAAAGCACGGGGCTTCGATTCCAGACTAGGCCCTGAGCCCCAAGCCCGAAACCTAGCCGAGGCATCCCACCAAGTTCGTAGGCACAGTCTGTTCGCCTTCTCAATTTCATTATAGCGTGGCAGTTTAAGACTCGAGACTTTGCTCTTAGAGGTTACGGCCTGGGGTGGCTTAGGATCAAGAGTAAGTCCAAGACATAGTATCAGTTAAGCCGACACTGCGACTGCCCCGTGACGGAAGGGCCCCATGCTAGCGGACGAGCTGCTGAAGCCGACAGGCTCCGAGGCAGAAGTGGCCAAAGGGAGTAGAACAAGCTTTCCTTCGATCCGGGAACGACCTTTCGCTCAGTTGCACTCGAATTTGAAATTGTCTCGCCTTCAAGGCACCGAGGTGTCTAGGGTTGAGCATTAAAGTTTGCGGGGTTTCTGCCATGGGGCGAGCTCTAAAAAGAGAAAATAGCAGACTTTCGTATCACCAGGACAACGGTCAGATGTGTTTTTTTCTTGCTTCTTGTCCCTGATGAGGCCTTTTCCTTTCCACTGGTCAGCCTATGGCCGGGGAAGACCGAGCCGGAGGCGGCTGGAAACGGTTGCGGGCGACGTGGGTTTAGGGTGTATAGTTCACGATGCAGCGATCTGGGAAGTTCGTGTTATGTGCGTTTTTTTTTTTGGTTTCGGGCTTGTGGCAGCATGACAGACTGTAACTTAAGGTACCAGTCAGCCCTGAGGTAGTTCCTTCCTTTGCCAAGCCGGTGCCTCTTGCAGCAGGCGTGCAGCACACTTGCGTCGTCAGTGCTGGAGGGGCGCTACTCTGCTTTGGAGGCAACGATCGCGGCCAGTGCAGTGTGCCGGCGAATCTGGGCACAGTAAGGTCAGTAGCTGCCGGCTTCCAGCACACTTGCGCGATTACAGCAGATGGCGGCTTGGTGTGCTTCGGGCTGAACAGCGCTGGCCAGTGCCGTCTGCCGGCCCACTTGGGCAAAGTCGTGGCCGTGTCTGCCGGTTTCCAGCACACCTGTGCCATCGATACCTACGGGGTTCTCACTTGCTTCGGCAGCCAGCGGAACGGCCGTTGCGAGATTCCTCGGGACTTGGGCCCCGTCTTGGCTGTCTGCACTGGGATTGGCCACACCTGTGCGGTCACCACCGCGGGGAATCTGGTTTGTTTCGGCAGCAACGAGGCTGGCCAGTGCGACGTACCAGCCGACCTCTGCCATGTAAAGGCTGTTGCAGCGGGCCAGAGCCACACATGTGCTCTCCAGGCCGACGGTGTACTGCGCTGCTTCGGAAGCAACAAGGATGGTCAGTGTGACGTGCCGAAGGATGTGGGCCGCATCATCGGCGTCTCTGCTGGGATCGCTCACACCTGTGCCTTGACGGCGGCTGGAGAGCTGGTCTGCTTTGGTAACAACACCGCAGGGCAGTGCAACGTGCCCAAAGACCAGGGCCCTTTCATTGCAGTGGTGGCAGGGTATCAGCACACATGCGCGGTTCGGGCCACTGGTGAGATTGTCTCCTTCGGAGCCAACGCCAGTGGACAGTGCGATGTCCCCGTCAACCTGGACGACCCGGGCTGAATTGAGGGCCAATTCAGGAAGATGAATAGCGGAATAGCGGATGAGAGTCATCCATTAGCAAGGTGCGACCTGTCGCGGAGACCTTCCAAGTCCATGTAATCTCAAGGATCCACAGCGAGCTGTCTGGCAGAAGTCAGCCTTTCAATCTAATCTTTACTCAGCAGATCAGGTATGGATCCTACGCGGAATTTGAAGCGAGCAGCACTTACCACATTGTGGCTTTGCCGTGCTAGTCCGCAAACATCCTGCTAAAGGTTGTCGATACAACAGGCCCTAAAAGACTAGCTAAATGGACAAGGGACCGGCGCGCCACGAGCGTCTGTGCGAGCCACGCCGAATGCATCGGGTCTAATGTGCCTTTGAAAGCATGTTCTTGACAAGAAGCCGTCGCCCGGCCACATCGGTGTTGTACAGCATGTACAGCTGCCAGGGCAACTCAAGCCATCAAGACAGGATTTAATAAGTCCGAGTGCGCTGGATTGTGATTGCGAGGCATTGGGGTCTGAGTCTGAGGTACGAGCTTGAGCTTTGTGGGGCATTACGACAATGTGGCAGTCATCGGGTTGTCTTAGGTCCGTTTGTTTTCGCATTTCTACGTTTGTCGAAGGAGCTGGTCAACACGCAGCAGCTCGTTGACGCGAAACGGAACGAAGCCAGCACAGAGGAACATCTTCAGGCCGCATGGCTGGCAAGTGTAGAGACCCCAAAGTTGAGCCAAACAGCTGTGCCTTGAAACCACCAACGGCCTCTTTCATGAGGCGCTGACGAATCGGCACAGCCCTTAGCATTCCTTGGTCAGGGGCTTCGGAATTTAAGGGCTCTTGGAGGTTCCTTGAGCTTTGCAGAGTTTGGGGAGTTCACGTTTGGAGGGCTGGGGAAGTGTTCACGGCTTCCGAGTTGTGGATAAGGGCATTATGGGTTGGTGTTGAGGGGTTTCGTCATTGATTTGGTATTTACTGATCCTTGTTCTGAGGATTTCTGAGGCGTTGATGGTGTTGTTGCACTGGGCCTGAAGGGTTTCAGTCCGAGACGAGACAGGGGAGCACGTCAATGTGTGACAGGTGAGCAAGCCGTTCAGGAGAGACAATGAACGGGAAGTTCGCAGTGAGACGAAGCATCGGCAAGGCGGTTAAGGTTCAGGCTGCAGCTTTCTCGGTCGAGGAGCAACAGCACCGGACAAGTGTACGAGAACAGTGACAATCAGCAACCTGATACCTTTTGCAGGATTTGCAGGTGTCATTTCCAGCTCAAGCTTTCGAGAATCCCCCTGTCGGGTTCATGTTTTACTCTTGGCCCTCGGGAGGCAGCTCGGACGGCTGAAATCTGAGATCGTCCGGCTGCACAAGGTCCTGGAAGACACGCAGGCCAGGTTCTGGGCGCGGCCTTGGGCCTCTTCGCGTGATGCGACCTGCCTGAGGGTCGATGTGGAGTTGAATTGAAGGCGGTTGCAGTAGTGGTGTAAAAGCGCAAGCCGTGCATCAATTCCGGTTTCCAAAAAGCGCAAGACTGGTCGGTTGAGACCCCACGCCACAAGCCCCACGCCCAAGTCCCGAATGCTGACACCAGTCACACACACACACATAAGAGTGACTCTTGCTATGTGCTCTGATGAGAGCTAGCGACAGCTAGTGCTCATTTCCTTGCTAGTGCAGTGTGTTGCCTGTACAAGAACGTACAGATTTGTTCTTGTAACCCTCATGAGGATGTCCGGCAGAGGTCTTGAAGTGCCAACTCTGAGTCTCTTAAGCGCGCAGAAGAATGCGAACCGTGAGCAGCCGGAAACTGCAGGACCAAATCAACGCATTCTCGAACGAGCTAATGCGTGGCAATGAGAAGTTGGACCAGTTCGCCCAGCCTCCTGCTGCAGCACATTGCTGCACCATGCCTGCGGGCTTTGGGGGCTTTGAGGACAAGGTAAAAAATCTATGCTAGATTGAGTCGGCGTTGTTTTGGCTGCATCGTCATACGGATACTTTGTTCCAGGCATGACAGGCAGTCCGATGGCTACCACTTTGGGTGAAAGCTATGGAGCTATGGAATGATGGGCCCTAGTTTCAACAACCCATTGGCGATTCCCAGTGGTTTCTCTGCCTTGTGCACCTTTGCCGCCAGATCTGCTTTGCCGCTCTGAGCTTGAATCGTAGCATGACCCCTCGAGGTTGCACAGGAAGTCTCGGCAGCCAGGGCCACTCAAGGGATCGCAGAACCGCAAGGAACCTTACCCTGCTTCGCGTGGGAGCTCTTTCGTTTATAGCCTGGCCTCGTGAGTTCATCCGGGCCGTCAGCTGCCCTCTGGAGAGGCTCAGGCCAGGCTCTCTTCGCCAGCTCACGGATGCAAGTCTTCATCATGATCTTAGGGATTCCATTCTTGGGGTTCAGGCTCAGGTTGTTGCATGTGCCTCACTGGCAATCTTGCCGTCCGAACTGCGCAGCAACGGCTCGAGACTTGAGCTTGCCTCGCACCGCCTTGTGGCTAGCGATAGCTACTGCGTGAAGCAGGCGGGGAAGGGTGACAGTCTCGACCCCACACCCTCGACCTGGGTCCGACAGCTCACGCACGAATGAATCCGACATTTTCCCGAAGCCTGATTTTGCCGCTTGAATGCCACGGTTTCACATGCATTCTAATATATACTCCAGTGGCGCAGAATCACACCTGCTGTTGAGGGGCAAACCAGTCGGAGCTTGTCTTGGTCTTTGACAAGTGGTCATGCTGGTGGTGGTGCTGGGACTAGTACGGTTGGTCAGATATACACCCATATACACACACATCAAGATATACACACATTCATATACACATGTTTTCATATGCGCACAGATATGTAATATATCAACATGACTACGATTCACGTCGTTTCTGCTGTCGTGAGTACTGTCGCTGTGTTTACTGCACGTTGTGCTTCCTGATGGTTAGTTCCGTATGCAACAGAACAACAGCTTGATTGCATTGACCGTTATGACTTGTGACAATCGCCATATTGACACGCATGCTCGCCATCATAGTCGTCGCACCATCGTCATCATGATCGTCATCATTATCATCTTCTTCTCCATCTTCATCTTCATCTTCATCGCCATCGTCACCACCTACATCACTACAGGGACGTCATCCTCGTTGTCATTGCCATGGTCATGGTCATCATCATCGTCGTCTACCTCCTCCTCCGTCATCATGAGGACGCTCTTCACCATGTTGCTTTCATCATGCGAATACTACCGTCATGGCATGTCGCAAAAGCTGAAATGCCATTGTCATCCCTACTGTCCTTATCCGCCCCGTGCGGTACCATTATCATTCCCACACGCGCTCTTTCTCCCTCTCTCTCTCTCTCTCTCTCCCTCTCTCTCTCCCTCTCTCTCCCTCTCTCTCCCTCTCTCTCCCTCTCTCTCCCTCTCCCTCTCTCTCCCTCTCTCCCTCCCTCCCTCCCGCACACCCACCCTCCCCGCCCTCCCTCCCATTTTCTTTCTGTATCTCTGTCTCTCTGTCTCTCTCTCTCTCTCTCTCTCCCTCTCCTTATCTCTGGTTCTCTGGTGCACTGTGTTTCGCTCTGTGTTTCGCTCTGGCGATTTGTTATAAGGGCCGACCGTGTCCAGTTTGGTCGTTTGTCTACCTTAGTTTGGCATCGGAGCCAGCGGCTTATGTCTGCGTGAGATGTACGGGGTAGACCCATGCCTGCGTCTGGAAGGGTCAACTCAGCAGAGGAAAGGTTTCGGAACCAAGGTTCCCGAGTGTAGCAGCATGGAGCAGCTAAACTAGCTTCCTTTTCTTGAAGATGCAGAATCCCAGCTGTAGATAATCTGCCTGCCAAAATCACCAGCACGTCACGGAACCGCAAGACCATGAACCACGCAACACAAGCACGTCTCGTCACAGGTCTTCTTCAGTGATGTTCTGTGCTTGCTGTGCCGCCGATGCTGGAAACGGCGCCATCGAAGAGGTCCCGCCTGTGCTGCTCGGCCGGTGATAGTGAGGGTATATCGACGATGCTTACCGCTGCAAGGAGCAACAGCAGTAGTGGTGGTGGTGGTAGTAGTGGTGATGGTGGTGGTCGTTGTCGTAGCAGCAGGAGGAAGAGGAGCAAGAGTCGTAGCAGTAGTTGTAGCAGCAGCAGTGGCAGTAGCTCCTAGCACACCAGGGCGGACCCCGGACGTTCGTCGCGAAGGGAAGGAAGCAGTGGCAGTTGCAGCGGCAGTGGTAGCGGCATTGGCAGTCGCAGTCGTCGGCGGCGTGGTCGCGGTCAGCCAAGTCCGAAATCCCACAGCCGAGGCTGTCGCAGGAGAAAGCACTGGACCAGGCCGGGCCGCGCGAGTGGAGCTTGCCAAAAAAACTGCTTTTCAAGGTCAAGGTCTGGTGACAATCTGCAGGTCAATGGTCGCAGTCATAGCCGTAGCACTAGCCGTTGCACTGGCCGTAGCCGCAGTCCTCGATGACGTCTAATTGTGCCATGCCTCATCACGGTCATAGTCATGAAAATGCAGAAGCTTCCAAGGATGATCAACGTTGCGGGGCAAGTCATAGTACGAGCTACGAGGGCAGATATGCCAGCGATCGTAGTAAGCTAAAGTTACAGGTCTAAATCACCAAAGCCCGAAATCGCCCAGAAAAGCCAGACACTCGAAGCACAATTGCACCAAGCCACACCTGTCGAGGCACCCGAGCCGGCAGCTCCCAAGGCATTGCAAGAGACGCCTGCAGATACGGCAGAGCTGCTCGGATGTCTTGAGTTGAGGCCGTCGCAGGCTCGAGGTTAGGCTTTAGGGTTGGGGTTTTGAGGCTTGCGACTTCACTTTCCTGGAACCCGGGTTTTTTGAGCCAAAAGAACCATAAAAGCCCGCAAGCCTTCCAACCCCGAAACACCAATCCCTGAACCAGAGGACGTAACTTAGGAGCCTAAATAATTACCAATACTATTGTGGGGGATTCTGATTATAAACATCGATAAACGTAGTATCACATTCATCAAAACCCTATTCTACTTATTCAGGCCCCTATATTATAGTACCCCTATAGTACCCTTTGGATCCCTTTAAAAAGAGCCCTACATTGGAGATCTTCCCTCAGGCCGGCCGCAGAGATGCCCGAGTTGAGCTCCAACGCTGTGACCTTCACCTTCAAGCGCCTTGGCTGGACTTGGAGGGTTTAGAGTTTAGCGCTTAGTTTAGGGTTTAGGGGTTAGAGTTTAACTTGTAGTTTAGGGGTTAGGGTTTAGAGTTTAGAGTTTGGTTTAGGGTTTAGGGTGTAGGGTTTAGAGTTTAGAGTTTAGTTTAGGGTTCAGGGTTTAGTTTAGGTTTTAGGGTTGTTGATCTTGGGTTTCCAGCCCATGGAAGGTAGGTAGCGACCGAAGTAATGTCATGATTCTACTGGGGTTTTGAGTTTGCTCGAATAGTACACCCCACAAGCCTGTTCGAATTATTCAAACACCTACACCAAACAAGTCGGCCTCCTTTTCTTGCCCCCTTGCACCTTTCGGTGTTCCGCAAGTGAGTAACAAGTTACTTTCTGCTTTCCCCCTCAGACAAAGGCCGTTCACCGGTTCTTCGCTCGGAAGTGTCGTTGCAGCTTTTCAGAGGGTTGAACTTTCAAGATCCGTATCCAGCTCCCCCCCCCCCAAACATGGGCGAAGTACACTGTTGTATACATACCACAACGCGTAAGACCCGTAAGACTGTCCTAGAGTATAGTGTGCTGCAACTTTTCACCCGATGGTCCTAGTCCGATCATACCTTCTTTATATGTGGTCGAAGCTCTAAACCTTATACCCCTAGACCCTTATAATTCCCTTTCGATCCCGTTATAGGACCCTTTAAGGAACCCTAAAACTTCTGGCTCGCAACCTTGCTTGGGCGCGTGCGCTCCCAGAGAGTCCAGGCTGCCGGATGGAAGCGTCAAGGTGCCTGGGACTCCTCTGAGCCTGGCTTATTGCTATTTGACGTTTTCCGAAAGATTAGGGATACAAATCCGGGGTACCTAATTTTGGGGTCCTTTTTTGAACCCTATTGTCGGAAATCCCGTTTAGGTACCGGGAGCTGAGCAGTCGAAAGCCCTTACCCTGATGAACCCGTGTCGTCGGAAGGCATGTTTGTTGATCAGGTACCTGCCCCACCACACATCCCTGCTTGGAGTTAAGCTGGTGGTTTGCATTATCAGTTTTCTAAATCTCAAACCCTTAATCTGGGCAACCCCGATGGCTTGTGCCTACCGGGTGATCAGAACGTCAACTTCGATGCGAAGCCGCTGGGTATGGACTTTTTCAAGACCACTCCTTTGTGCTTCTTGGCGGAAAGCATCTCAATCTTGGATCGATGTCTGTGCACTTGGGCAAAGCTGTTTCCAAAGAAGAGAGCAGCGCCCGGAACCTTTCCAGGTTCAGAATGAGTCCTGCTGAACGTGGTGTTCGGGCACGTGAAGAGAAGCCATGTGCTATGCAGGGGAGATACTTGCCGCAAAGCATGCCTCGTCCGAGGTATCAAAGCCGTGAAGCCCAATTCCTTGGCAGAGAAGGCAGGCATCCTCCCCCAGTGGGTCATGACCCACACGCAGGCCCGAGTGGATGATGAAATCTAGCAGGCACAAGGCTTTCTGGACGTGTCATTGGGCCTGGAGCCGGGCAACTCCTTGTGTATGTCTACATATACACACATACATACTCTCATGGCAGGCAGGCAGGTAGGTATGTAATCATGTAAGTCTGCCATAAGTATGCATTCCCAATTGAGGCACATTACCTGGGTCGACAGACAAACGGGCAGAAAGACTGGATGGAGAAAGGATTGTTCTGCACTTTTTGCCGTCTGAGAGGGCCCGACTCAATTGTCAACTCGAAGCCCCCTTCGTCATCATTTTGCTAGCGTCTCAGTGGCTTCCGAAACCCATGACCGATGGCTTCGAGAAACCCGATTCTGGGATTCCAGGGCCGTGAAGATTCGATGTGGATCTACATGAAACTGCAAGCATAGAGTACGCCTGAAGGCATGGAGTAAACTGCCGCGCACGTGGAGCATGTCCTGTGCTATCCTTGGGGAAGGCCCTCCCTTGACCCTTGACCAATGTATTCCTGCACCTTACCAGGGCGAGCCAATGCCAGACGACTTGAATGCCTCTATCCTCAAGCTCTCTCAAGCTGTCAAAGACCTCAAGAAGGCAGAGTGAGCAGGAGCCCTTTGCACTTTCGGTTAGATATGATTCGGTTCCGAGTGTTTTCCAAGTTCAAGGTGCGACTAGGGCACGAGTCCGGCACGAGTAGCTGAACTCTCTCCAAACTCTCCGCCTATCCGCCTGCGCCAGCGCCTCCCTCCCCTCTCCCTTTCTCTGTGTCTGTCTCTCTCTGTGTCTCTCTCGCTCTCTCTCTGTCTCTGTCTCTCTCTCATATGATCCAGCTTGTATAAGTGCGGGTTGGAACAGCAGCCTAAACAGATTCTGTTCTCAATGCAAGGAGCTGAGGAGCTGAAGCGGAGTACTTCCTCTGACATTTCTTCCCACTGAAAGCTTCACTGAAAGTGAATGTATGTCTCGCTGTTGAGTTTTTCGCCGGGAGGTTCATTGAACTTTCAGAGGCCGTGCCGATTGAGTGAGACATACGCACGGAGATGTACGCCTTGTAGGGATGTTGGCTCCTGACGAAGGTTAGACGCCTTCCCTTTCTCTGCTTGACATGATGGTGCACCCCATACTTGTACTGGGAGCTAGGTCATCTGACACTGGGACCGGGTAATCTGTGGGTGTTGTTGCCAAAGAGAACAGCGGCGCGGTTTGGTCAAGTCAAATCCTCAGTGTTGCTCCGTGCAGAGTGGATGTGGCCAAGAACGCATACGATGTATTCTAGACGTAAGTGTGCTTCTTGAAATTCTGCTGGTGCGATGTAAGGAGCACGGGCATGAATGCTGAGTAGTGCTAAGCAGCAAGCAGAACCTGCTCATGTTACAGCATCACGTGAGACTGCCACATAGTGCGGCACAGCTGCTGCAGCAGGGTGAGACGATACAGATTCGAGCAGTATCGCGTCGTGTCGCCGCGTCGTTTGCCAACAGCTTCGCATGATGTCGGTGAATACAGTCGGCAAGGAATAATCTCGGTAGCATTGCATACTTGGGTTTGAAGAGCACATGTCCCAAAATTTTGAACCCTAAACTCTAAACCTTTAAACTCTAAACTCATGTTTCCTCCGGATGCAGCGGGGAGCCAGCAGAGATCTGCAGTCCTGCCCATGAACACTGGGTTTCGAAGCCTGAGGCTTCAAGCCTCGTCGAAGATGGCGTAATGCGAAACGACAACAGGTTATGAGGGTGTAGTAATTAATACATTGGCACAGGGTTCCTTTAAAAGGCTCCGAAAAAGGAGCTATTTAGGAGTTATCGCTTCGTTGGTCTGACATTTCCAGATCTGGAAGTAGTCCTGGGTTTTGGGCGTAGTCTTAGGTTGGTGGCTCGGGTTAAGGCTTCAGGGATTGTGCTCCAAGTTCAAGTTCATCCCGAAGACTCACTTGGGATCTTCGACAGACAACGAGATCGGTGTGACGTTGGCACCTTTAGCAAGGGTTGCAGGACGAAGTGATTTGGATCGCATAGTGAGCTAGCTTTCGCAGCTCTCAAGCCCAAACTTGCGATCACACCACACAGGTTCTGAATGCAGCACTCACACAGCTTGACAGAAATCGGGAGCATAGTAGCATGATCATAGCAGTAAGTGTAGCGGTGGTAGTAATGATGGGAAAGGGTAGTCATAGTAATTAGTAGCAACAGGGGGTGATCTGCAGAGCCGAATCCACAACTCTAAGCCATAAGTCCAAAGCTCTGAAGGCTAAGCCCTAAACCCTGAACCCTTAGCGCGAAACTCGGCAAAGCAGCATGTGTCTCCTGCAACCCTCTCGTGCCCTCGAGCGTGAGACCGTCTAATGGCCCGGCTTGCGCTCCGGCGATCTGTAAAAGTCTCTCGGGGTTCAGACTTTAGGATCAACTGTTTCGAGATTGAGGTTTAAAGTTTGGGATTTCAGGGGTTGGGGGTTTTTAGGGTTTGGTGGTCGTGGTGTGCACGCAGGTTTGTCTTGCTGGTGATTACTTCGCAATGCCTCATGGCGTCTGAACTTGGGAAGTGGGCTGGGAATCCGACATGACATAATCTAGCATACTACAGAATGGTATACTTTGAACTCTGGAGTGACGATTTGTTGTTGTGATGGACAGCTGACTCCTGTTGGGCAGATCCGAAACCTTTTGAAGCGCCACCGACACCAGGCTGCCAATGCTGGAAGCCGTGCTGAGCCGCTCCTGGCTGGTGAGAATGAAGGGCTCAATTAGGGTTTAGGACTTACAGGAGAGCCTCTTGCCTCAACATAGCGTATGTTGACCAAAAACATGACGCACGAGAATGTCAAGTATTGGCAGCCGATGCAGTATAGTGAAGACATTGAGACCCATCATGGCCAACCGTATATGCTCAGCATTCACTCTAGAGTAATGCAGAGTACCCTCAGTACCTTCTATGCACGATATTATCATATCATGAGTTGCCGTACATGCTTTTCAGTTCCCATCTCTGCGTGCGCGTGGGCTAGAGTGTAAAGTAGTAGAGCATTTAGTGAACTCTCATGCCGTGCCATGCAGTGTCGGAGGCACTTAACCCACGAACTAGGATCGAACGCAACGTCATGTCGTGATGTGTTGTCATCTGTTGATTTGCAGCAGCGTAGTTTCTCCCTCCGACTTAAACTCCCGTTTGGCGAGCAACCCGAAGTCTGATGGATCAGCTCCTGAGAGGAAGGCTAGCAAGTGGTGGTGGCCACAGAAATAACAACTAAAGGTTTACGGCTTCTTGGGGAAGTTTCGACAGCACCACGTGCATGCTCAGCTCCGGCTGCGTCTCAGAGAGTGATCACCAGACCGAGCCGACGAGTGAAATTCTGATGCTGTTCTTGATGTCTGCACTTTCGACTCGATTCCTCGAACTTGTCTGCTTGTTGTGCAGAGCGGTTCATGGCGCCCGACGCAGGTTCAAGCTTGAGATGAACTGGAACCAAGAAGAGCTGGAGCAGTGGGCCATAGCTGCAAGGCAGAAGGAGGAGGACTTTCAGTGTCTGCGCCTTCGGCTTTATAGGAATTGCAGCGGCTAGAACTAGGCCAATTTAGCTACATGAGCTGCATCCGAATGAAGGTGGAGCCCACATCCAACCCCAGACCTGGGGGCTATCCATCCTGAAGCCAGACAGGACGAGCTGACGCTCGAGAAATACAGACGTGCTGATGACTCCAAGGCCCCTCTGTAAAGGGAGCGGTCAAAGCGTGTGGAGCTTAGGATGCCAATAGAGCTTCTTTACGATGTTGGTGCAAAACGAGGGGACAGTTCAGCAGCTTCAAGCAGTTTAGGATTTCGGCGGCCGGAGCGCAGTGACAACCAGAATGCGCAGCCATGAAGTTCCGAATGCCTTCAGCAATCGAAGCCTGCATACCTGGCACTCTACAGGGTCCAGTTGCAAGACTCCGGTGCCCGGTTGTTTGGGACCTTGGGTGGCTTGTCGGTTCAGATCTTTGGCTGTGGTCGCTGTGTGATGCAGCGCTACAGCACCGGCCAACCTGAACTCTTGATCAGCCCTGAACCCACTTCAGATCCTGTTTTGTGCTTGGCTTTACTCTTCAAGCAGGTGCCCCAAAATGATACTTCCCATGCTGAGCCCCGAGCTGACAGCGAAATTCCTTCAACACCGGGCACTCCGCAGCTTTGCAGCGTCAGGAGCAGCCCCATTCCATGCTTCTTTAAATAGCCGCAGAGTAGAGCCATCCGCCATGTTCCTGCGGCTGTTCCCAGTGCTTACGCCTCTCCTGGCAGTCGCCAAGGAACTTTGGCTCGGGGCGTTGGGGAAAGTGCGGAGTTGGCGGTGTATGTCATATGTGTGCGTGTGTGTGTGTGTGTGTGAAGGATTCGAGGATGCGATGTCGGGCAGATGTTCCAGTGCGCTCTTGTCTAATCTGCTCTAATAGTCAACATGACTGACTCCGAGGTCCTGAGTGTTGCTTTGTGTCAATATTCCCGAAGGGAGTCAATCTGCATGCGCCGTTTACACCCTGACAGGAGTGCCACGACTTCGACGCTTGGTCAGCTTCTGATGAACCACCCACGAATATGTTTCACCCCCCCACATTCGTGCATGTCTCCATGTCCAAACGTCCGCAGATGTAGAGTTCTTGTAGGTTCCTGTGGAAAGGATACGAGGGAAAGATGTGAGCCATGCGAGGATGCGCACTGCTGTCACATCAAGCCTTCTGATCCGGACTATGGCCAGTTCAAGGCTGGCACCAAGCAGATTGTAGATCGGCTAGCGGCTCTTGCGCAGCGTTTTTTCGGGTCCACAGGGGGTCTTTGCCGAGGTCAGCACGCTCAGGTTTGGGAGGTTGCAATTGCCACTCGCCTGTTGCAGGGCAACGCAAGCCACATGGTGCCCGGCTGGGCGGCAGGACCCCATGATTGTTCGAAACGTAAAAGCGTGCAAGGCTTGACTTGGCTGTCTCGAATGGGGCATCTGCGCAATCAGTAGCTCTATCCGCTCATGGAACGTGGAATCCACTCAGGTCGTCGACTTAGACCTTCCACCAGAGCAGCGTTGGGCTGCTGCCATGAAGGATGCAGCGGAGCCCCTGAAGCCGCGCGGCGAACAATGGGTTTGGGGGTTCAGGAGTTTGGGCTCAAGGAACTGGGAGGTTTAGTTCATCTCGTTCTTTTAAATGAGGGGTTGCAGTTAGTTCCAAGTCTGCGTGCAAATGGCGACGGTTCTGCAGTGGTGCTTGCCAGCATGACGAGCAGTGACTTTCAAGCAATGTTGTCGCAGCTACTACTCGTCTTTGTTCTGGCTTTACATCGAAGCAGCTTTTCCTCATGTTCGCTCACTGCCGGGCCCAGTGCGACATGATCTGAGCACAAATCCAATCGCTCCGTTTTGCACCCTCCTCCCGGTCTCACTCAACAAATGCGAACAGAGCTTGGCACTGCAATCTTGTTCGAAAGACCCTCAAGATCTTGATTCCTTGAACAAGGAAGATGATCACCCACTTCAAGTCCTTGGTAGGTCACTTCGGCAGCACCCAGTGTCATGGGGGCTGGGGCTGGAGGTAGCATCCTTGCGATCCATATCTCTGGGCGAATAGGCAGAGTCGCTCGTGTTGTTGTTGGTCTTGCCGTTGCTCGTGTTGTACCCAAGCCAAGATCTCAGCGTGCCCACTCAAAGAAATGCTTGTTGCAAGCGTTAGGTTTGGCATTTTATTTCGCTTTCGCAAGTAGAAGTGTTTGGGCTTGTTGGGCCTCAGAATTGCCGTGCGGGATGTTGGGCAAGTGTGATAGCTCATGTCGACGGTGCATCCATGCATAGCAGAGTTGTACGACCCAGGCGTGCTGTCCGAGGAACTCTTCAAGCTCATTGAGGCCGTGAGAGTTGGTCTGTTGTCCCAAAGCCCCTTGCGCCCCGCTTGGGGCTTAAAAGCCCAAGAGCTCGAACCCTCGAAGTCTTCGTGGGTGTTGGATGCTCTTAGACTTACGATGCGGAAAAGGATGCCAATCAGCGTGATGGGCATGGAGAGACAAAACAAGGCTCATCTCAACGTGCCAGGACTCACCGAAGTTCAAAAAGCTGGCCAAGCAGGTCTTGACGGACATGGGCCGCTCGGTAGAGGTGAGGCGCAGGTTTCTTGGAATAAGAGCTTGCTAGTGTCTTCTTTTCGAAGTTGGGGGCATGCGAGATGGACTGAAGCTGAAGGCCTTGCTATGTAGGAGGAGAGTATAAAGATAAGCAGCTCCTGGAGACGCTGAGGCGAGTACGGCCTCGAGATGCGCGGCATTGCCAATGCCACAGGCGCTGACTTTTTCGGTCTGACATATATAGGAATCGGTCGGAAATGAGCTCCTGCGCACGCGTGTGCGCCATGCATGAAGTGGAAGAATGACTGCTTGCGTGTGCCAAACTGTCGTGATTCATAGTGAAGGCCTCTCCTCAGGATTCGGGCAGCTGTCGATATTGCTGGATCTTGCCACAATTCTATCCTTGTGGAAAGGGGTTACTGTTCCAAAAATTAGGGGTACCTTAACTCTACTCAGGGTACAATTAGTATTAGGGTCCTCCATCTTTGTCGCAAGAGAAGCGGTTTCCGATTCAGATCCTCCCTTGAAGCACCCAACCAGGCATCCCCGAGGAGGAGATCTTGTTCGTGAACATGATGCTGGAAGCTTAGTAAAAGTTCCTTACAGAATTCCTTAAAGTGGTCTCTAGTTCTATACTATCTATAGTAGGGGCCTTATTGTTTCTTTATTGTAATGGGCCCCAAAACCCTATTCTAATTATTAAGGCCCCTATATTACTCTTCCCAGAAAGGGCGGTAGTGATCACGGCAGCACCAGTCGCACCCTTCTCCCAGGTATGAGATTGAGGGAGGCTGCACCTCCATTGTCGCCCAAGATGCAGATGGCCATGTGGTACATGGCAGGACAGGCGATGCTCCCACCGCAGTTAGTTGGAACTCACTGGGTGGGTTTGGGTGTTGATATCGGCTTTGGCAGTGTTTCTAACGTTTATCATGACTTGCCGCATCATGACCAAAGATCGCTTGAGGCTCCAAGCCTCTACAGCTTCAATGAGACACATGCCGACACTTCCTGGAGCACCCGAAAGCGAATTGAAGCAAGGGAGGGCGCTGCAGACCGTGAAGCACCTAACTGGAAGGGATGCCCCAGAAGGCATCCCCTAATCACATCTGGGACCCTCCCCTTCATCCAAGCAGGAATTTGGACTTCGGGCTTTTCTTCGGCTCGGGCCTCGATCCTGTCTCTACGCGAGTCTCTATCGCCACGAGGGGGGGCGGGAGGGGAGCTGGCAATTTGAGGGGGGTGGGGGGGATGTCTGTGCGTGTGATGTGTGTGTTCTGACGCTTTCTCTGCTTTATGGCAGGATGTGGCCATACTGGTATCATTGTTTACTAGAGTTCATGCTGTATGTTTATACTTGTTGTCATCTGTGCTCGTACATCGCCATCAGTCTGCCGAAATCTCTGACAGTGTAATATCAGACATTCAGCTTGGTTCATAAGACATCCGCTTCGTAGTACCTACCGTTCTGGACCCAAGCATCAGCCAGTCACAGTGTTGTTGAAAGTCTTGTGAATCACATGAGCCGCAAGCTTGCTACTGTAGTCCGTGACACCGTCTGCATTATCCCTCCCGGTTTAGGGATTAGGATTAGGGTTTAGTTTAGGGTCACTTCGGGTCCGGAGGCGAAGACTGGAAGCATCTGCAGTGGACGCTGACGGAGGAGCGGCTGTTTTAGCCCTCAAGACTACCAAAGGCGAAGAGGTTCGACAGCACCCCAGGGCCCTTCGGCCGCTGTCGCAGCGGAATCCTGAAAGTCTGAAGCCTCCGGAGAGGCGAAATCTGCAAGTTCGGCGCCATGAAGAGTACTTCTAGCTCCGCATAGATCCTTTGCAGAACTGTTGAAAACAATACCCGAGGACCTGCGGCCCCTTCTTCGCAACATCCACTTCGTGCGGGGTAAAACTTCGCTCTATGACTCCACCGTCTTCCTGGGCCTCTTTGTCTAGCTGGCAAGGGTCTTTAGCAAATGTAGGGTTTGGCGGCGCATGGCGGCGCATCTTTGTAGACAGTTTGATTTCGCGAAAAAGCTGATTAGCTCCAAACAGTGCTGACAGTGAGTGTACTGCCCGACCTTCCGCAAGGCTACGTCGGAAGCTTGACGGCCGTCAAGAAGGGAGGCTTCTCCGTCACCGTGAACACGAGGCAGGGACGGAGGTGAGAGGTACAGGAACGTGCCAAAAGATGGGTTAGTTGTGAGGAGCAAAATGCGCATTGCGATGGAGTTGCTGTTGATAGCCATCATACGAGAGCGGTCATCATGAAAATGGTGGTGATGGCGATGGGTGACGGTGGTTGGATGGTGGCGAGTTTTCGATGGTGACCATACAAATGCTGATCACAATGCTTGCATGAAGATGCTGTTGTTGATGATGCTGCTGATGATGATGGTAGGGGCGAGATTAACAGCAGAAGGAACGCACAGGCTGCTAAAGCAGAGTTGGCGCAGGTATGACAGCACCCACTGGGCGGCATTGCTTGCGTTCCTTGAGGGCAAGGGCTCTGGTAACTTCTTGTCCTTGCGCCTCAGCTGAGAGTGGTAGGATGTGGTAGACCTTTGAGGTTTGAAGGTCCGCAGCGCTTCGGACCTTCTGGCGTGATGGGTGTTGTAGCTGTCGTCGCACGAAGGTGTCCCCCATGCATCGTCTTGACAAGCTGGGCTAGACATCTGCTTGAGAAACAGAAGGCTTACAAGCGACTGCATGCTCGAAGTCTGACAGTTGGTGGCTTAAACTTAGCTGAAATACTGAAACTAATTTGGTGTAATAGCCGCATGCAAGAGAACAAGCTGCCTTGCACTGCGGCGCTCAGCACTCCGAACTCCCAACCTCGCATCTCACACCAAGGCTTCTCCGGGAAGTGTTTGTGTCCCGGCCCGTGATAAACAGCTTCTGCGACAGGTCGTTGGGAGCACTAGCAGGCTTGCCACAGTTTTTTTTCGGGATCTTGCAAACGGATCTAGGGCTTGGGAACGCAGCAGATGAGCTACACGCCTTTGAGGCATGCAGAGCTGAAAGCAGATATGTCCAGGATCAGCAGAGTTTAGGGTTTTTGGGTTTACGATTGAGGCTGCTGGGTTCCGCAGCTCAGGAAGTAGTCCAAGACTTGATTTGGCCTTGTTGGAAATCCTTAAAACCCGGAACCCCAATAACCCCAACACCAAGTCTTAAATCTTTTGAAGCCTGTCCAAGGTTCACAACTCCACTTACTCGGAGGCGGGCTGCATTCATGGACAGTTTCAATGCTTCCAAGTCCACTACTATCCGTCACGATGCCCAGATGTCGGATCTCCAGTCTCGAAGTGATTCCCTACAAGAATCATACATACATACATACATACATACATACATACATGCACATACATCTTGCTATTGTGTATATGTATTATGATTATGTATGTATGCAATTATGTATGTATGCAATTATGTATGTATGTATGTATGTATGTATGTATAATACCCTGATCCCGAAACCCTAAACTCTTCCAAGACCTTCGGAGGCTTTGGACACCATTCGCAGTGCCAAGCTCTTGGGTCCCGCCTATGCCCTTCGGCTTGCAAGTGACACAGGTCCTGTACAGTTTCGCGGTGCCTGAAACTTGCCAACAAGGCAATGTTCTTCGCCCCCCTCTCTCTGCTGCTAGTGGTTGCTTCGAAGCTGTCTGAAAACCGCTCTCTTCTTGCGAGCCCCGGCTCTGCCGGCCCGACTCCCAGTGCCGCAGTGACGCTGCTGTTGATCCCGCTCTCGACTAGTCTTCTTCGTAGTAGTCGTGGTCCTCCTCGTCGTCGTCTACATCAGCAACATGTTCAGTAGCAGCAGCATCAGAATCATCAGCACTCTGAGAACTGTGTTTACATCGTCCTCGTCGGGTCGTCGTCATCATCACCACTGCCATCATCCCAGTCGTGGCCGTGGTGTCCGCCTGGCTACATTTACGTTTCTCAACTTTGCAAGGTCATCGTTGGTGGCACAGCGCGCGGAGAAGGTGCGATCCTGGAGCGCAGCGCCACGAGCGTCGTGTGCCTCGGCATGGATGCCTCTCCGGCGTGGGGCCAACGGGCCCAGGCTCCTACTTCCGAAGTCAAAAGCTTTTGTCAGAGTCGCCGAGCCGAGGGGCGAGCGGCTGCTGGCGGATGAAGCTGCCAAGGGGAGAAACTCGGTGGTGGAGACCAACTGGGTGCCTTGGCATGCGAGTGACGATGGCTGCTTCTAATCTAAAGCCAGATCGTGACTCCGAAGGAGGTGGTAGATGTCTGTGCTATTGGCACTTGACAGAGCCTTACAAGCCCGCCCAGACCAAGTCTACAAAAACTCGCCATAAACAAACCAGTGATCTGGCATCTCAGCGCTATCAGTCTGCGAGATCAGCCCAGGACTTCGGCAAGGATCCCTTTTTTGATAACCGCCGCAGCCCGGCGGAGCACTGCCTCTCTGAGCGCTTCAATGAGAACATCACCTTCTCAGGCCCATTTGAGGTTTACAGGCCGTTTAGGGTTTAGGTTTGTTTTTGTGCAGGTCTGGGGGGTTGTCGCATCCTAGCTGGGATGACGGCAATGCCTTTAAAGCTGGTTCCGAGGCGCTTTCCCAGGTCAGGTGTGAAAATACCGGAGATCATTCCCAGCCACAAAATCACACTTCTGTATCTGAATGCGCTGTCTGTCCGTGGTCAGAGCTCAGCCCGGAGTCTTCCTTGAGAGGTTTGTTCTCCGTGTTGGCGGCGCGGCCAAACCGCAATCGGCTCACAACCTACACTGCCCTAATGAGCGCTGAGAGACCTGGCAGCCAATATCGACTCAGAGTTTGTGGGAAAGTTGGCAATGAGATTGCCCAGGGCTGTCCCAAGTCCCCCGCGGATGAAATCCGGGATCCAGGTGCGAGCTTGATACCGTAGAAGCACGCAATCCTCGATCCTTGAAGAGCCATTCACACCCCCAAAACCCTGGATCTCAACGCTCCAAACCCGAAGCGCCATCCACAAGGAAGGGCGAGCTCGAGGCCAGTGCTGGGAACGGCAAACGGTTGTTAGGAGTGAAAGACGATCAGACTCGTCTCTGGTTGCAAGCGTCGGGACAGGGCCTCACGGAGAAGCAAGTAAGCTGGAGCAAACCTGGCTGCTGCAAGCTTGATCTCCCTGTTCAAAGGCGTTTCTCGTCAGGTCGTCGGCCTGAAGAGTTGAGGGAACAATTGATCTAGCTAGTTTCTTGCGACAGGCATACCTCCAATTCTGCAAGGACTGGGAGTTGCTGCTTTTGCTAGGGGAAGAATCCTCAAATAGAAGTCCTGCGCGATTGCGCAAGCCAGGACAAAGGAGCCCACAAGGCACAAAGGTGACGTGCGGTCATCGCGATCATCGTTTGGGACAACTCGCCATAGCTGCACCCCTGAACCACTTTACCCTCAGATCCCTCATCCCTTAAAACCCCATCTAAACCCCAAGCCCTGAACCCAAACTCTAAGACTCTAATCCCCGATCAAGCCACACACCCTAAAGGCAAACTCCGCCAGGAGTTGGAGTGTGCGCCCTGGAAAGCTGACACTCTGATGGTCTGAGCTTGTGCTTCAAGCGCCACCCTGCGTGGGGCTCGCAGGAGTTTTGGGCTTTCTGATCTCCAGAGATCCGGGGTTGGGTTTACACTTGTCGGGGGTTGATGAGGGGTTCGGGTGTTCGGGGTCCAAGGGTTCAGGGCAGGGCGCACAGCTCTAGTCTAGGTCTAGTTCTTTCTGATAGGCAAGTTTGTCAGAGTTTTGTTTGACTGGTGCAAGGTGGTCTGAAATAAAAGGTCCGAAGATACACTCTGTCTGACCGTTTGATACCGGAATCGTCTTTCGGCTGGGTGCTTGGCTGGCCATCAGATGACCGCAGCTTCCGGGCAAGAGTGCTGCACAACGAAACGGAAAGTAACCCTACACCTGAAAGCCTGAAAGGCCCGAAGTTTGACAGGGTAACGCTGAAGTAACAGCAGGAGCCATGGTCGCGCGGCTTATTTGCCCTGTCTCTCGAACCCCAAGACAGTAGCAGTGAACAGTACCCAAAAGTTTGCAAGTGGCTTCGAGAGAACCACCAGAATCCTCGAGTTCGGGCCTAAAGCCTGTTGATATCACTTCGGGTTAGAGATACTCCTTTCCGCGTGGATCAGTTATTTGGGCTTTCGGGTTTCGGGAGTTTAGTGTTCAGATACTGCAGTTTTGCTATCTCGATCCTAGAAGCCTTCGGCAAGCCTGCTGGTGTACTCCCTGAGTTGTTCCCCCCAAGCATAGGGTGGAAGGAGCTCACTCCCAGAAGCTGCCAAGCTTCACCCGGCTTTAAGTCGCCACTCGAAGACGGTCTCCCATGGGATGAACGTCTCTGGGATCCTTCTGTGCCCCCTCGTCCGGCTGTGTGTTGGCACGTCGCTGAGCGGGTGCAAAAAGAGTTCTCTTACCCAAGCCGCCCAAGCCCTTCCTGTGGATAATTGGGCACGTGGAACAGCAGAACCCTTGAGACGAATAAGGTTGGCAAGCTATTTCAGACTTAAGCGCTGGAGCGATGTAATTCTAGGCCTAGCCTCAGGCTTCAAAAAAAAGTCCTATAGATTAAGGATTTTCAGGCTTCGTGCTCAGGGTTGCTTTGGATAGAGTTTAGGGGTCGTCTGCGGTTCCGGCTGAGGACTGAGGGCTTAGAAGGTTTGTCTTCGAATGCTCCCTTCTTCAACCCGCCCTGAACAACGATGAGGTATTTGTGGGGAGAGAGCGGGTGTTTGACGGGGTCGACATCGCAGAAGGATGGTTTACTTTGCAGTACATACGGAATACCAAGAACAACCTCCGTTCGATTTGTGACAGGTGCGTGAATTAACTTTGACGGTGGAAAAGCTGACCGCCGCGGCCGCAGATGCCAACCCCAAACCTGAACGCCTCTGTGGTGCCTGTCGGATGTACTTCCGTTGACAATGCGACAGGGCAGGTCTGTGGCAGAGAGTGCGATGTACTTCAGAGTTATCCGATCTTCATAGCAACATCTCTAAGAGGTCAACGACCTTTGAATTCGTTCATGAGGTCTGACTGAGTTTTCAGGGTCGCAATCTTCGCCTCTGATTCTGGCGTGCTCGGGGATTGCGTCGCCGTGTTCCAAGCCGGTGCAAGCACGCAGGTCGAGAATGCCAATCGGCGAAAAGAGTTGGATGACCTGGTCACCGACACGCAGGTGCGCATCAGAATTTGCAGCATTGCACCTGGCCTTGAGAGGATCGATAGCTTCCATCAGCAGCCCCCGCACATGTTTGTCTCTTGAGGGATAGAAGAAGTATCCAATGCATGTTAATGTTAATGAGCATGATGTAGGCGCTTCATGGCAGAACCCTTCGAGTTCGCGTGCCGACAGCATTCAACATGCGCATTAAAGCGAAGTGCAGCGGAAGCCATCAAGCCCGCTCCAACACCATTGTTGAAAGGCCAAGCAGATAGAAATGGACAAGACGGCAGAGCTGTTCCGCCAGCTGCATGACGATCGCAAGAAGCCATGGCCCTGATGCAGTTGCAGCGGAAGCTTTTTGAGGGGTCCAAGGTCCAGATCGTTTTGTGCAGTCCATTCATTGTTCAATGTGTTCACCTGGGCTCGATGTTGCTTCGGCAGGCCGAGTGCTCAAGGCCCTTTTTCGGAGAAAAGCAGGAGTAGCACCGCCACACAGATCAACCGATCCTTTCCGGGCCCGCCGAAAAACAGGGCGACCGAAAGACTAAGCCTAGTCTCTCTCTCTCTCTCTCTCTCTCTCTCTCTCTCTCTCTCTCTCTCTCTCTCTCTCTCTCTACATATGTTTTTATAACATATGCGTACAGGTATGTCCACCCATCACGGCCCCATCACAGTTCACGTTGTTCATAGTCTGCCAGAGAGCCCTGAGCATCTGAATCAGGATTATCGAGCAGTGGGAGGAGTCGGTCAAGAGTGACTTGGCCAAGAGTTCCACGATTCTCTGACTGCGAGGTTTCACGCGGGTCGCTTCGGTCTAACGGTGCCTCGAGTCGGTCACCGCGTCGACTTCCGGATGGCCTATGCAGGGCTGGACCAGTCTACAGCATCCAGGAAAGGAGACCTGAAAGCGTTGGAACCCTCAACCTCCGACTCTGAATCCTAAACCTCACCCAAAAACCCTAAACTCCCCCTAAACTCAGCCAGAAGCTGAAAACCTCCAAACCGAAGCGTCGCCGAGATATGAAGAGCCGGGACTCCCAACTGGAGCGTCTTGGTGAGGCCTTTGAGCGGGGAGTGGGAGGGCCGAGGGCAGAGGGCATCTTGGTTCCTGAGGTTCGGGATGTTTGGGATTCTGGGAGCCTTCTGGCTCGAAGGGTGCCGAGACTTGCGAGGTCTTGCCAGGCACTAAAATTGAGGTCCTTTCCATGCAGGTGAGGCTTTGGCAATTCTGTTGTCGGTCGTCGGGCGGATCGAGTCCATCAGACCTGATATTCAGAAGCCAGTGAAACTTGCTACAGTGCAAGTGCATCTGTCGGCACTTGCTGGTGCTTCTCGTTCCCATGCCGGCCAGGAGTATGCAGCCAACATGACCCGAAAGAAGGTCAAGGAGGATAAGATGAAGGCGCGCAGTGGAACTCTGCCGGATGAAAGGCCCTTGCACTCAAACTGTCCATCCCACGGGTTCAGTCCACGCCCGGAGGAGCGGAAGCAGTTCCACGATGAGGTGGAGGCTTGTGAACTCGTAGCTCGGAGTCTCGCTGCGGCTCTTTTTCTTGCTCTGAGCTCCGAAGCCTCAGCCCCAATGCCCTCGGCCTCGGTCCCAAGATGTCAGTCCCACCCGACATCCCAAGTCAAATCCTGAAGTCCCCGAAGTCCATACCTCAAACTTGCAAGCATCATCGCAGGCAGACAACGAGAAGTTGGAGCAGAGCATCCAGCAGACTGTATGGCCCCCAGTTTTGGGGAGCGGGCCCGTTTCATTCGCAGGTACAGCATCCACTTATCTGCACTTGTCAGGATTTAATATGCAGTTGCAGAATCCTCTCCGACAGGCCGTTGTCTGCCGATTGCTCTTGGAGCCTTTGCCTGTGCACTGGAGTCCTTATTCCGCAGGGCCCCAGCAACCCACAAAGCCGGAAACGCCTTCCCTTTCCGGGCCTTGCCCCAAGACCTTCCGAGGACCGACAGCTCGTTCGCATGCGCATGGACCACATGGCCGGGCGACCCAGAGAGTTGAGATTGGCCTCAAAGGCAGTATAAGCCAGGGTTGACAAGGCCCCATAGCTGCTGTGGCTCTGTTGTCCCAATGACCACTTGAAGGCTGCAGGCTTCTTGTTGTGCTTCGAGATGCATGTTCTCGAGGAAGCGAAAACATCCCTCACGGGCTTCAAAGACGAGGCCAAGGATTTGCGAAGCCGTTCTTTTTTTTGGCCGGTCCACTCAGTCGCTGCCCCGACATAGCCGGAGACTCCTGCCTTAACAGATGTGCCGTCTCTCGAGATTCGCTCCCGTTTCGAGGTTGAACCCTAGATGCCCTAAATCGCTTCTATGGCCAGGTCGAGGTGATGAAGAACCAGGTCATCGCATGCCATTCCGAGAAAAACCGGACTGCGAACGAACACCAGGCACCGACTCGTAGAGAGCAAGGAGGGCCACTGCATTTTGGTGTCTTGAGCTTTCGGGAAAGGACGGAGCTCCCGCAAGGCTTCGCTTTGAGAATCCGGTGGGGATTCCACCCCGCTTGCACTACCCCTTTGCACCGGAATGGTATCGGTTCTTCTCCGAAGTAGTGCAGTGCTGTGAGGTTGGGAGTTCTTGACTGCTTGGCGGCTGTGCTTGCATCTACTAGCATCTCCACGTCTTTCAGTTCGCACACATTGTGAGCTGTTGTCCTGCACGCGCAGTGATCGGCAGGCAAACATCAGGGGATGTCAGGGGCTTGAGGGTGAGGGAGGGGATTGATTCCTAAACCCAAGGCTTGCCAACATTCCGAAGGATACCACCCCATGCTGCCCCTGCATACAAAATCAGGTGCCCCTGACCTCGCAGAAGTGCTGCCTTTGTTTACAGCAGGTCGGTGCTACGCGCCTCGAAGGCCGGCGAGAGAAGTGCTTTGGCCGGCGCTAGTGCCGTCTTAGGCGGGTCGGAATTATTTGAATGTAATTGGTAGTAGTATCCCATTGTAGCACCTGTATAATGATACGATAAGAGACTTGCCAGACCCTATTCGACTATTCACGCCCCTATATTATGCAGCTTCCGCCTCCTGTTGGTGAGCGACTGTCGGAGTGAGCGCTCTGCCAATGCCACTAAACCCGACTAAAGGTTGTTGGTTCTGCAAAGGGTTTAGAGCATAGAGCTTGGGGTCGCCCAGAATGAATGCCCACCCCTGATCCAAGGCATGAGCAAGCATACCGCCAGCTGGAGATGCACAAGAGGGCCTTTCGGCGACTACTTTTCGAGAGTTTTGGGATTCGTGGAGTGTGTGCTACAGGATAGGTGCGTACAGCTCAGGAACAGGATTCCTTTCACATCCCTTCATGGTATGATCACGAAGCCCCATTTCCCCTCCAGAAGCCCTGTCAATACCGAGGCTCTCCAGGAGCACCAAGACACCACGCGGAACAAAGAGCAGATGAGCTGCGAGCCACAGTTTGCATGACCGTCTCTTGTAGTGACCACTGGCATCTGAGACTCGGCAGGAGTTCGGGGTGTCATGGTAAATCCTGGACTCTCAACTTGACGAGGGACGTGTGCAAGGCTCGCATGTTCAGCTACTGGGGTGTGTTTCAAGCTCGCGTAACTTTTCCGCCACTCAGCCGAATGACTTCTACATCCTTCGCGCAGCCCGAAGAACTAAACTAATCCTAGGCGAACTGATGTCTGCACACACTGAAGCCTAAACCCGTAAACCTTCAAGCACTAGTGTCGGAAGGTTCTTGATTCCGGCGCACTGTAAACTCCAAAACACTGGTGCTTCTCTGGTGAAGCCATTTTTTCGCCGCCTCCAAGGCCAGGATGCAGAGCGAGCAAGGCAGGAGATGATCAACAACATGTGCCTCGGAGGGCAAGGAGAGTAGTCACACGAGTACGACCTGCTACTGCTAGCTTTCTGGAGGGTAGTTAACGTAGTCGTTGTGGTAGTAGTGGCAGTAGGAGCAGTAGCAGTAGCAGTAGCCGTAGCAGCAGCAGCAACAGAAGCGGCAGTCGGAGTAGCAGCAGCAGCTGCTGCAGCTTGTTGTTATGTTGGTCGCAGTCTTTTGGTTGTGTAGTCTTGAGCTTTGCCTTCAACTTGGGTTGTGTCTGAGGAAGATGGTGGAGAAGGAGATGAAAGCTGCCAAGGCCCCGTCAGAAACTGAAGCACCATATGCATCGATCAGTTTTGTGGCAGAGCAAGGGCAAACGCAGTGCGCATCCCGAAATTATAAATAAGCAGTCTATGGCCAGCTACAATCCTAATTTAATTGTTGGCGTACACCCATCAAAGAGCCCAAATCCCAGGTGCTTGGGAGAAGTCACCTGCCACGGACGCGGGGATACACGCGTAACATAGAAGAAACCTGCCTCAGAGAAACCCAGAAGCAATTCAGAGCCTCCGTCACCCAAATTGGCCCTGTGCCTGTGCATGCCCTCGAGAGCAGAACCTGTTCAGCTGCCACCCACCTTCTTCCTGAGCCCCCAAAACACGAACCTAGACAAGGCCAATCCCAAGCCCTAAACCTGAACCCCGATGCCCCCGTACTCTTTTCCCTAAATTCTGATCACCTCGAAACCCGACAGGGTCAACCCGAAGCCGTGTATTTCAAACCGACAGCGCCAGGAAAGTCACTACAAGGAGAGCCAGGAACTCTACCGCCTTCGGGCCGAAGAGGCCCAGGGCTCGGTGGCCTTTCTTCGGCCTTTCGTGCTTCAAAGCATCATTTCGAAGTCCTCTCCAAGTGGCATGCACCTCCCTGCACCGCAAAACTTCCTGGCATCCTCCACTAAAACGCGAGAGGGACAAGACATGGGGACCCAGCAAAGGGATCGAGATCACCAGGCGACCACCTTGGGAGCCATCAGCGGAGCACAGCCCGGGCCTCGCATGATCCTGTCTTTACTTGAGATCCTTTCTGAAAACCTCAGTAGCATCCCAGAAGTACCTAGGAATCGCTGGAGCGCTGCTAGCAGTTTCCCCCGCGGACCTGTGGCCGATCACGTCAGGTCGGCCATCAAGAACCTGCAGCTGCAGATTAGCAAGCTCGACCAAGAGCGGCAGCGGCAGCAGGTTGGGCCCTTCTACCTTCTCTGATGCTTGTCACTGCAGTGCTCCCAATATGCCTTCGTTGGCGCTTCTAATCCGCACTCGTTTCAATCGTTCGACACAAGATTCAAGACACGCTCCTCTGATAGCCCAGCCAGTGTGTAGCAAGAAATCGTTACATGTAGAACTGTAGAACGGTATACTGTTGGTGGCAGCAATGCTGCTCGCTTGAACTTCCGCGGTCTTTGACTGTATCGGAAGGGTGATGTTGCTTCGTGACACGTTCCGCGACCCATCTTCCCGTGCGAACAGGATACGCCTGTCGGAAGTAAGGCTTTCATTTCATGCTTATACCCCCTTCCGAACACCTTGAGTTCATGAAGCCCGGGAGCAGGAGCTGTTGTACGCTGTCGACTTCCAGTCGCAGCTCATGCAGCGCAAGGCACCTGCAGACTTTGCTCTGAAGGTGTTCGCTTAGGCTTTCGGCCTTCGACTCGACTGCAACTTGAAGGCTTAAGGCTTAAGGGTGGTGATATCTCTCTTTCTTCGGCGCTTCAACTTCGTCTAGCACATGACCGCAGGTCGCTCGGGTGTCCGGGGAGCGGACGATCGAAGAGAAGGAGGAATTCAATCGCAAGGCCAGCACGGAGAGTCAAAGGGTCCGTGTCTGGTAGCGCGGGGCATTGTTTATTGAACCTTCTTTCGTTGCTTTCCTTATATGAATCTTTCCCAAGTTTTCGGAGCTTTATGTATGCCGAAGTCTCCGGGGTTGGAGCGAGATGTTTACTTAAGTTTACTTGCTTGATATTTGTAAGGATGATTGTTTCATAGCTCTTACCGTGCTATTGGATTTTTCGGTTTGTAGATGCTGACCATTTCTAGTCCTAGTTAACCGGGCCTCGCAGCCGACCCTGGCAGTTCGTACCTGCGAGCGGGGTGCACCTGGGTTATGCACGATACTTTACTGCGGACATGAAGCGCACGTGTGGAGAATCCAGTAGTCACTCATCACTGTATCTATGACCCGTGTCTGTGTCTCCGGAGCTGACATGTAGGCACGAAGTCCTCGCCGGCTCCTTTCATGGAGGATTGATGCTCTAAGTAAGCCCCAAGCCCCCAGACCTGAAACCCCAAAACCCTGAAACCCTATGAGCCCTAATTAAGCCCAGAGCCGTAGCGCCGGCCAAGGTCGAGCAACTCGACAAGCAGCTGGAGGAGCAGAAGTCCCTCCACACCATCCTCTCAGCGCAGATCAAACGCCAGGACCGAGGCTACAGGACGTAGGACTTTAGGGGTCTATATGGCGGGTTAGGAGTTTCAAGTTTCCGGGTTTAGGGGTCAGCTTCCCTTCCAAAGCTCGGAGGAGAAAAGAGTCAGCTTGACAATGGTCCAGTTTTGGGTTTGAAGTTTGGACCTTCCTTCCCCGATCGTTTGTTGGAAATTTCTCGATCGGCGAATGCCCGTTCTTTATTCTTGAAGTGAGGGCAACTCCGCTTGTCTCAAGAACTTAACCGAACAAGCAGAAGAGCAGAAGAAATGTAGCCATGCGATTTTGTTGAGTGTCGATCCTCCTGTCTCCAAGGTTCGAGTGATGACATTTTCGACATGCCGTGCTTGTAGTGCGGAGTTTGAGAGGTCTTTGACATCTTGAGATCAAAAGCCATCCGAAGCTGCAGAGCTTGATCCATGGTGGGCTAGGCTTTAGACTCTAGACCCTCCGAGGATAAGAATTCTGCACTAATCACTTTTGGCTTCAACTCCGCTTCACTGCTCGAGGCTTCTTCCAGCTGCAAAGCAGCATCTTTCAGACGGCGAGTCTGCAAACACCTCCCAATTCGTGCACAGCCATGGCACCCGTGGGCCCAGTGGGATGGCAGGGAGCTCCAGATCGTAGGTACAGCCAGGGCCACACACAGAGCGCTTCCAAGCCTCTCAGCTCCGGTGGTACAGGGACCCACCAACCTCCCACCTTGCGGCCTAAGCCGAGTGGAGACAAGGGCCAGCCAGACAAGACCCCGGTCTGTGTGAAGGTCGGGCCTGTTTGGATCACCATCGGCCCACGCATCGAAGCAGAGCTGGCCGCGATGAGGAAGTTCGTGGAGGGCGTTTCTGGCAATCTGGAGATCACAGCACAGCCAGGCTTCAGCAAGCCGGCTGCACAAACAAAGCCAAAGCCTTCAGAAGCGCGGCGGCCCTCACTGCCCTTCGAGCCTGCTGCACGCAGCACCAAAACTGCCGGCAAGGCCCTTGGGGGACTTGGAGGAGTGGACTTGGCCGCGGCCCCGGCGCCGGGCCAACCGACGAAGCTGCGCACGGGCACGAGTGCGGTGCTGCTTCACTACGACAAGCCTTCTGGTCTGCTGTTTCAGATGCCGTCTTCCCATGGCCGCGACATGGCCTTCACCGCCACAGAGAGCCATTGGTGGCAATAGCGGTACTAGTAGCACACCCTGGTCCATCACTGTATACTGGCAGGCAATCATCTTCCAGACATCATTGAGCCCAATGCGCACCGAACAAGCGATTCTGCACCCAGAAAGTAGTAGTAGTAGTAGTAGTAGTAGTAGTAGTAGTAGTAGTAGTAGTAGTAGTAGTAGTAGTAGTAGTAGTAGTAGTAGTAGTAGTAGTAGTAGTAGTAGTATAGTAGTATAGTAAGTAGTAGTAGTAGTAGTAGTAGTAGTAGTAGTAGTAGTAGTAGTAGTAGTAGTAGTAGTAGTAGTAGTAGTAGTAGTAGTAGTAGTAGTAGCAGTAGCAGTAGCAGTAGCAGTAGCATTAGTAGCAGTAGTAGTAGTAGTAGTAGTAGTAGTAGTAGTAGTAGTAGTAGTAGCATTAGCAGTAGCAGTAGCGGTAGCAGTAGCAGTAGCAATAGCATAGCAGTAATTTCAATAGCAGTCGTAGTAGTAGTAGTAGTAGTAGTAGTAGTAGTAGTAGTAGTAGTAGTAGTAGTAGTAGTAGTAGTAGTAGTAGTAGTAGTAGTAGTAGTAGTAGTAGTATAGTATAGTAGTAGTAGTAGTAGTAGTAGTAGTAGTAGTAGTAGTAGTAGTAGTAGTAGCCGCTGGCAGAGACCGGCTAAATTGTGGTCAACCTCGGACTCGCATGCCTGGGCCTAGGAGTCATTTTCATTCTCACGGGCCCGTTTGGCAAGTCAACATCAGATCTGAAAGCCCAACTCATCGTTTCCAACACTGCAAGTGGTATTCGTGCTAGTTTTGCTTGCCCGTGTGGCTACCTCACACCCGAAACCCGATACCCCGAACCCCGTGGCCATGAAACCTAAGGATCGGAACCACCCTGGAATGGGCGCGAAGAAATCCACGGCGGGCCGGGCAGGCTTGAGCACCCAGGAGGTTTATGCCAAGCTTGCTAAGATCTTACGGGGCATTCGCGCTACCGAAGAGTATCTACAAAAAACCGAAGCCCCGTAAGCATTATTATCAGTAGCATGTTCATGATAGTCATGACTACTACGGGCGTGAACGTTGCTTTCTGTCTTCGAGGGCACTACAAAGCTATGCGTGCTGAGTGTGCGACTCGCTTGTTTAGATGAAGCGCCATGCCTTCGTACAGACTTTGGCGTTTTTGTAGCTGGGGTCTAGGGTTTAGGGGTTTGAGGTTTAGGGTGTAGGGTTTAGGCATGGGCCTAAGCCGCAAGCCTGTTCTTTGCCTACCATCCAATGACTCCAGCGAGCCACACCCTGAAAGGGGAGTTGTTCCGTTTGGGTCAAGGGCCGTTTGCGGATGTTCGCACATCACCCTCTACACTCATGAACCCGAAGGTCCAACCTCGTTCGCCATAACTCCCCTGTAAGACCCAAACCCCTTAAGCTCATACATCTGAACTCTAACACCGTAAACCCCAAAGCCCGAAATTCACAACTCGAAACCCACACTTACTCTCCATCACCCCAAACCCCTGAACCACGAACCCCAGCTGTAATCCTAAGCCCAAAGGTCATAAAGCCTCGACTGTAAGTCTTTGTAACCTCCGCCCAAACCCTAAAAACCCTAAGACCTGAGCCCTTATTCATTGGCCTACATGTTAAGAATCTTCCATGCCGACCACATTTGCGAGGGCTCAGCTTAGGCATGTTGAGTTGTCTGCGTGCTTGGTAGGGCACTCCACTTCTTGGGCAGGTCAGGGGTGCTTTGCAAATGGTATTTGTTGGACTTTATGTGGGGATGCTGACAGAGAGAGCTCGCCCTTGAAGGCCTGAGTGTCTTGGAGCCCCAAAAAAACATCGGAATAATGGGGTCATAGGTGGCGACAAGGTGTCACCCTCCCTCAACCAACCTGGTTTTCCAGACACTCACCGCTAACGGTAAAGATGGAATCCACAAACCCTAAACCCTAAAACCCAAAAGCCCTTAAAGCCTACTTCAGGTTGCCTTTAGCCTGGACCCCGTGGATCCGAAGCGCTGGCAGGAGCTCTCGAACCACAGGTTCATACAGGTTGTTACCACATGTAAGGTTCATACTTTAAACGCATCCATGCATAACATACATACGCAGATCGGTGTTATATATGTGTATATGTACTTAAGTACAGAAATGAATTAGATAGGATTGGATGCATAAATAGACACACAGATGCTGTAATCTAGTACGAAACGAACAAGGCGAGATAGAAATATAGATCGACGGGGTTTTCCGGGAACCCCACGCCCTTTTTCTTTGAAAGGATTTATGTTTGAAAGGACTTGACAAGGCTTTACAGAAATTTTACAGGGTTCTACATTGTTGAAATGAAGTGTTTCTTTAATCAGGGCATGAACCTTGGGGGATGTTGCTGGGAATGTGTTTTGTGTTCTCCTTGTTGGGATACTTGTAATGGAGACCCTGCGTCATGTGGGGTATACTCTACAGGTATAGCAACACGGATATAGACTCTTGTTGAACAAGATAAGAAGCCAAGGTGTTACACCAGACATCCCGAGTGCACGGGTTGGTCCATTACAACGGACGGGTAAGGGCTATGGATTATCTGCATGCGGTAATTCCTGACATTGTTGGGAGATGCCGATCAAGGCATTCCTTTCCAGATGCTGCATCACATCTTCAATGATTCGCGCATGGAGCTATCGCTGAGACAGAACAAGACGCCTCGTGCGCAAGCTACCCTGAACTCTGAATCAATGTTTTGCTGTGACCTCCAGACACTCTTGAAGGAGCGCGGGGACTCTGTTGACGGCCTCTTTCAGCGGAAGTGGTCCCGCGGACAGGAAAGAGCTTCGGGATTCTTCGTGCATTTGAAGCGGTGAAAACGTTTACTTGGTGTGGTAAGCCGGCCTGCCTTCATGTTTGTTTTGTCTTCCAATGACGGGCAGTATATTGCTGAGGCTGGAACTTGCAAGCATCTCGCTTTGGTGGCGAGTGGCTTATCAGTCGCTTGCCTCCCCACGCCAAGGTACTCCGACACAACCTTGCGGGAAATGCCCCTGGGTTATTGGATGTGGCGGGCGGACTGGAAGCTGAAGCAGCTTTCTCAAGGCCCGCCAGCTTCGTTTCAAGCCCAAAATACCAAAGCACGTCTCCCTTTGCAAGGATGCAACTTGCTGCCGCCCTACTGCGCATGCAGCATGTTGTGCTGGGTCTTGTTGAATTCTCTCCAGTCTCAGCTCCGATGCACTCCTTGTCAGGTATGTTCTACGATGATGCCACAGGCCGCAGACGTGCTCTGAGACGTGGAGAAGACGTTCCGGCCGACTTTCCCGAGGTGTCACTGGTGGGGCCGGGGTTTGATGTGTTTCCGGTGACGTCCCGAACCTCCTCGTCCCCCGAAGGCAAATGTCATGCAGCCAGAGGTGCTTATGATCATGCAGGTTGAGGTCGAGGGCAGCTAGGGCCCAGCTAGGGCCAGGGTCTCATATCCAAGTCCCGGTTGTGAGCAAGAGCAAAAGCACATGCAGGAGCAACCGCCGGAGCAAGAGCCCCAAAAGGAGCAGGAGCAAGAGCAAAAGCAGAAGCACGACCATCAGCAAGAAGCAAGATCTCCCACAACGTGACAGCAGAGAGACCAAGGTACCCCATAATAATAAGACAATAACGAATCTTTTTGAGTTCTTATTGGGGTGTCCCCGCGTTTCATATTGCGGGGAAACGACTAAGAGGCAGTCCAAACTGCAGTCCAAACGGTCGAGGCCGGCCAAGGCGATGCAGGCTGCGCCAGGCTCTGGATCGTGTGCCGCAGCATGGTCACACGACCCTTGCTTTCAGGGCTGAGGCCGTCTCTGTGATTTTGTTGTGTCTGGGTGTTCTGACTTGCAGTAGGATTAAAGTTAAAGGACTGTTGCGAGTGTCGGTGACTCAAGGACCGGTGGGTCGGAGTGCACTCCTGATCTGCCCGGAGGATGTGCAGATGGCCTGTGAAGTGCGGGCCCAGTCCTTCAATGCCGGGACGAACAGCTTCGAGGATGCGAAAGATGCGCAGCCTCACACCTCAGCTGCACGCGTGGCCGAGTATTTGAGCCGGAACTATGATGCAGTGGCCCGCTTTGTACCAGAGCTTCTTCATTGCAAGCGCATGGCAGCCTTACTGGCGGTGGCGCACTGGCTGCTGGAGAACCACATTGGATGCAAAGACCTTGCGACAAAGCACTGCATCCCGCAGTTCTCTGTGCCACAGGATTTCCCCGACGAGAATGTGCCTGCCCTCCGTGCGGTACATGAGACCGGGCTTCGGGAAGAGACTGCCTTCAACAAACTGGACAAGGAGCTGGATTCCCTTATGGCCGAGGTACAGGCAATCCGAAAAGAGAAGCATTCACACTTGGAGGAGTCCCGAATCAAAGCAGAGAGGCAGAAAGATGCAATAGAGGCCACTCGCAAGACCCTCAACCAGTCCAGCAGCACATCTGTGGCAGCTTACAACTCTGAAGTAGCGAGGTACAACCAGCTACTCGAGAAGCACAAAGCCGCGGTGGAGTCTTACAACACTTACGTGACTTCTGCACAGCAGAAGCTGGACATGGCTACAAAGAAGCGAAACGCGGCTGCCGTTGACTGCAATGCTGTCCGCACCACTTGTATTCTTGTTGGTGGGGTGGACCTGCAGGTGGGGGGAAGAGTTGAGGAGAAGCCGGTGGCAGAGAAGTCAGACTCCCTGGACAAGCAGGTGCGCTCTTGGGCCCAGGAGTTGAAGCAGAATGCCCACGTGTCCTCTCTCCTTGCCGGCCAAAGACCCCGAGACCCTCCAAGATCTTTGCCCGACGAGATTCGAGAAGAGAGGAAAGCCGCCTTCAACGTCTTTCCCATCGCGGCGGGTGCCGCCTGAGCCTCCAAAAAGGAGCCTAAGGCCCTCAGGTGCCAACTGCCGCCTTTCTTTGTGCAGGACCAGGAGCCGGGCAGTGCCAGTTTAAGGCACCTCACCCTTTCAAACATCTCGAAAAAAGTGTTTGGCCCCTCTTAGACCGCAGGATGAAGGGAGGACCACCTGATCCTCGCATCTTCAGGTAGCGAAATCTGCATCAGCACGAAGCTTAGTGTCTCCATGTCGGGGAGCCGGGACTACGCAAGCACATCTCTCATGAAAGGACCATTAAATTAAGGAGTGTTCGAGAAGTAAAATAAGGTGACAGCGCCTGTATGCGCCTATGCGTTCTTAGCGATTTCAGAATGAGGCGTTTTGCATGGATGCGCGCGAAGCCACAGCGACAGCGCAATCTCACAGAAAATTATGGTTCAGGCAGGTGCGCGAAACACTAGAGGCTGGAGTAAACTTTTGGCCTAACTGCGATTTCGCTCGGGTTTTAAGCTCATTTTTGAAGAGGCTGCAGAACAAAACTTTATTTGAGAGAAAGTTTTTGCTTAAAGTATTGACTTGTCCTAGGTCTTAGGTTAGACTTAGGGTTAAGGATTGGGTTTATGTTTGGTTGTACAAAGAGTCCCCCCCCCCCCCCCCCCCCCCCCCCCCCCCCCCCCCCCCCCCCCCCCCCACCCCCTCGCCCACCCCCCCCACCCCAATACCCTGAAACCTGCAAAAACGCATAGGCGCGTACAGGCGCCGTCACCTAAAATAAGCACAAGTTGCCCCCAGTAGCAATGCCTGGAGATGCTTTCGGGCAGCAGCCCATCTTTTCTTCAGACCGGCGCCAACCAGGCTTCTAATACTGGCTGCCTAGCTCATCTGGCAGATGGGCTGCTGTGCAAACCAACGAGTGGCCCTCAGAACATACTGGTTCAAATTACAATTTCCAAGCATTGGCCCTCAAGTGCAGGACGCCGAGCTGAAAAATTCCCAACGGTATCTCGGCAACGTGAAGAAGGAGTGCGAGGCCAGGCAGCGGACGACTTAACATGCCACAAAAGCACATAATTGCAACCGTTCTGGGGGCACTCAGCCAAGCAGAAGCCGAACAGCTGCGTTCGGTGAGGTCGGATTGCATTGGATGGGATCTCAGGTCATTTTAAACGTCGTGTTCAGAGAGTTTTCCCTTGGTGAAGATAGGAGGTTTCTTGAGTGAAGGTAGGGGGCTTCTTGGTTCAAGATAGGGGGTTTCTTGAGTCAAGTTCTGTGGCTTCTTGATTCAAGATAAGGGGTCTCCTTGGGCTGGGCATCACTATGTTTTCATAAGAGACACCTTGCCCCACATAGGCTTATTGTTATTCTTAAGTTTTGGGCTTATGGGTAATCGTATTAAGGGTTTGGGATTTGGGTTTTACGGCTTGGGTTTGGGCTAAGGAATAACGGGGATTTATGGGGGAAGGTGTTTTGGGGAACTTGGGCTAAGGAATAACGGGGATTTATGGGGGAAGGTGTTTTTTCTAGGTTTTGGGCTTGGGATTTTGGGAATATGGTTTTACGGGGATTTGGGCTTGGGATTTTGGGCTAAGGATTTCGGGATTTTTTGGCTTGGGATTTACGGGTTGATGTTTGGCATATGAGTATACCGGGGTTTTGGGAATATGGGTTTCGGGATTTTGGGTTGATATTTGGCCGCCGAGTTGGCGAAATGGTTCCATAGAGGTTTGGGGAATATGGTTTCGGATTTTTTGGTTGATATTTGGGCTCGGGTTTGGCCAAATGGTTCCATAGAGGTCTGGGGCAAGGTGTCTTGTAAGTAAGGACCCCCCCCCCCAAGATAAGGTACCCCCCAATGTTCGAATAAACTCCCAGAAAGCAGGGCATGAAGACGACCATGGAAGAGCTTGAGCTGCAGAATACCATCATGAACCGCGCCGCCCTCGGTTTTTTTGGGTTCCTTCTACTATAAGGGCCTTAATAGTTACCTAGACTATATTGGGGGTTCCTTATTATAACTATAGTAATAGTATAACGGGCCCAACACCCGGTTCTAATTATTAAGACCTCTATATTACGGGGTTCCTTCTATATCCAGGGCATGGCCTCCGCGTGTCTACATCTGTCGGATGCCTTCATACCAGGGTAGTACGGTTTTAGACAATGTGTATGTGCGCGTTAATGACTGTGGCGAGTGACGGTAGTATCGTAGTTTTGGCTGAACATATCGAGGATGCACTTGCAATCTGGAAGGTCAGTGAAATTCCCATATCTCCATTCATGGGATTTGCTTCGTTTTGGCTGTGGACTGTGGGTGAACGAGAGTAGGTTCCCGGCTTGGGGCCAAGTGCTGATTGAAGGAATGTTGGTCTCAGTAGATGTGTAGTAATAGTAGCAGGGAGTAGGGCCTTTCAGGCTGGTACGTTTTAGGTGCAACCGGGAGGATCGTGAGCTTTGGCGCTGGTCAAGCTATGTCGTGCCTCGCTGTTACAGACATCGGGCTGCCTGCGCAAAACTAGTACCTTGTTTTCCTGCAAGGTGCAGTTGCAAAGACGGTCAAGGACTGGGGAAGCCCATGAGGATCTACAGCTATGATGGGTGGGTCATTTGCGGTGTGCTATTGTTGTGTACGCATGATGACAGAGGGGTATTGAATTTCAGACAAGGGTGAAATGCAGGGCATTGCAGGGACAAGACTGAAATGCTGGAATCAGTCTCAATCTTCGCGTGCGGAGCTTAGGTGACCGAACATGACAGTTTCTTATCAAGCACCCGCACCGTGAGGACAAGGAGGAGTCCATGATGCAGCATGACATCCTCAGGCTAGAGGCCAGGACCACCGGGCTGCAAGGACTTTCCACGCTGTGTGTGCGACCTAGCTTGCATGCGTGAGCCTTTACATGTGCCAGCCCCCCCAAAATGGCAGAGAATATTGGACCCAAGGAGATATGGGAGCTTCCTTTGTGTGGGTGGCCGCTCTTGCGTTGAATCATATTCAGCTGCAGGTCAAAAGACTTCGGCAGCAGCTTACCACCAAGTCTGAGAATTTGCGCCCTCCCATTGTCATTCGGACGTGGTTTGTGTTACCGTAGGTCTGGGGCTCGTCTTTGCATGCATCGCAGCTTGATTGCGTTTCTCACGGTGTACGGCATGTGCCATTTCCGGCACATTTCCACATTACTGCTCGTCGAGGTGTTGAGGGGTTCCGCTAAGTTTTGCGGCCCTGGCAGCGGTGTCCGCAGTAATTGCTTCGCTGGACTTTGCCAGACGGTGCAAACCTCTCCTGCAGCCACAATGCAGCAGCAGGTTCAACTTCCGGCAGCAAAGCGTTGCCTCACAACTGCACCCCTAGTTATTCCAAATACCGGAGGTACAGCCTGGAAAATCGAAAGCAGCAACTCCAAATCAGCATGGAGGCCAGGTAGCCGCGGTGCGTTTGCTTGAAGCGTTCCGGGTAGTCAGGCTTCAGGGCAGAAGATTCCAGCTTTGGGCTTTTGGCGGATGACTGACTTTGAACGACAGCCCCCCTGTCCTTGGCACAGACATTCTAACGATTCCAGGAAGCCGGTCGCTCCCAAAGGCACATTGGGGCTGCTAATGTGGATTTGGCTGGGGGAAGGTAGGTAGGACCTCAACGGTCCCATGAAGCTCTTGCAAAGCCTGGGCTAATCCCGACTTTACATCCTTCCATCTACTCCCTTCAGAACACTTCGAAGCAAATGCAAGGAGAGGGAGAAGGAGATCGAAGTGCACACGGAGGCCGTGGTTCCTTCGGACATATGCCCGCCTTTAGAGTTGTTGCCTTCTTCACGAAGGTTTCCTGTGGTGCACTACTTGATCACACGGATTTCGGGGCACCTTTTGCTTTTCTTGCCCTCCAGGTCTTGAGAGCACAGCTCCGGTCTGCCGAGGAAGAGAAACACAAGGCCTGCATAGGGCATGGGAGGATGGGATGGCGGATGCCTGGTGTTGTTTCAAGGCGTGCTCCTAAAACAGGCTTGTAGACCATCGTCCAATGGCCTGAACGGAACCGGAGATGGTGCTCAGGTTTGCAGCTCATTTCCAAATCCCAAGCCGGTGGCCATGCACGAAGCTCATGCTTTCCACCCAGCACCCAGTACAAAAAGACCGGATTCTAGCGGAGAAATCTTAGTTAGACGGAATGAAGCTGCAGGGAGCCCATGAACACCCGTGAGGCAGCGATTGAGCTGGCGGAGCGGAAGCAGAAGATCTTCACATTGCAGCCTGGTAGAACAGGGAGTGGAAGGCTGCTTAGAGATAGAAGTCAGAAACATGCCAGCATGGGCTCTGAACCCTAAAGGATGTGTCATGTGACGTGGACATTCCCACGGCAGAGGCCCTGGACACATGTTGGAAGTTGCAGATCCCATTTATCATCCTTCGCTCGTTTGAAGGATCGCGTACCTCAGATATTCGTATTCGGTTCCGCGACATCTGTGTCGACTTCAGGTAGCTGAGCATATGTTTTGGTATGCCGGGGCTGCTGGTTTCAGAGTTCATTTTCGTAGAAATAATTAAGCCATTGTTCACGCACGGTCTTGGCATTGTCGTACTGATGGCTTCGGGGTCTGGGCTTCCTTGCGGAGCAACATGATCCTGCGATCCAAAGCCCAGGAAGAGCAAGTATGACAACGTGATGTGCAAGGCGCGCTGGTTGGAGCTCGCACTTAGTGAAACGTCAATCATGATAAAGATGAGGATGGTCGAATTTTGTTTTGGGTAAGACTTGTCGAGCAACCAAACCACTACACATGTAATATCACAAGCAACTTGCGGCAGTCAAGTCAGCAGACGCAGAACGTCTGCTAACCTCAGAATTGCACCCCCCTCCCCACCGGCAAGCGCCTCCTCCCAAGCCTCTCTCGAGCGTCGAGGTGAAGAAGGAGGAGGGCGGGGAGCAGCTGAGCCAAGCTCACTACATGATCAAGGTGTGCTTTTCAGCAGGGCCTTTGCATGTAGGAGTTCTTTAGATGCGATCTGTGCATGGCGAAGCATTTGTACTTTCGAAGAGCAGTTAATAGCTGGCATTTCTTGTCATTGTGAAAGCCCAGCCGAAATGGCAACCAAATTCCGCAACAGCGTTCTCTCAAGCGTAAGTTTGAGTGAAAGGCTTCTTATGGCATACTTCGGCTGATTGAATTGGGGAGAGTGTTGCTGTACTGGCACCAATGCCATGTGCCGGCTCAGAAGTAACCCTAGCTAGAGGTCAGCAGCAAGCATCCGCGAGCACCAAACGGAGTGCTACCTTCCGTCCATCCCTAAACCCTAGACATCGTAAACTCTCAGGCCCCACTAAACTCTACGCCCCGAACATCAAACCCCAAAACATAAGCCCTGAGCCCCAAACCCCAAGCCCTGCACGGAAGTGGAGAGGCCGCCCAAGAGAAGGAGGAGCTGCAGAGGAAAGGAGATGAGCTTGACGACAAGATCCGCCGGGCTGAGAAGGATCCAGACTTTAGGGTTTGGCGTTGAGGGTTTGGGGTTCAGGTTCAGGTTTGGGGGTGTTTGAACTTTGGGGGCATGAGGTTCAGGATTTTTCGGGTTTGGAGATCAGTCTTTATGGGTTGCGGAACTTCCCTGAACTAGCTGCTTGAGTCATCAAGGGTCTTGTCTGGCCAGCGAACCAGAGTTCAGTTCAGTAGGGTTGGAGATGTTTGGCCTGAGTTCTAAACATGTTTTACTTGCAAGCCGTCCGTTCCATTCCGCCGGTGGTACATGTTTCTGGTGAGGTTAAACGTTTCTTATTGGTGGATGAGCATGCACTCTTGATACGATGCAAGCGAGCCATGAAATACATAGGTAGCGGATGATCTGCTCTAAGTGTCCTGCGACATCTTTCTTTGTGGACGAATTAAGGTAGAAACATCCAAATAATGATAGATAATAAACTTAAGCAGAAGATTGATAGCCACGGTTGTAAGTAATCAACGTTGCACAGTGCATCTATGTATTCAAAACTGTTGCATATGTATGCATGCGTGCACGTACACACCCATATTTTTATGCATGGAATATGCCCGTGTTTGTACACTGTATACATACCTATGTATGGGTGTATGGCTTCGGCATCCATGGTTCAAATTTCTACTGAAAGGGTTCGCTGCTGCGCTGCAGGAGATCCGATCTCTGGAGAACACCCTGGCTCGGGTCTCGGGGCGACCCTATGAGCAATGCACGGGCAGATACTATAGTGGCCTCAATAATTAGCAGTAGTAGGGTTCCTATAAAAGGGTCCTATAGGGGTACTATGATATAGGGGCCTAAATAATTTAGGAGTACTATTTTGGGGGTTCCTTGTTATGATCATGGCCGATATATCAATATCATCACCGCAGTGTGGACTTCCTCTAGAGCTTGTCCGAAATGCAGCTTGAGATGATCGAAGGTTTCAGGTGCAACAGGATTGGGGCTGAAAGGTTGGCTGTGAAGCGAACTGTGCTGTAGCAAACCCAGGAGGTACCTTCTGTTCAAGTCATTTGGAAGAACTTCATGCCTGAGCACGACAATCGACGGCCGTGGGAAGACCCCGGCAAGATGGGGGCTGCTGCACTCTTGAAGCGATCTCAATCTGAATCAGGGGCATCTGGTGCAGCGGAACCAGAAGTTCAAAGAGAACCTGCAGACCTCGAACATGCAGAACCAGTCCGAGCTGGAGGATCCTGGGCTCACTATAAAGGGAGAAAGCTCCTCTTGGGATGAACATCAAATAGAGAGGCTTGGGGCCATGGATCTCTGCTCTTCTTCAATGGTAGCACATTGCTTTAATAGGTGAATTTTCGGACGTAAAACATGGAATTGTATTAGAGAGATAGATGCGGACGCTGTCAGCCTGTGAGGCTCCTACTCGCTGAATCCTGGGGCTCGCAACCTCCCCCAAGTATCTCAAGTGGCATCAAGACCTCTGCTCACCAGGAGAAACAGACGCTGGAAGAGCAGTCCAGGGCAGCAAACGAGGTCCTCTTCAAAAAGAAGAAGGCGCGGTCGTAGGTCTAGGGAATCAAACAGAGGACCACGCCGGCATAGTTTGGCATTTCAGAAGATGCACGTGCTTTCGTCAATCTGCATGTTGTGATGTTTAGCCATGCTCAGAAGAGATGGCAAGGTTCTGACGCAGCTGGAGCAGGAGGCTGGGCGCGAGTGGTCGTGCGAAGCTGAAAGCAAGCTATAGAGTTGAGGTAGGTCGTCTAGCATCAACGCTTGAAGCAATCATCCTCTGCTGGATATGTTGGACTGGAAGGACTTACCGCCTGTTTGAAGAAACACATGGAGTACACACAGTGGACATGTGTAGAGCCGGTGTAAAGGGGTCTATCTGGTCAGCCCCTGAGGGACGGGAAAGCAGCTTAACTGCTCAGTTGACAGAACGAACACAAGCATTTCATGCTGCCGTATCGAGAAGTAGTGTGCACACTGCGTGGTATGGCCTCACTGATGTCAAGGCCCAGGAGGACGTGCAGCGCTACGAGGACAGATCGCTTGTGCGAGCCAGAAAGGATCCGATCCCAATGCCTGATGTTGATAATTTCACGACCGTCATCATCAGCATCAGGCTTATCCTGGTACTCATCCGAACCACCGCTATTCATCCCATCTTCATGCTGCTCACAATAGCCGTTCGAGCTATGAATGAGACGAAGTGGGACCTGTGACGAAAAAGCACGTGAGGTGCAGTGCAGCTTGCTCTCTTGGGATGGCCGCAGTCACACGATCTCATCCTCAGGAGCTGCAAAGGTCCATGCAGCAGATGGAGGCTCCAGCCTTGGCTCGCTTGGAAGGATTCTCAGGGTCAGGGTAGAACTGGTTGTTCAGGGTTTAGTGGCTGACGGTTAAGGGGTTCAGGGTTTCGGGGTTTCGTTTCCAGAGGCTTCCAAATCAACGCGTGTCTGTAGACTGTAGACCTCGGAGCCGATTCATGACATCTTCAATGATCACAGAAAAAGGAAAACACCCGAAACCCGACGGTTCGTGATCCGCTTTTCATCCAGCTTGCTCAAATGCTTTGGGAAGCACAAGAGCCTCGAGCTTAGAAATTGGGAGCTCAGGCTCACGTGAACGAGCTGACTGCAGCCCGTGACGTCGGGGGCCTGGCAAAGTCTGCCGTGCCGTTCGGTTGAGGCTGCTTTTTGGATCACGACAATCCGTCCGAGGTCTAGGGTTCTTGAGCTGTTTTGTGTGCATTGGGGTTGGCGGTCTTGGCAACCAGAAATGAGCTTGGATTACCTCATAGAAGCACACGGCTTCAAAGGTCCTCCGGCAGGACATTGGCACACAGGCCGGTGTTGAGGGGCGCTGGGGACAGAGTAGCAGCACTGCCAGCTACTTGGTGTAAGAACAATCCTACTAGTTCGGGTGCAGCGAGAACATCCAGAACGTCGGACTAGAAAGTAACTAGGGAAGTGGAAATACCACCGGGGCCTAGGGCTCCGTATCGTTAGGGCAGTAAAATATACACCCCGGAAGCCGAATCTAATATGTAAGACCCCTAAATTGTTCAACATGTCTGGCTTGTTCTCGAAGGGGTGTCTTCCGTTCAGCGGAGGAGAGTTGCTTGTTGTTGGATCGCTCATGCGCCAGGCTCCGAAGATTGAGCGTGCCCAGCAGGCAGGGGATCTCCAAATATGTAACAAGAGGGTCGGATGTTGGGACAAACTAGCTGGTAGCTGAACAATATCTGGCCTTTACACCGACAGTGACATTGAAAGAGCCTGAGTCCATGGAGCATTCGGCTTCTGAGGTTGCCTAGAGCTTTCCCTCTGGACCGCCATCGTATCTTGACCTGCCCGCAATCTTAGACAAACCTGTACAGTAGGCTTTTCCTGAGTGTCCAGAGATGAAAAAGCGGGGACACTTGACTATGTAAGCTAAGCGACGATCTCCGTGTTGGCCTTAGCTTGTCCTCTTGCGATGAGCATTCAGCCCCTTTCGTCCGAGACCTTGGCCAATGCGCAGACGCGGGCCATTCAGGCAACGCGAGGGGGCGGGGGTGTCATCAACTGCATTAACACAAACCATGCCACGTGAGTAGTTCTTGCAGGGTTACGGGCTGGCTGTAGGCCACTGCAGAACTGAAGCAGAAGGTAATCCGCATAAAGCCATGCGGTTTCCATCTTTGACCAGTGCAGGTACACTCGGAGTGAGCATTAGCGCTAAGACGCACAGCCACTACTTTCATCGCACAGAAGCGGTATCAGACCCAGAATTTGCGCCAGTCTGCACAGAAGATCACAGAAGCGAGATTCGTAGCCGTACCGCTGCATCCGGCCCCATGCGCCCCATGCTTTGATGGTTCATCGGGTCCTTGATTGCATGCTTTCGTGTCTCCCCGTTCTTGAGGCCATCTCAACAACTATCCCTCATTTTTCGGACTTGGGCTGCCAAATGTAATGTAGCGTTTCCTGGAGCGGCAGCACTAGCGGCAAGATCACGAGGCTGCTCATACGGTTCATAAATGTTCATAAGTGATACGATTGAACTAACAAAGATGAAGACTTAGTCAGTATTACTGTAACTTCAATAACTGATAGCTGACCGCCTGCAGTCCGGCGTGGACTTGGCCCCCGAAGCAGCTGCTGCAGTTGACGTGAAGGCTCCTGGGCCCGGGCTGAGTTTCAAGCTTTTGAGAGGACTCGGGGCACGCAGCTTTTGGACTGTTGGAGCTTAACGCTGAGCGGCTTAGCACAGGTTCAATCTTTTTGAGACGGGGGGTCGAACGCGACATGTTACCGATTCGGATCACGCTGCAAAGCACGAGATCTTCGGGGATTCGAGAGAAGATAGCCGCTCCCTTCGTTTGGAGTTTAATTGAATGAACAGGAACTGAATCACAAAGGGACGAATAGCTTTCTCTCTCCAGGTCTATCGGGAGCAAGGACAGAGGGTCCTCCAGCAGTACTGACTAAGCTCTGGCATGCCCTGTTCTTTTTGCCGACTGCTTTCGCGAATGCTTGGATGCCTGTTCAGCACGGGGCTTGCTGCTCGTTGTATTCCTTCTATCCACACCAGGAAGCGATAAGCTGCCTCGCTTCGTCTCGTAGCTGTGTCCCCTGAAAAAAAAACAGTGCCTCGGGCTCGTATCTCGGGGTGTGTGTAATTGGACTAACATAAATCTTGGATCTCAGAAGCATCCGAACTTTAACAGCTGTTTGACAGAGCTTCGTACTTGGAACTCAGGCCAAGATGTTCCCCACCCGCGATATCACCAGCCAGCAGAATCCAGCAGACGTGCCTATGCTTGTTCCACAGTTCTACGCGCAGGCCAGAGGTCTGAGAGAGCAGAACCAGAGTCTTCTCTTTGCTCTCAGCCCCTCGTGCCGCAAGTCAGCTTGAGAGGCTTAGGCTTTGGCCGGAACAGCTCGCTGCACCACCAACTCAAGCCCAAGAGCATGCAGTTCATGTTCCTCAGCTTGAGTTTATGCTAGGAGCATGTCCCGAAATTCACGAAAGCATCAATCCCGAGGCAACGCGCTCCAAGACTACGGGGAGGTGCGAGGGGGATTTGGGGGATTTGAAGTACTCCGGGTCCAAGGCGTTAGGGCAGTGGCCCCTCCAAAAGGCGGGCGAAGGAAGCGGATTATGTTGGGGATTGTTCAACATTGAGATTTCGGCAGCGAGTACGCAGACCCTGTACTTGTGAACGTACGCCCGATGAGATCATGCTCCCAAACCCAGGACTTCAATGCCATGATGTCTCCATCAGCCCCGAAGCATTCGAGTTGGCGAGGACGTGCTGCCCCTCTTCGAAAACCTCTGTGCAGAGCGTGGTGTCGCCATGCCTTCGCGGCCGCCGCCCGGAATGCAAGCAAGCGGAGGTGTCTGCAAGTCGAACATCATAGCTGCCCCAGTCGTTTTCGAGACTTTCTCGGCCATATATAAGGCCCTCCCATGGAAGTAGGGTCGCCGTTTCCGCAGCTCCCGTCAGGACTCCCATGAGCTAAAGCCCCCGAGCCCAGCTTCGCCAGGAGCCTTGAAGTCCCAAACCCCGCGGTCTACAGAGTCTCTGGTTCGCTAAATCGAAAAATCTGTGTCCGAGGCCATCAGCCGCCTCCCGCCCGGGCAGTGGCCGATGAGGTGACTTTGGGAGAGGGGTGGTCAGAGTTCCAATGCTCAGGATGTTCCCCCCTGCCGCTGTCTTAGCATTGTAAAACCATCATCCCCAGTGGTGCCACCACACTGGCCAGTGGAGTTTGTATGGTTTCGGGCCGTTTCAATCTGATCCACGGCAAGTCCCCTTCGTCTGACATACCGTGATCAAGATCTTTGGAGCTTTTGTTTCGGCTGCGTGTTGGTCATGGCTGATCGTGGAGACTGTTGCAAGACTCCTTGCTTCGCGTTCCATGCGGCACTTGCCTTTTGGGTGGCTTCCTTCATAAAGGGGCCGCCCAAGCCTTCTTATCATCTTCATTGACTTTTGGCTTCAGCTCGTGAGCCGCAACCTTTGGATCCGAAGACGCCGAAGCATTTTTCCCCGAAGCCGAGCATCCCAAGGAAAAAAGGGCAGAAAAGAGCCAGCTGCAGGCCCTCGCCACTACAAGTCCCAGGTTTCACGTTGCCTGCGTTTCACTCCTGAGAAGGGGGCCAAAGGCCATCGAATCTCAAACCGGCATTCTCAAAAGGCAATATGGCAATATCAGTAGAATCACCAGCTTATACACGTGCACTTCAGTGCGAGCAGGCTCAGCCAGACAAAGCGCGCTACCCAACATGAATGCATTACTGCATCCTGGCGTGGACACCTGTAAGACTGTGACTGTAACCATTATCACGAGTGTTGTTCCATCCATGGAATAGTACTATTTCTTTATGGCTGCTACTACTGCTGCTTCTACTGCTACTGCACCTCTACTGCTGCTCCCGTGATGCTGCTACTGCCAATGGTTTTCTTACCGCTACAGCTGCAGCTACGGCTACTGCTCCTGCTGGTGCTCCTGCTCCTGCTCCTGATGCTACTGCACTGCTACAACAGCAACTACAACAACAACGACAACAACAACAACAACAACTACTACTACTACTACTGCTACTACTGCTACTACTACTACTACTACTACTACTACTACTACTACTACTACTACTACTACTACTACTGCTACGACTGCTACTACTATTGCTGCTGCTGCTGCTACTGCGACTGCTGCTACTCCTAGTGCTACTGCTACTGCAATTTCTGCAGTTTTCGCCTTCGTCATTATTATTAAAGTCTTGTTATTGCCATTACTCTCCTATTGTATTGCTATTGCTGAGGAGCGCTGCCATTGATGCTCGGATAATCATTACCATGATGCTTTGATATGATACCGGGAGCAGGACCTGTGACCTGTCAGGCTTGTCAGGATCATGTACAGCGGACGCTCGGATGTCGGATTCGCACGACAGAACGAGTTCCATAACGGCTTGGCCATGCAGTGGCCAACAAAAACTCATGGTAGGGTGTGTGGTCCGTGATTTAGGGTTTAAAGTTCCATATCCGACCTTTCAACTTTCAACCTCATTCCATACTTTAGCTCACCACCGCTTACTTCTTGACTGTCACTCTGGGCGTCTGGGTCCGACAGGCACGGCGGCGGGAATTCAATGCAGGCAACAGTATGACCTGCTTCTACTCGAGAGAACATCCTGCATGAGATGACTTCAACTCGTGCAACGCTGTTGTATGCACGGAGCATGTTGATGCTTCTGGCTTCATCGGCCAACTGTTGTCAGTAGAAATCATAGCTACGGACGAATATTGGGTTCGTGCGCGCGGGTCACGAAACAGATCTGTTGTGCTGCCACGTGTTTGCAGGATGTGCCGCTAGAAAGTTCTAGAGATACACCGAGAAGAGGTAAGCATGCTGAGTGCGAAATCCTGGCCCCCGGACAGGGAGTACCCTCAGAACTTCGGCTTTCGCCGGCCAGGCCTTTTCGAGTCCTTCTACAGACACGGTGTTAAACACAAATACTCCGCTACAGCTTCAACCCTGGAGTTGTGACTTCAGCTTACATCCAAATGTCTCCGTCCCAGTGTGAAAGGTGCTGCCTCTGCGTCAAGTTGCATTTTGCTTACACGGCCGCGTGACCTGCAGTAGCAACAACGTGACAAATTTAGCAGTACTGACAGGGACAATGATAGTACTGTAGACCCACAAAAAAACGTGACAATGACTGTAGCAAGAAAGCGTAGCAATCGAATTTCCCGCGCAGCCAGACCCGCTTTCCGAACCCTGTACGAGCCTTGTCTTAAAACCCCATAGAAACCCCTATGAAAACCCCAGCCCAGTCAGTCCACACCCCATTAGTCCAGAGAGCTCCGGGAACGCCTTCGCCATGACCATACGGCTCGGTGGAGCCCTGGCTTGCGGCCCAGCGTCAGAGACGTGGCATCGCCTGTGTTTAGCAAGGGCAGATGATGGTTGCTGCATGCAAAAACGGGGACTCCAACTGCAGTACTTATGCATGTCAGCTTTTCCCACGGTTTACGCTTAAACGGTGAGCATGCATTCCCCGACCTCACAATGCCACAAGCAGGGGAGCTCATAGAACCGCATGCTCTCTAATACGGCTTCCGCTCCACGGCGATACCTACTGACCCTAAGCAGGCGGACTTGGTGTAGCCCAGGATCAGCACGAAGAAAAACCCTAATGAGAGAGACTGCCAGCCCATGTCGTTGGCTTGTCCAACAGCCCTATCGTGGCCGATCTCCCGTTCTGCAGAGGCATCTTGGCTTAGCGGAATTAGCCGAAGCGGTTTATAAAGGGGCCCTCCTTATTCGAACAGGGTTTCGGTGTATATTATGCTATAATGAATAATTATGCCCGCCATACTTAGCGATTAAGGCGGCTATGATTCGAAGGGTTTCAGCAGTTGCGTGGTTATGAGTTGTCCCAACTCGTCCCAGGCCGCCATGCCAATTTTTGTTTAAAGGGGCACCGAGTAGCCATACTAGCATACCTCCCACGATCCCGACGTAGAGCCTTTCCCCAGACCCTGCCTCCCCAAACCCTCGAAAGCCCTCAACCCCCAAAACCTGAAGCCCTGAGAATTCCAAGAACCCTCGAAAGCGAAGCTCCAAAAATCCCTGGCAGCTTCTCGCGAATCGTCGCCGGCCCGGTGCTCTTCCGCCAGGCCGCCGCTTGCCCAGAGGAGATTTTCGGGACACTGCTTGGCTTCTTTGCGGATCCGAGGGCTTTAGGCTGCTTTTCTGGGCTTTAGAAGGATGTAGGAGCTCAAGGGCTCAGTTCAAGATCTTGTGGTGAAGAGTAGGTATGGAGGCTTTTGGGTTTGACTTCTCGCAGTCGTTCAGCCTGCCCGAGCACTCGAACGCCGGTGAATGCGAGCAAGGTCATGGAGCTGCACCCGAGGTCCCTTCAACGTCCCGGCGTTGTTTGTTCCTATCAGTCGTAACTGCCTTTGAGCGCGGGAAAGCTGTTGCAATTCAGACTGCCCGAACAAGCCACGGCAGCACTCCCCGAGCTAGCCACTCTCCGCCGTTGTGTCTTGTGTCCAGGTGCAGCAGAGCCCAGATCCTCGTACCTCTGAGCGATTTGATGAGAGTTTAAGTGCCTAGGAATGTGGGGCTGGACCAAAGGATTGCAGCGGGTTTTCTCGAAAGCAGCATGATACCCGAACAGCATCCTCGACCCTGATTTTCCGGAGCTCTTGCTGCCAAGCCCGCTAGCATAGATTAGATGCAAACGCAAATTCAATTGCAATATTTGCAATCTTCGTCTTGGCAGTTGTGGTGATAGTTGTCGTCACATTCGCAACATAAACAGAGCCCCCCCCCCCCTCCTCGGCCCGAGGATGGCGAAAAGTCTCGCGCTCTCCCTGCCTCCTCTGCTGCTGGGCTCACGGAGCAGGCGGGCCTTGGTGACCTAGTGGGATATACCATACATGAGTTGCATCAATAGCCACATGCAGCAATAACAGCATCCCGAACATCGTGTTCTCACCATGGTAATTTCAAGGACTCGGACTTATGGAGGGTGCAGCGGTCGGTGGTGATTCGGAGTCCAAGCTGAAGCTCGGCTGGGCTCCCTCTAAAGTTCGGGGCTGCCGTCTTGAAAGGCTCTTAGTTGTGGATGCCGCTGCCCGGGCAGAGCTGGACCCTTTCTTTCCAGGCCAAGGCGGCGACTTCTAGAAGAAGCAGGCGGCCCGTGGGAGTCAGCAAAGGCCGCCATGGCACCAGACTCGGATGCTATAAAAGACAACGAACAACCGACCGCAAACGGTGTTCTCGTCTTTTTGGACATATTGTGTGATTGTAAACATGATATATGCATATATAGATATCATGGAGTACTTTGTACATGCGCACATCATAATTTCCATGGTGGTATGTATACACAGATGCATTTATGATGCTGAGTTTCACGCTTCAGATCTGGTGCATGCTGATGTTTCAGGTTTAGGCTTTAGTCGGGTTGAATGATGCTCGGTTCGGGTTTGTGGGCCATGGAGTTCTGCCAGACGACCCTTCTGGGTTCTCTGGTCAGATGAAACTTGACATTCTTGCTGCTGGCACATATCGAATCAGGGAACTAGCAATCTGAGCACAACAACAAGGCAAAGCTTTCGAAACCACACCAAACGACCTTCTCTGTCCCGTTGCGTGGGGCGCCGGCAGAAAGCTGTCTAACCTCGCATTTATCTGCTTTACAGCGAGCAGCTATAGAAGCTCAAGCCCCGCTGCTAAAGTGATGTTTGGCCTTTCGCGTGTCATCTCGGCCCTTATGCCGCCTTATGCCTCCAGGTGTCGAGTTCGAGGTGAAGAGTCTGGGCTGCTATTGAGCTTCTCCCCTGCGTGATTAGAGTGTGGAAGGAATAGATGTACTGAAGGGTCACAAGGTTTCTGCCCTCTTTCCGTAGGGCGAGCCTAAGCCTTCCTCTTTCTGCAAGATTGGGCTTCTGCAAGCACACGGAAAGTGAGACTCCTCCACCTCCCCAATGCTTCAGGTTCTCGAAGTGCAGGGTAGACGACCTGAGCCAGTTTTGTGTCGGGCTGCACCAGAGAATCCGAGCATAGCCATAGAACCCTTGCCTTCAACATGAATAAAGCCCTAAACGCCTAAAGCCCTCACCCCTGAACCCTACAGTAACCCTCAAAGCCTTGTCTCAACCCTTCAGGGCCCGGCCCCAGTCTCAGGATCTCCCAGGTCGACGAGAAGTCCCTGGGCGACCGGGCTTCCGGCGACGCAGAGACGACTCTCGCCAGCCCAGGGTCTTGTTTCGGCACTTTGAAAGATTTTGAAAGGGAACAGCTATGAGCTACAGATCAGTTTTTGCTTTGAACTGGCTTGCGCGGCTTTCAGAGCGTTTTCGCGTGGTTGAGCAGGGGTTGTTGTGAAGAAGGTTTGAGCTACAGCCAACTGTCGGGATGACGGGGCCTTGTTTGGGACGTAGGATTGCAATACAGGGGGTTGTGGCTCCTGTTCGGGTCCTTCCTAAGGGTGCCAACGTTAAGGAACCAGTTCCTTCTGGATCTATGAGCAACGGTGACGGACACTCATACTACGTGCTTTTCTAATTTCTGAAATTCAGTCGTCCCTTTGTGTGTGAAGGCTTCATTGTAGTGAAAATCTTAGTATTTAGGGTCAAGATTAGAGCTCCCTTATACCTGGATGGAGTTTTATAACAAGATCAAGTTCTGTGTCACGATAGACACACCACTTAGTAACAGAAGCACTTTGACGGTCTATTCTGTGATCAGTGCATGTGCAAAGCTTCGCCACAACGACTTAGCTTGCGTTTTGAGAAGACCTTTGAAGGACGCGAAGCTTGCTGTGATGCGATGCTGACATGGTAGACATTCCAAGCTATCGTATAATGCACACGAGCACGCAGCATCGAGGTTGGTTCGCCTGCTGGCCACCGCCAAAGCCGATGCACTATGGCCGTGACTTAATCTCATGGGTTTGTACATACTGACGGTCCCCCAAGCGTTTTTGCACAGCACGAAATACAACAACATGCGAACATCTTCAACGGCGAACAGCGGTCTGTCAGTGCAAGGGCTGTCCCGTTCGACAGTGTCCCTTTCTCTCTCACTCCCACTCTCGCTCTAACATAGTATAATATATATATATATATATGCATATACCTACCTACCTACTTAGCTAGCGATCTATCTATCTACCTATCTATCTATCTGTCTCTGTGTGTACGATCTAACCGCGTCTTACAGTCGGGTGGGGAGCTTTCGAGGGTTTCTCGTAGGACGGCCCCAGAGCGTCAGGCACTGCTCGCGAATCTCGACGACCCCTCGCGACGGCTTCTGCTCACTGCAGACCAGGCCGCGAGTGCCTAAGGTCAGCGGGTCTCCAACCAAGCGTCGTTCACCGAAGCACAGCCGAAGGGCTGTGCTTCCTCTAGGACTTGCTTCCTCCTCTAGGATGAACAACACTGCTTCTGGGGCAATGTCGCCAGGAGCTTTTGCTATCAGCAGCAGCGGTCCTAGACCTTCTGCAATCCTATTGACACCGCTCAGAGGATTCCTGCTTGTTTCCGTGAGGGTGTTGGACCCGGGTCTATGGATTTCTGGGCTTCCTTGCAGGTAGTCACCTACGAAGGCCAGATACGCGAGAAGCCGGAGAGCATGGAAGAGGCCAGTTCGGGGAGGCAGAGCCCATTGATGATCGCTTTTTTTGAGCAGGCAGACAGCACCACGGGGGTATCGTCATACTCTCACCATCCGTTTGAGCAGCAAGTTCAGTTTTGTCAGCAACATCAGGATTACCACCGTCATCATCGCCACAGCACGGCACTACCTCCCACTTCTCCGGTGTCACAGCATAGTCATCGTCATGCAGGCTTCTTCTTCCTTCTCTCTATCCTCAGCCCCTCAAGCCAAAGATACACTCCCGTAGTCGCAGTCCCCAGGTCCAGGTAGCCGACTCCACAGCCCAACGTACTTCTGCTTTTTTTTGCAGGCACAACAGGCCGATGGTGGCTGTCGTAGGACACATTCCGTCATCACCCGGCCCCTCGTCGTCGCCATCATCCTCGTTATCATTGGTAAATCATTGGCATACTCCTCCTGCGCATCCTCATAGTCCTCAACCTTGACGGCGAATCCGACGACGGACGAGTAGAACAAGAAAAGCCAGTACATGTTCATGCTGCAGTCCCAAATTGTGTGGACTAAGAATGGACTGTCTATGACAGTCTATCAGCATATGTAGTTAATGGTAACTAGTTATGGACGGGCCTGTCTCGTCTAGATTCGTCTAGTTGTAGCGACGACAGGCAAGGCTGATACTGCGCGGAAGCAGTCAATATGGTTCTCAGAACGCACGTTAGAGCAAATTGATCAGAGGTGGCAGCCAGGACTGACGGACCTGATCGTGCGCCAACGCATGCAGTTCTTGCTTTGAGTGCACTGTCAAGACAAGGGCTTCACGGCTCTATAGTGACTGTACCGTGCTGTCACCCAGAGTCCATCCCAACAGCAATGTCGCATCAACTTCGACCTGTGGTGCGCGTGTGTATATATATATATATATATATATATATGATTATATGACCATCTGGATATTCGCGCGCATTTCCTGTAGCCCCCATCCCAGACATCTGATTATCTAAGTCTAAATTTGGTGCGATGCCGGCACTGTCAGGCACGTGCCTTCCTAGCCTCCTATGCCCTTGCACCATGTCGGACTGCAGGAGCCCAAGGCAATTTCATGCTTGTCAGGCTTTCAGGGTTTTGGTTTGGTACACTTCAGAGAATTTGGAGATTTGAGAACTCCTCGCGTCGTAAGTCAGGGGCTTCGAAGAGGCTCTCAGCTTGCATGGTGGTGGCGGTGGAGATAGGATGCCGCCATGGAGTTCGCTTGTTGCAGACGCCATGCGACACCGGTGCATATCTGGGTGTGCAAAGCCTGACAGCGAGCCTTCGTACCAGGATACTCACAAAGCTGTGCTCGACCTTCGACATGATACCAGGTCCATGCGCAGGCTTCGTACCGAAGACGGTCTTGCAGAAGCAGCGGGTAGACTTTTGCCGAGGTCGGGGCCCTTTGCCTCCACGACCTCTCCTCACGACAGCGAGTTGTGGGAGTCCAGGCGTTGGCTACAAAGCATTGTTATACGATTGGTATCGGCGATGCATAGGTAAACCTTATACAAGCCAAGTCGAAAAGCTTGGTTCAGCATTGCACAAAGACTGCTCGTTTCGGAGGCTTCCCAGTCACTACACGCATTCAAGCACTAATTGAAACCTGGCGGGCGCAGCCAGCTCCCTGAGCACTGAAAGTCTGAGCCATGATCCTCTGAGCTTGGGCCCGTGACACATGCCAATTGCACATGGCACCATCGCCTATAATGACTTGCAGATTTTTTGCAGAAGAGAGCCTGCGATCCAACTCAGAAGGATGCACGCCTGCAGGTGGCAGATATTTTCTTCAAGCCAAGCATCGCCAACGAGGACTGCAGCTGCCCCAACATGGGAGACGATCAGCGCTGCCTAGCGGCCTAGCGGCTGGCACAGTGACAATTGCATGCCTGATTGAAGTGCCATTGGATCGTGTTGCTTGTCGACGAAGATGTGTGAACATGCCGGGTGAACAACTGCAACAATCCCGAATTCCAGGATGTTCTCACTGAGCTTGAGAGTGAGACCGCACTCCTGGACTGTGCCGGCAGCTGGGGCTTCAACAAGGTTGAACAGAAGGATGCAGTTGGGCTTGAAGGTTCGAAGTAGAGTCCAATCACAGCCAAAGATTGGGAAGAAGGACTGTGCGATGCTTCTTGGGCTCAGAAAGACACTATACGACTGCACAGCTTTCATACAATCAAAGTCCACTGAGCTGGCCATGAACTTCGCTACCAGCATGTTGCCAAGCTCCCAAGATAGTTGTCCTTAAGGTGCCTTGATGGTGGAGCACCCGCTGATAGAGTGCCACGTCGATAGGGTGGAAGGCGCTGGGAGAGGGACCAGGGTCCGGCTGTTGCACGCTGCCCACGTCCAGAACTCACTCAAGTTTCTGGGAAGGGAAAGACTTACCAGTACAGCTTGCATTGAAACCGAATCCCAAAAGAACCAAAGCACCTAATCAACTCGGCTTGCAGGTGGCTTGGACTCCGTCCAGGGACTCTCGCTGCCGTTGCTGCGGGACCTTTGGGGGCAGCTCCAGGCAGATCGGTCACTTTACGTGGCAGTGAGGTCGTTCGGGAGTTGAGGACCGGAGGACCGGACAGCCTGGCGCAAGCCCGAACCTCCCCCAAAAGCCTCTGCTTGATCTGCTCGGGTCTCGCTCTGAACTGCCAGGATGCTGGCGGCCAAGGCTCACCGAGCCCCTGAGAGGGCCTGGCGTGCCTAGCCCTAGGTCCCATGCGCAATAAAGGCTTCGGTTGAGCCGTATCGCGAAAGAGAGCTTCTGAGCTAGCTCACAGCGGTGACTGCCTCTTAAACCTAAACTCCTAGGCATCTAATTGGTTGTATTGATGCCCGTGCACCTTGCCCAGCGCTGTGCTCGCAACGCAACAGCGAATCTCTTGCAGAGCGGGATGCTTCTCTACCACCTCAAAACCACTCGTTCTCAAGCTCCAACCCTGAAACTTTCACTGAGCGATCGCAAGATATCAATTGATATCACAGCGTTGGCCGCGACTCAATGTTGCATCCTCGCTGCTGTAAAATGATGCTGCGAGATTCTGCATGTTCCGCCGCTGTCAACCCATCCTCAGACATCATTGACATCCACTCTGGAAGTGCAGGAGCAATGAAGTCGGACGATACTCCAGACCATAACTTGACATCAGGAGTGGCCAATCTCTGTTGAATGCCCCATAAGGGATAATCGAACCTTGCAGACGGCAGGAATTGAATACTGCACAGCTTTTGATCCGCAGTTTGGCCGGTCGTGTTGATGCTTTCGCAGCTCCAAGATGCGACCGTGCTGGCTGGCGAGCCTGGAGAATTGCTTCCGTGTGACCTCGCCAAGGCCCAGAGACTGCGAATTCAACGCCCGCTGCGCTCGGCTTAGACTTTCAGTCGGCCTTGTTTCGGGTATAGTGCGTGAGACTTCTGTCGCGGGGTGTAAGCGCACGCTATGCTTCTAAGTCGCCTTTTCCGCTCAGGGATAGGGGGGAAAGCCTGGAGTTTGGAGCCGAGCCCTCTTGGAAAGGAGTGCCTCAAGAGACGTCCCCTTCTGCATTGCTCTGCTCCTCGAGCCTAGGCCCATGCGGTGTGGGGTCTTCTACAGACTTGCCGCAAAAACCCGAGGAAAAGCTGCGCACTTCTGGCCAGCCGGCAGTGGGAGCTCCAGGCGCCAGGGGCGAGAGGAAGAAGTTTGGTTTAGGGTTTAGGGTAGGATTCTTTGGGTTTTTGTTTCGGATGCTGGTAGGAGCTTGGCTGGAGAAGGAGCCAACACTGCAAGGATGCAGTGTTCTGTTCTAGTAGTGGTGCACAGTGAGCAAAAGCTTTGGGCCGGGATGTGCTTTCCTTGACGAATCGCCAGACCGATGCTACGACAAGTTATGGCAAGCATGTTGACAATCAGACGGCAACAGCAAAAGTAATTTTAACGCTACGCCGCCCGCCTCGGCTGTGTAGCGGCAGGGCGAGGGGGCAGTCGATGTTCTTTTATGCTAGGGCGGCCTGTCAAACCCCAAGCTTTACACAGTTGTTGATACGAAGTGCCAGGAAAACGGGCACAGGGGGAGGGAGGGGGGGAGTGGGGGGAGGGGGGGGGTGAAACCATAAACCTCTAAGGGGGTAGCCCTAACAGGTACCTACAGCAATGGCTGCATGCTCATACATATACATTCCGCTGCCCATTGGCTCACAGTGGTTTTACCATATTGAGACAATACAAGCTCTCCTTGCGTAGCAAGACAAAACAACTACTGTCCGTGTGCAGGGCGCTGCCCTTTGATCCTTAGGGAATAACTGGTCATACACCTCCTCACAAGGAGTATCCCTTGGGGGTGTATAGGCACAGTTTTCTGGTAGCGGAGCCCGGAAAGGGCCGCCCGCCTCACAAAGTCCGCTACAGCGGTCGGCCTCGCCGAACGCTTAACCAAGCGGATAAGAGGCAGCACAATGTCGAGCTCGCATAGCGAAGCCGACGGCAGTTCCCAGTCCTCCGGGGGATATGAGAACGAAGAGACCTCCCAAGGTCCAGCTACTTATGTCGCACAGTCATATGCAACATCTGACCGCATGCTTGCATCATTAGGCATAACGCCCAAGATCGCGCCTGCCTATGATGGCACCACCTCGTGGTTTGAGTATGAACAGTTGATTGACGACTGGTGCGATATAACAACGCTGGATGATACCAAAAGAGGTCCGTCTCTCAAGACGAGGCTCTCCGGATTGGCCGCAGTACAAAAAGAATCACTCAACCGAGAAAGGCTTGCAGCCCCAGATGGAGTAGATTACTTCAAGAAGAAGATGCGTCCATTTTTCGTGAAAGGAGAACAGTACGTTTTCCTGTGGCGTTTCCTCGGCCTATTCAAGGCATGGAAGGGCAACCAAGACTTTGTGACTTGGATTGCTAAGTTTGAGATCGTGCTACAGCGCGTGAGAAATTCATGGATGGATCTCTTACCAGAGATAATTCTGGAAGATGCCCATCCTGATTTCATGCAGGCTGTGCAAGCAGATCAAACCTTCATACGCCTACAGGATGCGACCGAGAGAGACACATACGCCGCACGTTTCTTCGAAACATGGAACAAGGAACGCCTTGATAATCATCGAAGAGCGTTTCCTCTAAATGATAATCTCCTAGCTCTCCTCTTCCTAGTGCAGTCCGACCTAAATGAGATGCAACGTGAGAGGTTGGTAACAGCATTGACCAACCAAGGTTACCGAATTGAGACCTACACGTACCCTATAGTACGGCAGACCATGTTTGATCAGTTCTCAACGACCAGAACTGGTCTGCAGGATCCCAATATTCGGCACACTTCTCACAAGAAGGACCGCCATGGAAGGAGAGATCAACGCCGCAAACGCGGAGGTCGAAACTTTCTCATCCTCGATCAGGGTGAATACGATGGAGTCGATGGATTCTGGCTTCAAGACGAAGACACCCTTGAGGAAGGCTTTCTTGCCGCCGAGGATGAAGAAGCTGTCTTCTGGACAGTTGACGACCATGAAGCCTTCGTTGCAAGGAGATTCAAAAAGGGAAGAAGACCAAGAATGCGTCCCGGATCACCGGGAAGAGCAAAGGGTGGCAAGCGAAAAGGACGTGGCCGTTTTAGGTCATACCGCGGAAAAGGGAGAGCCAACCAGGCAGAACATGATCCAACTGATTCCAGCTATTTCGGTAAAGGTAAAGGAAAAGAAAAAGGAAAAGGTGGAAAAGGCAAAGGAAAAGGAAAGGACAAAGGAGATAAAGGAAGCTCCTTCAAGGGTACAAAATCAAAAGGCAAAGGTAAGGATACAGCTAAGTCTGCCTCCTTACAAGGAGACCAAACTGGATCTCCACAGGCCTATGAAAGTTCCACCGCACCGAGCTGGGATTCATGGTATGAGGACAGTTATTATACTGACTCCAGTTGGAATTATGCCGCTTATGACGATCAAACGTCTTATACATACTATGCATCACAAGCCTCACGAAGAAAGACACGGAAAAAGAAGAGAAGAAATCAAGCAGGATCATCAGGTAGAGGCACAGATCCGAGCGCGCACCAAGAACCCGTGTACAACTCATCAGTGAGTTACGCGCCCCAGGTTTTTGAACCATCGAGGGGCAAGGTGTGGAGACTGCAACAGCAGTGTTTCCGTTGCAGCACACCGTCCTATCTGCTCTCACCGAGCGGATCAATCTTGATAAGAGCCCTACCTTTGTCATTCTTGACTCTGGTTGTACTAGGGCTATGGGTTCCCGCTATGCGGTGAACAGGCTTATCAAGGCCGTGAAGCAACATGCCCCAGGCATGATTGATTTCACCTTCTCACCTTCGAACACGAAGTTCTCTTTTGCAGATAGTGAAACAGCTCTTATCAAGGAGCGTGTAACACTATGGTTTAACACAACTCCAAGAAGAGATACAACCATAGAAGTTTTGGATCAGGGAAGAGTACCCATCTTGTTCTCCATTGAACAGATGAGAAACCTAAGAATGACTCTCGAGTGTAGTCCCACAGCTGACCTAGCAACGTGTGAAGCTTTCGGTTTGTATAAAACCCCTCTTCCGATTAGTACCAATAACCATTTGGTATTGGACCTTCTAGGCTTTACTTCCACCAGGAAGTACCTTCCTAAGTCAGGTACATCGTTCCGTGCGACGGAGACTGCTCTAGGAGCCAATAAGCCTTATGTTAGGATACCGGAAGGTCGCTGTCCAGCCTGTGCCGGACAGAAAAAGGCTCACACGTACCTCAAGGGTTGTGACAGAGCACCTGAGGGAGCAGCTGATCCACCACCGAAGAGGATTTCAGGGAAAAGGAAGCCTCTTCCATCTGATCCGGCAGAATCATCTGCCAAAAGACTTGATCCACCAGAAACATCTGGAGATGTTCCTGAGCCTTCCGGACCATCGGAACCATCATCAGGCTCTAGGGACAAACCTGCAGAACCCTCTGCACCGCATGAACCTCCAGAAGAAGAAAGACTTGAGGTTCCATCTGCGAAGATAAAGACTCCAAAGGGTCTTAAAAACCTTCTGAAGAAAACCCGCAAATATGCGGATAAACCTCCTGTTGAAGAGAAGTCTACAGTCCCAGGAGCTGATGACGGGACGGAGGTAAGACCACTTGAGTCAAGAGAATACCCGGCTCCTGGTACAGACTCACCTACAGGTGAAGAGATTGTCGCAGAACCATCGCCATCTCTTCCCATTGCTCTTCGCAGGATTCATGAGAAGCTTAAGGACCCTGTAGAACTCTATAAGCTTCACCTTAAGCACCGTCATATGAGTACGGATCAGTTCAAGCGACGCACAAAAGCCTTACAGATCCCAAAGGAGATCTATGAGCTATATGACCAACTGGTCAAAAAGTGTTCAGCCTGCCAGGAACATGTGAGAGCTCCTTCGAGAGCAAAGATTTCTGGTCTAAGATCAGAAACTTTCGGTGATCTCACCTTTGTAGATCACGGTGAGCTTCCAATTCCCGGCAAGGATAGTCGCTTAGTATTTCTTATACTCTATGATGGAGCAACAAACTTGTTGACTGCCGAAGTAGTCCAGGATAAAGAAGAACATACCACAATGTCTATTATGAATGACTACTTTGAAAAATTTCAGATCAACCCAAAGGTTGTAGTTGGAGATCAAGCATTTATGACTCCAAAAATGGAGGCTTATTACAATCGGCAGAATATCAAGCCTGTGGCAACAGGA